GTCCTATTAGTTGCTTGATTACAGTGATGTCCTATTATTTGCCCGATTCCAGTGATGTCCTATTATTTGCCTGATTCCAGTGAGGTCCTATTAGTTGCCTGATTACAGTGAGGTCCTATGAGTTGTCTGCTTACAGTGATGTCCTATTAGTTTCCTGATTACAGTGATGTCCTATTATTCGTCTGATTACAGTGAGGTCCTATGAGTTGTATGTTTACAGTGATGTCCTATTAGTTGCCTGATTACAGTGATGTCCTATTATTTTTCCTGATTACAGTGATGTCCTATTAGTTGTCTGATTACAGTGAGGTCCTATTAGTTGCCTGATTACAGTGATGTCCTAGTAGTTGTCTGATTTCTGTGAGGTTCTATGAGTTGTCTGCTTACAGTGATACCCTATTAGTTGCCTGATTTCAGTGGTGCCCTATTAGTTGCTTGATTACAGTGATGCCCTATCATTTGCCTGATTACAGAGAGGTCCTATTAGTTGCTTGATTACAGTGATGTCCTATCATTTGCCTGATTACAGAGAGGTCCTATTAGTTGCCTGATTACAGTGGTGTCCTATTATTTGTCTGATTACAGTGAGGTCCCATTAGTTGCCTGATTACAGTGATGTCCTAGTAGTTGTCTGATTTCTGTGAGGTTCTATGAGTTGTCTGCTTACAGTGATACCCTATCATTTGCCTGTTTACAGTGATGTCCTATTAGTTGCTTGATTACAGTGATGTCCTATCATTTGCCTGATTACAGAGAGGTCCTATTAGTTGCCTGATTACAGTGGTGTCCTATTATTTGTCTGATTACAGTGAGGTCCTATTAGTTGCCTGATTACAGTGGTGCCCTATTATTTGCCTGATTACAGAGAGGTCCTATTATTCGTCTGATTACAGTGAGGTCCTATGAGTTGTCTGCTTACAGTGATGTCCTATTATTTGTCTGATTACAGTGAGGTCCTATTAGTTGCCTGATTACAGTGATACCCTATTAGTTGCTTGATATCAGTGATGTCTTATCATTTGTCTGATTACAGCGAGGTCCTATTAGTTGCCTGATTACAGTGATGTCCTATTATTTGTCAGATTACAGTGAGGTCCTATTATTTGCCTGATTACAGTGATGCCCTATTATTTGCCTGATTACAGTGAGGTCCTAGTGATACCCTATTAGTTGCCTGATTACAGTGAGGTCCTATTAGTTGCTTGATTATAGTGATGCCCTATTATTTGCCTGATTACAGTGATACCCTATTAGTTGCCTGATTACAGTGATGTCCCATTAGTTGCCTGATTACAGTGATGCCCTATTATTTGCCTGATTACAGTTAGGTCCTGTTAGTTGCCTGATTACAGTGGAACCCTATTATTTGTCTGATTACGGTGGAACCCTATTATTTGCCTGATTACAGTGATGCCCTATAATGAGTTGTCTGATTACAGTGATGTATTTTTGAAAACCCAAAAGTAAGACTAAATTTAGATTTTACACTGTATATATGGATAAATACACAACACATTTTACAGATAATTACTTTAAATTATTTTTATATTCAAATAAAAACTGGTTTACATAAAATTGTTCCCAAAAAACTCATTACAGCTAGAGTTAGAAAAACATTTACATTCAAATAAAAATATTTTAGCACAGCAAGAAGCAGAAAAACAATTGTATAGTGCAATCTTTGGAAAATCAAAAATGAATATTCTGTACAGCACAAGCCAGAAAAACGATCACTTAAAGTGTCAAAGGTATTGAATGTTCTACATCCACAGAAATTCATTTTTTGATACATTGACTAAAATCAAAACTTTGTACAAAATTGCTGATATAAAACATCAAACCACAAAATTTAAAAAGAAAAAACAACAAATATGTCACAGCCTTGGGAATGAAAAGTTTTTTTAAAATTTGATTTAGATCTCTCAAAGGTGCGAGAGTGAGTTTCCACATGTAACCCTTGATCGTGCAGATCAATATTCAATATCACTGATGCAATGCCAAGTACCACCATGTCTAAGTTCCTGGCCGTATATTCTCGAAACGGTTTTAACGCTAGGCTGTCCTAGGGTCCTTAATTCTAATAGTGTTAGGATATCCTAGTGTTTCGATCATTTCAAGAATATTTAGCCTGAAATTAAAATTAAAACAGTTTCCGTTTGATTGACGATATTTAACGCAAGAAACAGGCATGATTATTAAAATAAATAAATAATTTAGACTATCTGTCATCTTTCCGAGAACAACATGGCGGACATTGAAATACTTCTTCCTTGCCGATTTCTTCAATTCCACCGGCAAATAACTGTATCAACTGACAGTGAACCCTGAAAAAATACGAAAAAAAAAATGATCAGCTAAAAAGATCAGACCTTACACCTTAATGTAAATCGTCTTCCTTCATCAGAATATTCTTCTTGTTGATTTGGGTGGGATATCACTCTTTATTATTTTAAGCTTCACTCCGATCAGTCAGGGCATCACTTTGATAAATCAAAGCATCACTTATTAGTCAGGCCATCACTCTGATCATTCCAGGCATTATACAATAGCAAAGACCCCCTCTCAGCGTGCACCAACATAATTATACGTACTTTACATGTAGATTTGGATGATCCAGTATTTCACCATCACAATTCCAAACACTGTTACGGATGGTGGCTGGACGTAATTGAGATCGCCCTTCTTTGATTTTTGTCATGGTTTGCTCGTCTGCGTCATCATCGTGTTCTGGTAGAGGATCAAATCTAAACTCTTTCACACGAAAAACTTGGATAAAATTAAAATCAAACTGAAAGTGAAATGATGTGTTTTAGTTTAAAAGGGCACCTGCTAAAAAAAAAACCGACATAGTGCTAGAACTCTAAAAGGATAGCAGCTTGCCACAGCTTGTAATTTACTTTTGAGTAAAGATGACCTATTTATCAGAGCAGGAATAAGAACTCATGACCACCATTTTCCATAAATGATACCATCAGCACATTAACTGACTAAGCTACAACCCTCCCCTTGATTTACCTAATCTACCTCTTGTCATAAGGGAGGTAATTAGGAAGCAATGACAAGAATATCCGTCTGCAACCAAAAGGGTTAGATTGAGGATCCTGGACCTAAGCTACTTGTCAAGGGAGGTAATTAGTCTCCAATGGCAGGAATATTCGTCTACCTAAGATTGCAGATTCATTTCAATGGCTCGTGACATTTCAGAGCTAAAGATGCCCCCCCCTTAACACCCACCCCACCTTTTACCTTAACATACCTTACCCTTCCCTCCCCTAGTGACCTACCTGATCAGAGGTCCTGTCTGATGATCTATATAAATGTCTAAAATAATTCACTCGGGAACAATTGGATATCAATATTAAATCAGCATGGCCGTCACCGATATGAGAGGAGGGAGAAGCGCCCTCTGGACTCAATGCACATCGACAACTCATAGTGTGAGCGTTGATACAAATAAATCGTCCCCGCACTTTCTGCCAATTCTCTGTAGGTTTACCTGCAACAAAAAAATCAAAATAAAATACCTAAATGAAGGGGGTTTCAAATTTCAAATCAAAATACAAAACGTACTGATCCGATACATATGAAAAGTAAAATTATGGCCCATATTAACAGGGATATATGTAAAGATATGATAAGTTACTTACTAATTTGAGCACTAATAGATTTGCCTGTACTTTGATTTTTATTTTCTCTGGCTCGTTTACATATACTACAACTATAAGTAATATTTACATATTAATCAAAAGAAAGCATTTGCTTTAATCCAGGATGGCCTAGCATGTGATAAAAATAAGCTAGGTCACAACAAATGAATGAGATCAACTGCAAACCAGCAGACACGACCAATCACTACCCATTTTGTCTTAGGATATTATCGCCATCAAAATTGGTCAGTGTACCCAAAACTTAAAGATAGGTTCCCTGATTTTCATTTTGAAAATGAAAATGCTAATATTTCTATGAATAGAAAGTAGAGGTTTTCTAATGAATTGGAAAAATACCAGTTTGTCTCACTTGTCCATAATTAGTTCATAATTAGCTAAATTAGAAGAGAATTACCAGCATAATTCCAATGAGTGACCGATCAAGAAACGTCAAAAAGTCTTATTGTTTATCCAGACTGTACATACATGGACATTTACAATTGGTTAAAACTCTATGCAATAAAAAAATAATGATATGATCAAGATTACATGTTAATTCATTAGAAACATCAATTAATCAAATAGTTTGCTTAATTTGACACTAAAAAATAAGGAAACCCATCTTTAATCGTGTAAAGTAAGAAAAGTGCAATAAAGTAAAAGATTTCATACTCTTTAAGACATTTATTTCCGTCTCTAGGATGATGAGACGTATCTGTAGAGGAAATGAACGAGACTTCACCCTCGTACGTATTCTTCGATAAAAACTTTTTAAAACCTGAAAAAATCCAACAAGATAAGGTTATAGGGTGTTTGAAAAATCCCAATAGCCTTTGGACCATTTGTGTGGGTACAGATCATCAAAATTTCTCATTATGTGCATGCCCTCCGCCCCACCCCCTAGTAATCCAAACACACGAAAGTTGCTTACCAGACCAGTTATATCGTTTTGGTCCCATCCATCGTAGCCTTTCACTGTCAGCCACTAAATCACCATAGTAACCGTAACCAAGGAAACTAACACTGTATTTTAAAAACTCCCCTCTTTGATGAACTGCAGAAACATCAAGTCCTAGTTTATTTCCTGAAATATAAACAGAGCTTCCATCTTAATTGTGGGTTTCTTAATGTTAAAGTTACTACAATTATCAAACAGGGTTTAATTTATATTGAAGTATTTGATTAGCAATTGGTCATACTAAAATTCATTTCCGGCTGATCAACAGTTGAAAATTTATACTTGTATTTCAAATCTCAGACCATACACAACACCGCTGTGAAAGGTATCTTATTAAAGTGAAAATTGAGCCTTCTTAATGCTCAGAATCCTTCTCAGGCCATCTGAAATTCTTTAGCTTCTGGAGGCCTGTAGCAGCTCCCAGCCCCCTGGACTTCTCCTTGTTAACATCTAAAATTATAATAGTGCTTACCAAAAATAATATTAAGAGCTGAAGTAACAGGATCACTGATACCTATAGTTGTATAGACTATACTATCAGTCGAACCTACAAATAAGTAATACAAGTTCATTAGTCTAGGTAATATATGTAAGAGAGAACTCTTATTGTAAATTGATAATATTGTGGTCTGAACTCCAAATCTGGAGTTACTACCCTTTTTTAGTTTCAGAGATAATGCCAGGATCGGATGGCTGGTCTCAAAATACAGGTTAAATCCCTGAGGCCAAAGTAACCAACTCACATGATAGAGCTGAATTCTGTTCTTGGTTTGATGAGATTGATGAGATCTAGTATGGGTTCGCATTGCACAATTTGTAGATGAACAATATATGAGTTATGTCTCTTGACTTATTCAAAAATTAGACTACCAACCTGCGGGAATGATGCCGACTGGAATTTTCGGACTGACAGGATCGCTGTGGGGTGTTTGAGCTATCCCACAATCCCTCATGGTTCGGTCCAATAAACCGTTTAATATCTCAGAGAATGTGCCGTCTCCACCGACAGAGATTATTCTGAAATAAGACAACAGTATAATGATATCACATAGGCCTACATATTCACTCAATACAGCTTCACAGATAAACTTTAACCCTTTCAACACTGACTCCAAACTTTCAGAATGTCATGTGACATCTCTTGGCATCATCATGACATAAACATGTGGTCATTAGAATGGTCACTAGAGTAGAAAAGATTAAAATTAAGTGGCAGAACAGTCTTTCATCATTCACTAAAAACAATTTTAAAATCAGTATCAAAGATTGAATTTAATTGTAGTTATCTCCCTTGATGGAATTTGACAGCTTGGTAACAGAAATTTCAATAAACATTCCCAGACTATATCCTTGTCATAGACAGGTATAGTTTGGGCGTCAGTGACTACTGATAGAAACGTTGGAAACGCATGTCAGACAATACCAACAAAGTCTCAGTCTTAGAGTTAGGTTTTAAGGACAATTCAATAGATGCCCCAACCTACACCCAATTCAAAGTTAACTTACCCATCGTATTTGGACAAATCACATTCTCTCAGTACATCTCTAGCATGAAACTGTCTCTTAGTGACTATAATAAAAAAAAAAAAAAAATATAGTGTTTGATATGTTAATGCCATAAAAAACATGCCAGGGTTTTGAAAGGACATGTCAGATAAGCCTTCCTTTTTAAGACTACATGTAGATATATTATGAGATCCATTTATTACAAAGGTAACTTGGTTTCACTAGGATTCTGTCCTACAAGCTATTCCATGGCCAAACCATTGGCATTAAGCTCTGCAGGATTATCTACACCCATCTAATCGCTAAAGATAATCAAAACATACCTATGACTTCTGTGTAGATTCCAGCAATTTCAAACAATGGCCCCACTTTTTCACTGTAGATCTTTGGCCCCTTTTTCTTTCCACCAATAGGGTTAATAAAAACTAGGAGACGTTTTGGACGATTTGGACCTGAAATTATGCGATACAAATTTTGAGGGGTAGTTCATAGTTTTTCCTTCCATAGTTATGCTTACTCTTTTAGACACCTGATACCACTTTCCACAATGAAATACTTACTTGCTTATGATTGATATACTTCTTCATTTCAAAAGTTAACTATCTGCTACCAATGTATTGCCATTATGTTGTTTAGGATTTCAGGTTTCGTTGTGCGACTCAGATCGTTAGTACTTGTGATTTTTATTTATACGATAATCAATGTCAGAAAAGGTGCCTGCTTTTTTTTTACTTACTCCTTTATTACAGTTTCATAATTTCATTGTAAAGTTACTTACATATATTGTGTATAGTTTTGCGTATACTTTCCACCCAGAGTTGACTGGTATTGTGGTCACGACATGTTATATTCAGAGCTTTATAGCGCCATCTATGTTTATTGGATTTTATAATGTAATACACAGTGAATACGTTCAACTGAAAAATAAAATGGAGCTCTGAGTTCCACTTCGGCTTATGAAGAAGGGCAATGACATGCAGTGTACAATGGGTAAAATTTTGTCAGGACATCAGCATTAGCCTTGCTCTTTTTTTATTTCCAACTGTCGAGGGACCTGCATCACTGACTGGAATGCTATTGGAGAGTTATTACCTGGACCTATGTTTGAATGGAAGCCTGGACCTTTAGGTTAGCAAACAAGTACAGATCCAAAAGGTTTGGCCAAGGACCAACTGGTATAAAGGATCCTCATGAACCTAAGTTATCATCCTTGTAAGAAATATGTGTTTGTTTTTACCTGTAAAGGCAACATCTCCAAAGCAGTATAAGTATTGACATCCTTATTTAGTGTTTTATCTTTACTAGATGCTGGATGTTCAACTCTCACACCAATAACTTCATTCAGATCTATCATATCTGTTTTAACTCCTAAAAAATACGAAAAATTCAAAATTTCAATACCAATATAATCAGAGTCAGACATGACTGGTAAACACAACCAAATTTATTCTAGTCTGCCTTCTATAACTGGCATTCAACAATCTCTAGTCAGACATGACTGGCAAATAGTCACATCATCTGCCTAGAACTATAATTCAAAAGTAACTGGAAAAAAATACAACCAAATCAATTCCCTAGAGTTCTAGTCACACATGACTGGCAAATACAACAAAATTAATACATGTACATTAAAGTCAATTCTACCTTGGACTTAACTGGCAAATACAAAGGAATCAACAGTCCTCAAATCTGATTTTTTCAACAAAGAGCTAGTAATATGTCCATGTCAATGAGAAAGCAATCAACCAGGTAAAATTGCAACTAATTGGTCTTGTCTCTCTTTGAGTCAATGTAACAGCTTTTGTTGCTATTACATACAAGAATGGGGTCATTATTTTAAATATATTGAATTTCAATACATCATACGAAACGCTAGACATACTAACCTACAAACAGGTGGCCTTAAAGGAATAGTAAGACTGACTCGGTGAGGGGACAACTGTCAATTCAAAATGCAACAACTTTTTTGAGGGGTTGAAGCCTATAATCGTGTGGCTGAGAGGGCCCCCATGAAAACTTTCAAAATATCGATTTGATTTGGTGCATTCTGACACATATTTTAACACAAAAATGTGTACCCTGGCAAATGCCCTCCCCACCATCCCTATACCACCACTGACCCAATGACAAAAATAACTATCTTTGGCAAAATTAGGATCGAAAAATCAGTGAATTGATGAGCACAATTATAAGCTATAAGAAGTCTCACACTGGAAGTCATGTAAATTTATGAATATCTAAATATAAACTACGAACAAAGAAACACAATGTATAACATAGTAACAAATTTTACAGGAAAATATCACAATATACTTACTAATAAAAGCCTCATAGTTCGACCCCTCCGACACAGGCGCCGATTCCGAAGCCTCCAGAACCAACTGGGAGCGTGTGAGGGTGACAACATAAGGCTTATGGTCGATTTCCAAACTTGTCTGGAGCAGAACATCGTCAGGTAACACGGCAGCCATTCTTTATTTATGTTTAAGTAGAGTCAGACGCGAGTATAATATGTCAAAACTGTCAAACGCATTTTCACCAGAAAACGACCTGTTAAAAAGTCCTCGACCTTTTTAAACTAATATTATTTTTGGTTATATCACAATTTTCAACTAATCACCCCTAAAAAAATCCCATTAATTCTAATTTGATTACATAACGGGTCATGCACATCTCCATTGAACTGTGCAAATGGTTTAATGAAATCAGCTGTAACTAAGAAAGATAACTCTTGTTTTCACTAAAGATTTTCAGACCACATTTAATTTTCAAATACACAATAGAGACAAGATAATCTAAATGTAGAAGAAACCTAGTTTGAAATGTAGATACGTTACTAACTGGGATGACAGGGGGACTGAAAGCTTATAAAAAAGGGAGAGGGAGGGGGGTATTGTGAGATTGTGGTGGTGAAGTCAACTGAGGTCAACTAATTGACCAAAGCGGCATAATTTTTAAAACTTACTGGCAATTAATGATCAATATATCTACAACAGTCTCTTTTAGAGTTAGCAAGATTCAAAGCCAATCAAAAACCCTAATATTGCAGAACAAAAACTTAAAATTCATCATTTATTTCATGTTTATATTATGTTCATGTAAAAATGGATAAAATGATATTATAAGAAATTTGTCCCAAATTTTTGATAGTTAATATATAATCATGATTGGGCTTTATTTACAAATAAAAATGATGAAACAAACAGAGATCACGTTTATAAATGAAATGGAGTTTTACATCCTACGTTTTCTGCCTCTTAAAGATGGGTTCCCTTATTTTCATTATGAACTTAACTCTAATAAAAATGGCACCTTTATGAAATGAAATAGTGCTTTATTTTCAACTGTTCTGCGCCTCATTGAGTTAGAAAAAATTAGTTCATGTCCCATTTTTTCATAGGCTAATGGAATAACTAAAATTGTGTTTTATGCACAATGCCATGCAGTGTGCATTGAGGGAAATTCAATCAAGTACAATGATTATATTCTAAGTAAGTTAAGAGATTCACATGTAAAAAAACAATCATACAAATAAGTTATCTCACATACACAGACAATTAGCACTTGTAAAATACAGATAAAATAAATTAATTAATAAAAACTTAATTAAAATAAAATCCCTGAGATACAAATACACAAATAGCAAGTTTCAAATCACTCAATATCTTCACATAATACAATTCAAATAACGGCTTAGCTCAAAAAAATTTAATTGTTAGATCAAATTAAGTAAGACTTTAGTAGTTTAATAGGCGAGGGGAGCAAATATACCCACTTTTTTACCATGAAAATTTTACTTAATCTTACTGACTCAGAACCTTACTTAGCTGTCAATCAATGATTGTGATATTCTTAACTAGTAGGTGAGCCATTGAATTGGAAATTCAACCAATTTGATTGGATAAAAAGTGGGTTAGGTTTTAAACCTAAATTTGTCTTTAACATTGTATTCAAGAAACAATAACTAAAACTACTATACCATAACAAAACAATCTAATAAATTTCTATATTTACAATTATTAAGTTAGATTGCACCTAATATTTCATGTTACCAGCAGAATAGTCGAGCACATCACCATAAACACAAGCACATGATTTTCAGGTAGTTTAAGAAATTCTTAACACTTTATATAAATCTGTCTATTACTATTTGACCTTTTGAAGTAAAGAGCTTGGTTATTTTGAAAAATGCATAAATATCTTTGATTGATTAGCCATATTCGGATTCAAAACATAAGTGATCCACTCGATTTGGAGTCCTTAAAAGTGGACCGCGAGTACTTGTGTTTTAGTTATGGATTCCGACAAGGTGTGCATGATTTTTGCTTGATAAACGTATTGCTGTCTTTGGTTTAGAATCATAAAGTGATCCACTAAATTAAAATCTAACGTTGATCAGTCATCATAAATTAGTCAAATCATAACTAGAATCCACTGGCTCTGCTTTGATTTTGGGGACAGATGGACTAGACTGCGCTGAGGGATTGCTCTCTGTATCCTTAGAGCTTTCAGTGGTTTTTGGGGATACCTCTTCAGTTGATTCCCTGTTACCTCCCTGAGAATTTTGAACTCCGTTCATTAAATGAGGGTTAACCACATGGGGATAATACTGCCCTGAGTAAAATGGGTTCCAAGCTGAAGGCGGGAAATTCATATTTGGTAGGAACCCGTTGTTACCCATTGGTAAATGCGGGTAGGGGGCTGGATGAGACATTTGGGGGTTAAATGTTGGTGAGTAGGTGGGTGGGGGGTTGAATGCTGATGTGTGGGTGAATGTTGTTGGATGAAATGTTGACATGTGTGAGGCATGCGTTGACGAAGGGCTGGCTTGAGTTTGACTATGATTTGAATAGGGAATCTGAGCAGATTGAAGGGAAGTAACTGAAGTTTGTGATTGGGGTGAATTTTGAGTAGATGAAGGTGTGGAAGGGGGAGAATTGTGAACCGATGTTGGAGAGCCTTGTGGAGACTTGTTCAACGATGCCATAGATAAATTTTCAGGTCTGTCTGAAAGCGCCCGACCTGATTGATTGCTCAACGATTGCAATGTGGGCGTGGATGGTGTCATTACCATGGAGTCTGTGTTGCTTAGTGACTGAGTGTAAGGTGTGGAAGGGTTGTAGTTAGTGGTTGGGGCCAAGGTCATTTGAGGATTGAAGGGGTTCATGAAAGGGGGATGCATAGGGTACTGTGAAAATGGGACTTGTGGATATGATGGTGACATATTAAAATTGGACGCCATTGTGTTTGGAATCATCATGGATTGAGTGGTATAGGGAACATGGCAACCATTAGAATTGGGTTGATACGAATTCATTCCAGGTTCCTGCTTTATATAGGGAATAGGTTGTCCATTAGGACCAACTGTTCCTGAGTATGGTTGAGTTACTTCCCCTGTATAAGGTGCAGTTATTTCACCTGAAGTGACTGTTGCTTCCAGTGATTTCTTACTCCTACGTCTTTTTGGCTTTGCTTTTGGCTTTTCCTCCCCGTTTGCTTGCTCTGCCTTGACGTATCCATCATCAACGGGTTCCTCTTTCTTGATTTTCAACTCCAGAGTAGGGAATGTGACGTCAGCATCATCCAGCTCCTGAAGTTTTCCCGCCTTGATATGATCACGAAGCTTCTTCAGCGCTTCATAGAATGGAACTTTGTCTACTGCTCTTGGTAACTGAGCACATCTGGCACTGGATGAAGGCATCACATACACAACCTGAAATATCAAGCAGATTATAATTGACATTTTGGCAGAGATATTACTTCACAAACTATTCCAACAAATCACACAGTCATTCAAGACAATCATTTACTTGACACCCCTCAACTTTTAATTGAACTCTTCCACACATGCATACTTTCTATAAATATGATACTGTAAACGTGTATGATTGGAACAGCTCATTTGTAAAATAAGGGGTGTTTTCGTTGCCTGTCTTATAATACTCAGCCTTGTCATTACGAAGAGGTACACCAGTCAGACATATTGCAAGAATGGTCAAACATTTCAATATATCAAAATTTAAACTTACTGTATCAGTGCCCTCTAGTGGTTCTGGTTGTTTTCCTATACTAAACTTCTTGTGGCCCACAAAAATCTCATAAATACCTACAAATATATAATACATTAACTAATATGTAATACATTAACTAATATATAATACATTAACTAATATATAATACAATAACTAATATATAATACATTAACTAATATATAATACATTAACTAATATGTAATACATTAACTAATATATAATACATTAACTAATATATAATACATTAACTAATATGTAATACATTAACTAATATGTAATACATTAACTAATATATAATACATTAACTAATATATAATACATTAACTAATATATAATACATTAACTAATATGTAATACATTAACTAATATATAATACAATAACTAATATATAATACATTAACTAATATATAATACATTAACAACCAAACACCAAAGTGGACATAGCAGAACATTTCAAATCCTTAGAAAAGAAAAGGAAGTCTTATAGAAAAAAAAAACAGATTGGAGTAGGAGATTGGAATGTACATTTAGAAGCTGTCAGTGTCCAAATTCAAACTACTACCGAAAAAAGTAAGTACAGTATACCTTTAAGGATTAGGTTATTGAAATGCACTTCTATGTCTTACATTCCTTTACCTTATTGAACGATTGAAATAAGGAAATTCAACAGCGAGTAGCAGAAGTTTGTTGGAAAGAGTTTTACGCAAAACCACATACCTTTTCCATTAAAAGCTGCAATTTTAGGTCTATACTTCTGTAATTTCTCTTTGAGGATTCTTCCTCCTTCTTGAATTTCAGGTCTGAAATTAATGTAACATGTACGTCAACAATTAAGCTTACGATGTCATACATACCCTAATATAAATTATGAGTTACAATTACTTACTTTTCTATGCAGTATGTTATCCCAATATAAAATTCTACTCTAAAATCAATGACTTTCAATGTTTTATATACAAATTTCACCATTTCAAATTACACTCCAACAATTCTTATGTAAAATAAAACTTACTTTTTGAGATCAGCACTGCCTCTGGTTGTTCGAGCACAAATATTGGTGAAGCCTATACCATGTTCTATCAGTTTAAAATCATCATACGCATTCATTGGTTCTGGGATGAGCCCTGACAGGTAGAGACATTTCCCTGGAATAATCAAAACATTGACGTTAATGCCTTAAATCCTGAAAGTCTGAAGAAATCTCGGACAAGGGAGCAGCGTAGGGGTTAAGGTAAGAAAAATTCTGATGCCTGTGCCAGTGCTTCCAAGAGTCGGCCTAGCGTCAATTTTTCCTTGAGGCTATAGGGATGGTATATCATTATAAACCACAAAAATTACTTACAGAAATGGTTTCCAGGACCAGCATAATGATGTCCAACATAGGCAGCAAATAATCCTGGATTAATTCCAACCTAAAATACATCATTTACATGTTTGATCAACAGATTTTTCAAGATTTTGTCACTAGTAGGAAGAGTGCAATTATACAGAAATGAATGAAATGAATGAATGGACGAAATGAAATGAATGAATTTGGACAAGGTAGACAAGCAACAATATATATCTATATTTCATGACCTAGGCCAGTCGTGCTCTAATGAGACCGAGTTCTCCTCACCATCTAACATTGAGCAGTGTGCAATGAGGAAAATTTGTCCAAGAAAGAGAGAAAGATTGACTTACTATTAAGATGTCTAAATTCTCTGCTAAATGATCAGGTAATAATCTCAAAGCCACTTCCTCCTCTGGCATGCCATTAAATCTGTCATGTTTTCTCTTGGTCTTCGGTAAATGATCAGTTATCTTCTCTTGTTTAAGTTTTTTATTTGGAATTTCACAGCCATCTTGTACTTGGAAAGAGTTTGCATCAAATGCACCCCTAGAATAAAATATGAATCAATAAAACTCAGACTTGAATTTTACAAATATCATCGTTGAAAGCATCCCCGACAAAATTTGATAGTTCTTCAAATTCACAACTGAAGACATTAAAAAAGAATATTTGAAGAGATCTTCAATGAAAGAATAACCATTTCCATGTTAAAGAGGATCCTCTCTACTGCCTAGCTATTGGCAAAACCTATTGGCTTTGGATCTTTCCAAGATTATCTGTACCCTTTTCAGCAGGGTCAACTGAAGTAATCCTTTAATCCTATGAATGAATGAATCTTACCAATCTGTCGGCTCTGTTTTAACTCCCGGTTCTTGTTTGACTTTAGGTTTTCGTTTAGCACGAGGTTTTTTAGGCGTTGTTTTTGAGGTAGCTTGATTTAATATTGGAATCGTCAATTGGGGTGTCCGTTCTTCCATAACAGCATTTAAACTGTAAACAAAACAAATGAAATATAGTGGAGATTACATGACACTTTTCTGTGTCAGTTTATTTGACACCCCTCAGCTTTCTATTGAACTCTTCAACACAAGCATACTTAATATCAATATGATACTGTAAACGTGCATGATTGGAAGAGCTCATTTGATAAAATTAGGGGTGATTTTTCTTGGCAGTCAAATTTGTATCCAATGCTCAATGAGATAAATCTTCTCTAGCAGTAGCAGCTCTACCTATTCTGTGATTAGGAATGTGCCGGAAATTTAACTTTGGTAGATCTAAACCCATAGTTCCATATTTGTTAACATTAGTGGTAGAAATATGTACAATTCCTTAATCAAAAATATTTTAGGAAATAAAGAATGAGATAAGCCTAAGGAATTGTTTGTACCTCTGTGAAATAGAGTCTTGATATAATGATGTAGCTGTCATTTTGTCAAGTCTGATTCTTACGTCCTGCGTCAAGTCTTCTTCTGTCCTCGTAACAGCTGAAAAATAAAGATCACATCATAATTGATAAGAGCTCAACAACAAATTTCGGATACATTCTTTACTCTTTTCAGTACCAGTATGGATTGTTTTTAATCTTAATTATGCTATATGCATGAGCCAAAGGCTAGATTAATCAAGGTGTAATAACTTTCATTTAGAACATTAACCACAGTTGGCCTATATGTGGAACTGTATTTAAATAGGAGAGTCCCAAACTTACTCTACAAGGCTATGAGTACATAGTAATATAAGCTTTCAGGTTAGGACATATCGGTCTACTATTTAAATTTCATATTCAAATTTTCGTCCCTTCCACAGCCATTTCCTTTTCCCAGTGCAGGTATCTAGAAGGGGCCTAGAAGTTATCCCTGTTTTCAGATTTAACATTTTGAAAACAAAAGGGCACAAGTCAGTGATTTAATTCAATGACTATTAACCAAGTGAGAAGATAACAGTGCAGTGGCGAATCTGAAAACTCATCATCACATCTGATGAAGTTCAAATTCAAGATGTAAACATTGACACAAATGAAGTAAACATAGTGCACCAAAGCCTTTCGGTTTGAAGATCATTACGGCATTGAAAGATGAACACAATTTTAATTGTGTGCATTGTAAAGATAAGTAGCAATCAAGGGATTAATCTTTAAAATTCTAAAACAATACTCACTCTTGTCCACTAGTAGATTTTTTCCTCCATAGCTTTGTTAGCTTAATTATTCTCTTTTGTAATTTGATTGGCGAGTTATATTTAGCCGACCAATCAAATTCATTCTGTCTACGGGCACTGGTACGTTCACATGCGCATTAAAATCCAAGATGGCGGCGCTCAGTCAGACGTGAGAAAACCGTTAGAAATTATGTAATCTTATGTCATTGAGTGAAAGTAACGGTTTATTGAAGTGCTATTGAGCTTGGACAATACTTTGTGACATGGTCGCTCGTTTAATCTCACGATCAGTAGAAACTATCGTTAACAAGTGGCCGGGAAAAAAGTATTTAGGTGTATTTCGGTTCCTGCCCTGTTTTGTTGTCATTGGAGCTGTCCTTGAGTTTAGCATGGTCAACTGGACAGTTCGGGAAGCGAATTTTTGTTAGTATGATAATCACTCTCCCATTCATTACATATATATCAGAGAACCCTACGTGAACAAATAGGAATGTCACTTACTGCCCTCATAATAGTCAATTTCGTACTAATTCTACTTTCGATTTATTCATATAGATCTATAATATACCACGTCTTTCTTTACTCAGTATAAACAAGTCATAATTTAATAACTCCTGGTTTGAGTGCCATGCAATGCCTAACATTTTTATCAAGTCTGAAACAAGGTACTGTATCAGCAAGCCCATTGCTGTGCGTACCAAATTATTGCTTTGCTACCAAGGATTTTCAAAGTTAGCTTATAGTTCTCAAAATGGTATAATATTGAATTGGAAATGTATCTGATATTGTAAAAAAAACTCTAAAAAACCTGTAAGGATAAATCATATTTCTTTTCCATTTCAGACACAGTATACAAAAAGAGACAAATTCGAGATCAAGCCCTAGCTGAACTGAAAGCAGAGGCTGAAAATGCCAGCGGGACTTAGTGGCGGAAAATATATTTCGTTTATGGCAGCAAGTTTGGTGTCTATGTTTATTGGAGCTCAGTTAGTTCATTCTTATTACAAACCACTTAAGGTAGGATAGCCTGTTTCAATTACAGAAAAGGGTATGAGCTAAAGATGATAAGTGCATGGGCTTTGTCTCAACATTGTTATGTTTTTTTTATGCCCAAATAAAATATATCAGAACCTTATCTAGAAGGGTTATAAGCAACTTGGCACCTAATCAAAATTTATAGAAATATATTGTGGTAAGCAAATTTTAAGCCAAACAATAAAATTTTCTTTTTTAGGATATGAATGAATTGGTGAAAGCTGAGAAGGAAAAAATATTGGCAGAGCAGGCAAAGGAGGCTAAAAAATCTGAATCAACTACAAAAAAATGATGAAATATTGAATCGTCATGTCTTAGTTTTGTCAGTTCTTGGGGATGTGTGGATATCTTTGGTTGACTAAAATACATTTTGAAAAAGGAACAATTTACAAAAAATATTAGATTTATTTATAATATGATAATGAAACGAAGAGATTGTAAAAATGTAAACTAATTATTTGAGGTATGATTGTTTGTTCTTGTGTGATGAAAAAAATTAAAAGTATGAATTTTTGTTTGTGGCATTGTTTTTTTATCACGTTTCCATGTGATGTATAAATTTCATCAGCACTGCTGATTCCCGTTAGCCAATCATATCTTACTTGAGGTATTAAATGTCTGGCTCTCATTTCAGTATTCCAACAATTAGAATCGAAATAAACGGATTTGTTCATAGATATATTTCAGAATGCCTTTGTTTGATGTGATCTCTACTTCAAAATGACTTAACCCTTTCCCATTCTTCTAGCACTATTTACAAAGTTCATACACTGCCAAAATACTTCAAAATTAGCTGAATGTGCACCAAGTTCTAGGAACTTGACATGTCAATTTTGCTCCAAATGCACTAATAAAATGCCCAAAGAGGCTCTACTTCAAAAGGATCTCGATTATTTTTCAACTCTCCTGACACTGTTCACAGAGCTCTAGGAACCAAACAAGACCAGTTTACATGGTTTCCACTTCAAAATGTTCCTGATTCTTCTTCTTTTCTTCTTGAGCAGCAGTTTGTTGTCTTCGTGGCCAAGACATGGCAGCGTCTGTCGCTCTTACACTTTTACCTTTCTTCACTTTCTTCCTTTCTTTTTCTATTTCTTTTACTATTTCCTTTTCTTGTTCTACTTCTTTCTGTATTTGAGAAAAAATTACAATTTCAGTTTTTGATATTGGCAGTATTGCATGAAATGTTGCAAGACATTGCAGGAGAATTCAAGACTGCTGAAATAATTTTCTAGCTTGTTAATTGTAGAGAAACAAGGTGTTTAATTTTGAAGGTGATTCAAGACAAATTTAGTCAAACATAAAAGCAAATTTATGCCCCGCCTGTGCTTTTGTAACTTTGTACAAATATCAAAGTTACAAAAGCACAGGCGGGGCATTTATTTGCTTTACACCCCTACGTACAGAGCAGTGTATATTCCTACCTTCAAGTCAAACTTTATCTGTAGCCTTTCTTTAATCAACAAACCTCTTGTCAATAATTTCCAGTTTCCTAACACTCGCTTCTCTATTTTCTAAAGATGAACAAATAAACACATGAACGACAAGACGAGAAAAAACACACCAACAGTGCACCAAAATTGAAGTAAAAGAATATGGATTTGAACCATACCTCCATTTCTCTTTGTTTCTGTATCTCTTGATCTTCATCCCAAGCGGCCATTAAAATATCTTTCTGGTCTTCACACACCACAAACCCTTCTAGTCTACAATTCAAATAAAATCAAATTAAATTGAGCTGTTCATCCTACTTTTCTCCTCCTGATGGGGCTTAAACAAGGCTTGGTGAAATGAGAAGATAGAGGTGTGCCATGTGGGAAATTTAGTCTACCCTATATTGTGAATCAAGCATGTACAATATGCACTACTTCTTACCCTCGACATCTGAAAAATTCTCTGTCACTATAAGCATGTTGCACCCCATCTTTTTTTGTAATTTCAAAATGTCAAGGGATTTTATATATGCCCACCTTACAGAACAAGAGGCTTCAGTTTTGGTCTTATAAAGAATGGGGCAATTAGGTGCTTCCATTTAATCCTTTAGTTACTTACAGTGCATGAGAAAATCCACCATGATAGTCCCAGCCCACCATGGCAGCCACACAATCTATTCCTAACTTCTTAGCTATTCTGTTCAACCCTTGAACTAAAAAGAACAAATTTTCATGAGTTAAGGCCCTTACAATTTTGGATGAGTTATTGCCCTTGATTTGTTAAAGTACTATACATAAATGACCTTATTCTTAGTTACATATTTCAGAATACGAGCCTATGTCAAGCTTTTACCAGCTGACAGAAATACCAGACATACATAATTGTTTCATATTTAATTTATTGTACAGTCCGTCGCTGAAGACTTTGAATATATTAGCGTTTTTCTCATCCTTTGTTGATGGCGCTGGTAGACTGCAGTACAAGTCATTCAACTCACCTTGAAGATGTACTGTACCACCTGGTAACATCCAAGGTTTAAATAGTTCCACATTTCCATATTCATTACGAGGAATTTTACCCTAAAATGAAAGTAGACCCTTGCATTACCTATGTCAGGCATAATTTAAAAAAAAAAAAAATCTTATTATAAGTTACAAATGCTTACATCCTCATCTGTATGAGATGAGAATAAGCCTTGGAGATGCAAATACTTCAAATAAAACATGTATGAAATAGGAATTTAAGTTGAAAAAAATGTACATCTCTGACAAAATGGCCTCCTTGGAACAGATGTACTTACATTTACAGCTGGTGGAGGAATATATATATCAGTCTGCCATTCCCCAAATATCTCTAAATCTAACGCATCAGGGTTCTCCTTGGGTTTTTTCTGAAACATTAGAATAAATAAAATCCAGGGTTCAGTTATACTATTGATTTACAATCGAGCTGAAATCTAGCTATCGTAAGTGCTTTATAAAATGCAGTCTGGCATTTAATCAGTCTACAATTAAAACAAAACAAAGAGATCTCACTTACCCATTTAGGTCTTGATTTGACCATTTTATAAGGTTCTTCACCAATCTACAAACATACAAAATCCAAACTAACACACGTTTCAGATATAAAATCCTCATCAGGACAACTGGTATGGAAATATTTTGACTAAGACAATTGAACAAAGTAAGGGAACTATCTGAACAGGATCAAGTCACCTTAAATAATTTCTAATTTGACTTACTCTTACTGCTCTACCTTCTTTCATCCAATTTTCTCTAGAATGTAACTGAAATGGGATAAAAAAAATAATTCTTTACCCATCTGATAGTACTCTATGATGTCTGTCAGACATTTTTTCATGAGAACATATTTAATGGACTCCATTTGAAAAAATTTTGCGATTCAAGCGGCAAAATAATATTTCTATCAAATAAATTAGGATTAGGGGACAGGCTTATATGTGCCCTATCCTGAGCCTAGAAAAAGCAACAATCAAAAATGTCTGATCCTATTCTAAGGAAGGAACACATCTGAATCCATACTTACCACATGGACACACTCCCTAGCGTAGATTGGTTCCCCTCTAATATAACCAACAGGTATAGCTGTATCAGGATATATAGCTTCAAACTTTAATAGATGTCTTTGTAACACATACCTAATAATAATATAACATTAATACAATGTTGCTCATACAAATAGTATTATCATGCAATTCAATTTTTAAAATAGGTGACAGAGATTTCAGAATACAGGGCATTTCATTGGTTGATTCATTATCATTAAAGTTAATAATCATGTGCCTATGCAAATGGCAATCCCGAAGTCAAAATGGTGGATCTGAAATGCCCAAGAGCCATTCGATATCTGCAATGTCCTCAAAAAAGTTAGTGCTTTGTGTCAAGCCAATATTTTCGTATAATTACAGACATCTGATGGAAAATTGGAAAGATGCAAATGTGTAATGAAACTTACAATGGATGACTTTTAAACTGACCTATACTGGTTGGTAGAGGTCTTTTAATCAATTGATCTGAGAACAAGAAAGAGTTGGAAATAATTTTCATAACACATAAAAGTAACCATTATTGCAGAACTCACTAAGGTGGCCTTTAATCTTTGTGGTTTCATCTGTTCCAATTCACCACCTTAGTGTTCGCTAACTTGGAGGTCAGAGGTAAGTCAAGATATTGAACTATCAACCTCTTATGACCTCTAAGTGGGGCAAATGCAGAAAAATGATCCAGAAGGATAGGACGAATCAAATCTCTAAACTGTCATGAACATAGGTGGAGCTAACATGTATCCTAACACAACGAATCTCACCTTTAATATGTTCATCATCTTGTTCATTTTGCTCCTCCTGGCTACGATAAGTCTGTAGTGTTTCTCTCCACCAATCAGAATCAGTACGTAATTTACGAGTTGTAGACAACCAATCAGACGCAAAGCGTGGCGTCACATCCTTTATACTACCATCTGAAATATGAAAAGTTTTTAATAGGCGAGGCATTTTCCTTAATCAGGGGACAAAACTCACTAATTTGTTTGACTTGACACTTATTGTCACATCTTCACAATGTCAAGCTATTACAAACTTTGTCTTATACCTTGACTGCAATAGTATTTCTCCCAAAGGCATCTACACAATGGCAATCTATAATGAATTTTACATCAACGAATGTAGCCAATCAGAGCACTCAACAGACAGACTGTATAAGTTATGGCTTAGTGTTTACTGACTTTTTGTCAAGGCCTCTGATTGGCTGCTAGCAAACAATCCAATCAAATCACTGCATTTACAAACTTCTGTAATACAAGAAAGGTGGCTATTGCTTTAGTCCAGGCATTTGTTAAAGGGACATAACTCAGTAAATAAATTGTAAGAGTGAATACTTACCATTACTATAAGCTAGACAATAATGTAAAGGATAAGTAGCAGTTGATTCTATATCATATGGTTTATTTACAACTTCTCGTATACAATCAACACCTGGAGAAAACAACAGTATTGATCACACAACGGTTAACGCTCGGTGTAATATTAAATCTGGCAATAAGATCCTCTATTTATCAAACAGGATATATAATAATATTAGGCAAGATTTAAGATGATACACCTATGTATCTACTTAAGCATTGGTGGTGGGAGTACATCATGGGATTTCATCCAATCAAAAGCATGCCTTTAGTAAGAAACTATAAATGGGACGTATGATGATCACCCAGGAAAACTTGGGCCTACAGTAAAAGAAGAAATATGCTTCATTTTCTGTCTAAAAATGATACTTACAGATCCATTGATTTTCTTCCTGTAAGTAAATTTCAATCCAGACGTCACAACCACGCTCAGAGTCATCACTGGAATCACTCGATAATATTTTCCTATTCTTCTTTAATTCTTTATTCTTTCTCACAACTTCTGGACTTCGAAACTCCACTTCTTCTTCAAAATCACTGGAAATAAACAAAATACTGAAAATTATGTGAGCTACACATTAGCTTGTAGTTAATTCAGGACTTCATGACTTTACTTCTTCAAAATCACTGAGAATATGATACGAAATATTGTGAATTATCCAATCAAGTTCACCAGGAAATTAAAGGAATTTCTTGTGTACCAACTAGAAATTTTTTTAAAATTCTGATAATTCAAGCTAAAAATCAATGGAATTGACCTCTGAATTTACATAACCAAGTTTTAATTCTTAAAAGAAAAAAAATGTCTCCTCAGAACTTCACATTCTTGATTTAAAATCTTACCTAGAGTTATCCTCATCTAAGGACGTAGAAAGACCTCCCTTTGGTGATTTTCCTTTCGTGGAATTACTGTTGTCACAACTTTCATCTGAGGAAGCATCGTCTTCATTTGGAATAAAAATATCGCTTCCAGCATCTGACTCACTTTCAGTTTCTTTATAAGTTTTCACGTTATTCGAGGCACGTCTTTTTCGCCCACTCTTTTCAGACTTCCCTTTCGTTTTTTTCTTGGAGTTGTCTTTCTTGTTCGAAGTTATCGAGGCATTTTTGTCACAATTCTGTTCAGGTTTTAATTTGTCAGAGCTTTTGGATTTATTCGGGGATTTTTTGACAATTTTCTTTCGCGGCACTGTCAATCTCTTTTTAGCACCAGTAGATTCTTTCAGTGGGGTAGGTTGAAATGACATCACTAGTCGAACATCGTATCCCAACACCCGTAAAATTATCATAAACATCTAAAAAAAAATCAATAAGCATTCAAAGTCTGTTTCTCAAAAAAAAAAATATAATCAAAATTTATAATTAATATACTTCCTCATATAAATTGTTCATTAGCTGCTAACAATGTATTGCCAAACTGTGTTTTTGAATTTCGAGTTTCATTTTCGCTTCATTTATTAAAGGGTTTTAACATACCAACACGAACTGTTTTTCTGTTACAGCTTCTTTTTTCTCAAACCTTTCTTCCAATTGGTCTAAAGTAACCTAAAACACATATAGTAACAAAATGATCTGCATATTCAATATATTTCAGTGGGCACATGAATAAATTTGTGGTTCGGAAAACTTAATATTCACAGAAATTCAGGCAAAGAACCTATCTAAAATTTCACTCACTAAAGATCTGGAGCGTTGGTCTGGATTAGGATTAAAGGTGACTACAGTTTTATACCAGGTTATCAAGTCTTTGACCTCTGGACTATCTACCATTGATATATTTCGCGACAGCAGTCTGGTGGGTAGTAAGGACAAGGCCTGTCCTTTTAAAATTGGTGATTCGCAAATTCTATTTTGCTGCATTCCATGGGAAAGTAAACATAGTAGTTCAACCTGTAAAGCAGAATAGAATTTCACTATGAAAAATATGAAGAAAGCGGCTGTAACAAGGTCATGCTAGTTTCGTTGAAGTCTGACCAGAAGATCGAGTCTATTTTGCACGGGTGAATCTGGCATTCATTCTCAAAAAATTTAAAAAACTGAAGTTGTAAGTCTTGTGTTTCTCAATGTAGTGCTCCACACTTGCGACAAACTATCGCAGTTGGATGTCAATGAAGGACTTCGAAGAAAAGAACGACAATTTTGGTCTATAGTCTAGCTGAATGTAATATTTATTTCATGCTGAGACTAAGAGTGTATGAAATGAACACAGACCTTGTGAATACCTATTCTGACATCTTTCTGGAATCTTCTTATTTTTCTCTCCACCCACGCTTTCCAATCAAAGGCTTTTTTCTTTCTGAAAATGAAAGGAATCAAATAAAGACCTTAAACAGACAAAGTAAACAACCAGATTCAGGCTTCTTCTATTTTCTACTGTATTGATCAAACTGTGCAGTGTACCAAATCTGCATAATGGACTCACAAACCCCATGCTTACCTTTTTTTCTTCATGAAATCAGGATGATCAATTGTAATTTCTACAGATTTGGCTGGTATCTGAGATTTCAATGGACTATGGTGATCTGAAATAGACAAATCTGGGATGTTTTGATGTCAGCTCGTGCTGTTGAATTGTCAGACCAAAATGGTCTCGAAAACTTAACTCATAACAATCACAGTAATCTGACTAGATAATCAACCAAGTATAAAATCAATTTTACCATTAACCAATCAGATGACGGAAACTAAAAAATTTTACCTGCTACTTCTTCCCAATCTGATTCTTCACCGCTTTCACTATCCATAGAGGAATTCATTGAGTTATCTCCTCCTGCTTTAGATGTGGATGGTCCAGCCCCTTCCATCCTTAGCAACACTGATGTAATGTCCGTCTCATCTAGAATAGATCTATTTGCTGAAGTCTTATTCTCAACAGAGTTATCTTTCTTGGTTTTAGCCTTAGTTACCTTTGGTTTCGATTCTTTCTTCTTAGTTGGAACAGTTTTTTGGGCTTTAGTGCTTTGTTTCTGCTTCTTTGGCTTACTCTTTTGTTCTCCGATTTCACTGTCTGAACTCTTTCTTTTATGGGAATGAGTCAGCGAATTTAAAAGGGTGGAAGGACCTGGTTGTGGATTTTCTTCAACATCTTCAAAATCTGAGTCAGAAGATGAATCATCGTTCATTTCGAGTATTCTTGAGGTATAATCAGCAGACGACATGTCTTTCTTTTCAAGTTCGTTGGAGGGAGAATTTTTGAATTCATTTGTGACATTTCCTTCCCCATTCAAACTGACTCCATTTTTTGTGTCCTTGCTTTCTTCAAGTTCGCGTGTCTGTTTTTTAGGTTTGGGTTTTGTTTTAGCTTTAGCTTTTGGTTCTCTTTTAGTTGCTTTTGATGTTAGTTTCACAGCATCAGCTGCAATACCTGTTTCTTCTTTGACAACTTTTTTCCTACCCCTGACAGGTTTAGAGGCAACTTTTTCAGCAACTTCATCCCTATTTCCACCATTTATAACTGTAGTGGAGACATTGTTTGAATTATTTTCATTTTTCACATTGAGTTTGGGGGCTTTTGTTTCTTTAGCACTTTTGGTCATGTATTTTCTTTTGCCCTTTTGGACTTGAGACACTGGTTTTTCATTTCCATTCTGAAGTTTATTTTCAGCACTAAGTTTTGGGCTTGTCTCTTTCACATCTTCTTCAGATTTTGAAACATCTTTCTTTATTTGTGGTTTATTTTTCAAGTTTTTAGATTTTGTGACATTTTGGACATTACTATCTGACTCAGAACTATTGCTTTTTATATCTTTTGCTATTTCTTCGATCACTGGACTTTTTGAAATCCGCAAACTATCTTTTGTCTTGCTACGAGTCTTGCTAACTTTATTTTTGGACTTGTGACTCCCTGCATCATCATTTTTAGAATCTGATTTTGTTGACGTCTTGGTATTCTTAACTTTCCGCGCCATTGTTATCTGCAAAAAAAAAAAGAATTGGTATTTCATTACTTGCATTCCTTACTCCTAAAGGCCTATCTATCTACAGTAATTAGATATCACCTAAGACTTGAGCCAAGTGGCCAAAGGATTAACATATCTTAGGCTTGTACAGACATCAAACTTAAAATTGGAATGGTGTAAATCGATGCTATCTGTGTCTCTTATAGGCCTACACATGAAAAATTCATAAAACCTTTTTACAATCCTTTTCAGCCTTAAAAAGGTAATCCTTGAATCGTTACCTTGTAGGCATACCTCTTTGGTGGTAAACGCACTCCGTAATGAAAAATACAAATACAATCGAGACTACATTTCCCGCGGTAATTTTCATTACATAAGTTTTCAACGTGTCCCAGTTTCTTTTAATCCAAATGGCAACAAAAATAGATCGATGCAATGCATAGATTCAAAGATGACATCCAAATAAAACAGTATATAGCACAAGAAAGTCATGTCCAAGTGTTGGACGGTTAAGTTGCACAATCAGCAAAATAGCTCAAATCAATGAACCACAACGGTCCGTTTTTTTCAGTATGAATTGATTGCCCGACTGACTAAATGTATGAGCGATGTCAACTTGTTTTACCTTCTTCCATCTAGCTTATGAGTCGTTTTCGCCACAAAAATTTCATTCTCGAAAGTGTTGATGAAGATTTATCTGAACTGACCTTTCACTTCAAGAACCCATCAGCATTTCCGATTAACCAGTCAGATTTTTTTGTTCAATGGTTTAATTTTATGGATAGCTTACTTCGCCAAAATATACATAAATGCGCAAAAATAGAATTGGGTCTTATCTTTTTGTGGACTAAACCTCACATTTATAATGAGAACAGTTCACTTAATCCCTTAGTTGGGATTAAAGCTATATTTCGTTTCATTAATCCAATAGGGGCCTTAGGTGTTGATAGTAGCTAGGACATTCCATTCCATTTCATTTCATTGATATTAGCCCAATAAGGTACAGAATAGTAAGCGATAAAACTCCAATTCATTTCATTAGTCCAATTAGGTATAAAACAGTAGGACATAAAACTCTATTTCATGTCATTTCCCTTCTCAATATCAAAATATTTTTCACATCATTTTGACCAATAATAAGGGTAGAAAAAGACGCTTTTTGATATTGAATGATATTTTTAAAAATAATTTCAAATCATACATGCATAGAAACAGTTTTAAATGATCATATCTACAAAAGGTCTTTTAATTCATGGACAACTAATATACAGTTAGTTGAAGCCAAAATTAGATTTCAAACATTAAATAATTAAATTTTATTATGTGTTAATCAAAGCTTTTGATTTTAATTGCTATTTTTATTGACATAAGTGATACATGCAGTCATTTTAATATTTTGCTCACTGTCTCATCGAGCTTAATTTCAACCATCAATATCCCTTTTCAGAATTAAAATCCAACATTTAGTTCCATTACAATTTAATAAGATTTTACTCTAGAAGTTTATTTTAATGGAACTTAGCGTCAAATTTCTAATCTGAGAAGTGACACAGATGCTATAAACTTTCTAAAATATTCAAAATTATTTATAAAGTATTCAGATTAAAACTGAAAAAATACTTTCAGAAAAATAAAAAAAACAAGAAATAACAAAAAAAGAAAGAAATCAACAGAATAAATAAAACTTTAAAAATATCAGAAAAATAATACTAGATTGAAAAATTATAACTAAAAATTGACAGACATGACAACGCACACCCACTCTGCAGCTGAGCTACATTTATTTTAGGGTCTTTGAATAAAGCCAGACTCATGCAAGAGACCATTGTCTGATGAAAGCTCAACTCTAAAAAGTCTTTGTCAAGCTTAAAGGACTTTTTTTAAACAAAAACATTGTTACTTTAATTTCAAAAAAATTCCAGCAACTCTGATTGGTTGATATTATTACTTTTGACAACCAATCATGTTCCTTCAAACTGTTTAGATCAATTTAAAGTTGTGATCTCTCTGACTAAATTGTTTTTTGTTGCAAGTTCAAGCTCTCTAAAATTCAAGAATTTATTTTATTGAAATATGAATATATAGCTAAAAGTAGTTTATATCATAAGCTAGCTGACTAAATACTTGTAATATGATATATATAATATGGACATCATCGAATATTCCTCTAAATTTTATTGTTTGGTTTCATAACACAAAGTTACAAACATAATACATAATCCATAAATTTTAATGAAGCGAATAAAAAATGCATTATTATTACTAATATCAATATAAAAATAACTATGTCTATGTGTAAGATTTGAAATGGAATATAACACATATAACAAGATACCTATTTAAAGGGATTGTAAAGAGTAAGATTTGAACTACATATAGAAGCGAGGAGCACATATATCAAAACACAAGACAATATAATTATATTCTTTAATAAGGTTGGGCACATGCATGTCTATGTGGTTTTCATAACCTATGGCAATAAAACTATATTAAAAATCTCAATACGTCATAACATAAAATGCCCGCAAACTTTCTATGAATCAAAGATGCTTTTGAAGTCTCCTTGTTTTGTAAAAAACTGTCGCCTACCACAAAAAAAAATCAGAACACCAAAGTCATAAAAATTAATTTAAAAATATTCAATGAAGTATATCAACACATAATTTAATCCTTTCCATAAGCAGATAGAAAAGTACCAAGCCTCAAACTCCATTTAAATATAGCACATGATGAACACAGGGCCAGAACAGTTGAAACTGTGAATAAGCAGACACAGGGCCCAGTAAAAATAAAACTGAGGATAATGCAAACCCAGAACTGGGCATTATGAACTGGCCCTTTAAAATTAAAACCAGTCATCAGGCAAACACAGGGCCCAGTAAAATAAAACTTAGGACAATGAAAACTCAGAACTGGCCCTTTAAAATTAAAACCAGCCATCAGGCAAACACAGGGCCCAGTAAAATAAAACTTAGGACAATGAAAACTCAGAACTGGCCCTTTAAAATTAAAACCAGCCATCAGGCAAACACAGGGCACAGTAAAATAAAACTTAGGACAAGAGGAATACAGGGCCATGATCAAAATTGGATGAGCATAAAAGGAACACAGGGGTATGACAAGTTAAAACAATCATAAGGCAACCTATGAGTCCTGAAGTATTTTCACATGAGTATAAAAGTGTTTAAAATAAACATCTGGCCATTTAAAAATTACATTGCCATTTTTGAGACTGGATAAAAAAGACTGGACCAATTACACTACTCTGTTAATTAAGCGATGTTCGAGAGACTGGACGTCTGTGATTAGCCTGTACGGTCGTTATTTCGCTGATCTGTTGACTCATATTGATACTGGAATCCAATAAATTATTCACAATGGTTGGATCTGGAAAAAAGAAGAATATTTGGTCAAATTAACGGCAAATTCCAGCTAATTGATAAAAACTGTTTATTTTCAAGGATAACAGCTGAGGTTCAAGAGGATCCTTCTTTATACCAGCTGGTCCTTAACAGTTAGGTCGACTGGAATAATAAGTAAAGTTCTGCAAACTTTCAAACGCTGACTGAGATTAGATCTCACAACCACCATTTGTTTGATGTAACCAAGATTCCAACACTACAACCAGCTGGGCTACAGCCTGTCCTAAAAACTTAATTGAAGGCCATACATTTAAATAATCTTCCTGACCTGGTGTGTTTCTGTAACTTCTATCATCGTTGTTGGTCGTGGCCCCGTAGGTACTAGTCCGTGTAGTTGTTGTATTTTTTGTGACTCTTGACGTATGACTAGCTATCGACTGTCCCAGTATTGACGCGAAATAAACAAAACTTAACAACATCTGAAAAATACAGGTCTATATTTTATCACCTAGTGGCGGTGGAATAGCTCAGTGAGTTGGGTTGTCGTTGCTAGCATATTGTAGGAAATTTTACTCAAAATAAGACCAATTCTGATGCCACTGACAGTGCTTCTGAGAGTCTATGTGGTGTAACCTTTCAACCCCTACTACCAAATAAAGTTTATTAGCCATGTGGACTCTCTTTAAGGGATGTCAAGTTATTATATGCTCTTGGGTTTTGACCTTATAATTGAACGAAATAAGTCAAAAAATTAGAAAGAGAAAATATGTCAGATTACCTGAAAAGAGGTAAAAATATAGTTGTACCATTCTGCTGGCACCACATTTGCTGTTCCTGAAAAGATAGACAATAACACAGAATTTATCGACCATAATTGCGCAAAATTAGAAAGCTTCAGTTCATATCTAAAACCATTTGAATTCTGCTGATATATTCAGGAGTATATCAATTAGACTTACCACAAAGTGTTGCCGTAGAAACAGAGAAAAATAATATCTTAACATAAAGAACAATGACTAAATCTGGACTCTTGTTTAAATCATCTTGAATAAACTTCCATGATTCTGGCTGGAAAGACAAAATAAAAGACTGGATAATCTATACTGATAAAACAATGAAGCATAAAGGCTTCAATTAGTGATATATCAGGGTATCTTCCATGTAATAATTCGAATGTCCTTTCTGCAATAGTTGGCAGTGCCAACTTGGCACTGGACATCTGAAAGTTCTGGTTAGCTGAAAGTGCCAATAATTAAATGACATTACGCCTGGGATATTTATTTATGTTTACGTTACCTTTAATCTGTACGTTAAGATATAGATCCCACAAAATAATAAAATGGTTGCTAGGTAACACTGGGCTAATAAAATATTGCTCACACTTCTTTTATATAACTGCTTTGCTAGGTCCACTGAAAATAACAAATTTTAAAATCAGAATAAAGACAGAAGTAATATATTCACAGGGGCAATGGTGTGTGGGTAGCTGTCAGAATTTTTTCAGGGAGGCATTCACCCTTGCCCTTCAGTAGCTACAGGCCTGATTGGAATTAGAAGACCCATGGACATTTTGCTGAAAATTATAATTGTGCAATCACATTGTCCTGAATACACATAACAAAATAAAATCTCTGTATAATCCCTGTAAATGGCGAAAATATGAGAAATGAGAAAAAAATGTCCCCTCTTACCTGTGGTGTAAATAAGACAAAACAAATTGAGTAACTGAAACACCAACATGGTTACAGCACTCTGAAAAGATACCATGAAAATATTTCAAAACTAGCAAATGGAAAATGGAAATATTAGGTAGGAATTGTCTCAACTTAAACAACATCGCACATGAAAAACAAACACAATGCTTGATGTCCTTGCCTAAAACAGACATTTCTGGATAAAACAGCCATATCAACAGCCCTGATTTAGATGGCAAAGACTATGAATATACCTTCCTCTAGAATACATACTACCAAAGGTACTAACAAAGACTTTCTCTCAGAGTAAAAGACTTACTACAACTATCACTGTTTCACTGTCTTTCTTCGGCCAGATATCAATTAATGACAACACTAACACATTTACTGCCTGGAAGAAAAAAAAATTACAACACAGAAGTCAAATTATAGCTTCTGATTGGACAATGACATGCAGTGTGCATGGATGGAAATTTGTCAGGGCAACGATGAAAACCTACTCTTTTTTATTTCCAACTGTCAAAGAATCTTTAACATGCAGAGTCTTTAGCACACGAGGCCTTGGTTTATTTTCCCATTTATATAAAAAGAAGTACTTAAGCTCCATCTGAGCACCATCTGGTGCCTTAATCTGATTGGTCAATCATTAAAATCGATTTCAAATTTAGTTTTATTATCCAATCAGAATACTGTTCTTCTTAATATTTGGATTTTATGTCAATAAAGTTGACGAGAAGACAGCTCCCCGATATTAAGTTTTGAAACAATGAAAATTCGTAATCACCTGTAATAATATAGTAACAAAAATAATATTTCTTGCGATTTTTGGACCAATTTTAGTTTTAAACCGTAAGCATCGACCAGCAGTAACTTCAACTTCTATTATCTGTGACTGCGATTCCTGCAAAAAAAATAATCAGCATATACTTTGTCCAAGATCTTCTTGAGGCCTTTAAGACTGATTGAAACTAGAATAGAATGTCATATATCCTGAGCTCCATCCAATATGACTTTAAACTTCTGATAAACGTAATGTGACGCCTTGTGATATTCATTCGCTGCTGTCACTATGGTATATTTCTAATATGTATATCACATAATTATGTGTGGTTAAAATGGCTAAAGTGTTTAAATAGTTATAACACTTCCATGCTCCACCAAAAAAACTGTTTCTGACCTACCTCACCTGGAGAGATATATTGTTCTAGTTTAGTACGACAAGAATCTAAAACCCCAATCAACTCTCTAGCCTCGTCAAATGATAAAGATAAGTTCCCAGATCTGAAAGATTAAAAAAAAAAAAAATCATTTAGATAAAAATGGAGTCTGCACTCCGCTTGATAACGTACATGTAATGAAATGTTTTGTTCAAATGATAAATAGATGTCCATATCTAAAAAACTGGTGTCTTTTAATGTGATACTTCTATATGTCTTACAAGGATTGCATGTTAGTTTGGTTTCTACTAAGTAATTAGATGAAGTTTAAGGTTTATGGCCAGTGCTAATGGTTGTTATTGTTAGCCCAAAATATCTTTTTTTTATTAAATTGGGTAAGAAATAATAATGAAATAAAAAGAAAATCATAAAAAGTGTGTGCAACCAATAATAGCAACTAGTACTGTTAGTGGCTACAAGCCATTGAATTAATTCAAGCTGCTATCCAAGCTATCACTGGCTGCAAAAACATTGCACTGGCATCTGCTATTTTATAAATAGTGCTGCAATGCTAACGGAGCACCTGCCCATAAAGTTTCAGTAAAATAGTGTTTTCGGGGATCCTATGGGACTTGCAGGCGTATCAACACCATTATTGAATGCAAGTATCTTCCATACCTGTAATACGCAGAGGATTCGTCTTTGGTTCCCTCTAGCAACGGCGAACTCTCGCCAAAATCAGCTGCATGGTCCCAATCCAGTTCATGGTCAGCCATTTTGTCCGTCTTGTCACATGACATTTGTTTTGATGTACAAAGTTCCCGCTATGGAATCAGCCAATCAAATTTGAGAATTAGCAAAGTGGAAGTAAAGTTTCCGGGTGGTTTCAGACTACAATGATTTTCTCCATTATCTCCATGTGAAATTAGATTGTTTTCTGAGATTTTGAGCTTTTCTGATTCCGAACATTTTCAAACAAACCTGTTTTCATAAGATGTTTGCATTAATATACAGAAGATTTGTCATTCAAAAGCACAGGCCGAGCGCTTTGCTCTTTACATATCTTCCAAGTCAAATTATTCTAAATATTTTGGGAGAGTTTGATTTGATCAGTTAAATGAATTATTTGTCAAAGCAAAGCAGCGATGCGAAAATGCCAAGTGACGTGTCTTAAGTGACGTTGTCTCTACAAAGCATCACCCTTTTAATTTCCAAGAAAAAAAGGGTAAGAGATATTTACCACGCATGGCAAATAGCCAAAAGCCATTTAAATGTCTACATGCCGCAAAAGACACGACACTTTTGATTTAATGAACTAAGTTTGTAGTAATGTAGCGCGAATTATAAGGCTGCATCAATGAGCGGTTATGGCTTGCATGAAAAAGCAAAGAAAATTCCACATTTTTATCAGATGGCACTCGTTTAGCGTCTTGACCCAGATTGATAAGAGACAGCTTTCAACATAGATAACAAAATTCTGAAAAGTTTTAGATTATTCGGAATAATTCCTAATCCAATATTCGTCATGAAGACGTTATTAATTTTGCTAGGCTTACTATCGATCCAGCTTATATCAGGTACATAAAAGACACCGCGGTAATGTTGCGCATGTGGCGTTCAAGTGGTCAAACATAATGCGCTCACTCAAGAAACTTTTTTTGCTTTAAAGGGATAGTTAACAGGTTTTTCGAAAATATTGTATGTGTATCGGATACACTGATAGAATTAATTTACACCATTTAAATTTTCAATCAGACGTCTGTAGTTATAGCAATTCCACTAAAACTACAACGTTCATGAATAGTTCTAAAAGATTTAAGTTTTGATTTGTTTCTCCATTTCTCTTGCAGCCCAACTTTCACCATCATGTTTCACAAGATATAATTATGGCGATGTTGTTCAAAAGTCGATCCTGTTTTACTATGCCCAGAGATCGGGGAAGCTACCAGCCTATAACCCTGTACCGTGGAGAGGGGATTCCGCTGTCAACGATCAGGGGGATAATGGTGAGGATCTCTCTGGGGGTTGGTACGACGGTGAGTATTGGACAACAGTTTTTATTTTATTTGTCAATATTTTGGTTTGATATTGACGACATTTTGTACGTTGACTTGAAATATTTAGAAATATCAACGATTACCATGTAGATTTGAAAAATGATGCTTATTTAACATATTTGGAAATACTGACGCCTACAGATAAGAAAATATTGACGTTTGTGGATTTGGAAATATTGACGTTATAGATTTGGAAATATTGACGTTATAGATTTGGAAATATTGACGTTATAGATTTGACGTTATAGAATTGGAAATATTGACGTTATAGATTTGGAAATATTGACGTTATAGATTTGACGTTATAGAATTGGAAATATTGACGTTATAGATTTGGAAATATTGACGTTATAGATTTGGAAATATTGAGGTTATAGATTTGACGTTATAGAATTGGAAATATTGACGTTATAGAATTGGAAATATTGACGTTTGTAGATTTGGAAATATTGACGTTTGTTGATTTGGAAATATTAGCGTTATAGATCTTTAAATATTGACGGCTGTGGATTTCGAAATAATAATGTTTGGAGATTTTGAAAAATTATGGAAATGCGCAGATTTGGAAACAGTAAGAGATCTGCAGATCTAAATTCTGGCTTCTGTTTTTGCAGCTGGTGATCTGGTAAAATTCAACATGCCGGCGTCCTCAGCTGTCCGAGTTCTACTCAGCGGAATTGTCAGATGGAAAGATGCCTATCAAGCTCTTGGGCAGTTAGATTTAGCTCTAGATTCTGTGAAATGGGAACTGGATTACTTCTTAAAATGTTGGATTGCGGATAAAGAAATCTACTACTATCAGGTAAATCGTTATGCTATGGAGGCTAATTGTGGCCATTATTCACTCAGTCGCGTTTCATTTGTCGAAGAAGATCCAGCCCAGCCCCCCACCCCCTCCATCCACTTCAATTTTTTTGTCATTGAATTAAATGCCTGGTGCTGTGACCCTCCCCCTCTCCTTCACAACTCTCTGACTCCCATTCGTTAGTCCGACACACCAAAGTTATTTATGGTCACCCTTGTCACTTTCTTTGGTCGAAACCCGAAGCCACACGATGATTCTGACCCAGACCAGTTAAATCGAGAATTAATTCCAATTCTCTATTATTGTTTATTCAAGGTCGGTGATGCTGATATCGATCACAAGTTTTGGGGTCGTCCAGAAGACATGAGTATGCCACGCCCAGCTTTTTATCTCACGAAAGACAAACCAGGAAGTGACGTAGCTGGTGGAACGGCTGCTACTTTTGCCGCTGGAGCCATAGCTTTCAACATCACAGGTTTGTCTTTATTCAATATCGAATACCACATGGGGAGACGAATCAATTTTGATTGAGTGAGTTTGGTGACAGTGAAAGTGAACCATATTTATAACTCCAGTCGACCCAGAAAGAATTAAGAAATCATCGTGAATTTCAGATGCTGTTTACTCCCAGAAGTTGTTAAAAGCAGCCGAATCTCTGTACAAATTTGCTGTAACTTACAAAGGAAAATATTCACAGACCCATTCCGACACAGGCACCTATTATGAGTATGTCACATTTATTCTTCAAAGTAAAGGGCAAGAGATAGTCCCTCCCCCCTCTCTCTCCAATCCGCATCGGTAATCATGACCCATAGAACACAATGCCGGCGTATCAGTACACTGCGGAGGCTTAACTTCAAATGATGTATGAATCATGAGCACCCTGTTATTTTTTCCTGAACAACAAACTCATACTGTAGACATTTAAGATCACTCGACAGTTTAAAATCGGAAGAAGAGTAGGCTTATGCTACTGTCTTGGCAGAATTTCCTGATTAACCTCTGCATACTGTTGCCTGTCTCTGTTAGCCCAATCAGTCACCGAAAAGAAGATAGTAAAACACCCCTCCATTTCCTTTTTTTCCCCTGAATTTAGGTCAAGTGCTTATGAAGACGAACTATGTGTAGCGGCTGCTTGGTTGTACAAGGCTACTGGAAATACTTTTTATCTAACCGAGGCCAAGTTATATCACAGTAGTGCTACTCCGAATAGATTAGATTGGGACAATAGTCTACCTAGCTGTCAGGTCGGTTTATTCAAACATGAGAATCGGATGACACTATTCCGAAACTTAAGATAAACTGCTACAATTTACTATTGAGACAGCAGAACTTACTAGAACACGTATAGTCGATCACAGTCTGTTTGTGCTTGGAGCAATGACATGTTTCTGTGCTAAGATTATGCTTGCTAGCAACTACAGCTTAGGATCCCCTCTGATGTTTGACCCAGACTTAAGTGATATCTGGTTTCTATCAGCACGTGTTACTTTAGCAATATTAGATGAGGATAATCATCGCTAAAGGAATAAAATAGAACCCCAACCAGGATGTCCCATGTGTTATTTAACCAAGGGAGTCCAAAAGTAAATGCTTGGTATCTGAGATTTGTACTCTTAGCCAAAACTAAACGACTTATTCACATTTACAGCTGATGCTTTATGAGTTGACCAAAAATGATCTTTATAAAGGCGAAATTCAGAAATTCTTAACCGTATGGAAACCTGGAGGTAACACAACATATACTCCCTGTGGACTCGGTATATTTGATAGATGGGGAACAGCCCGGCATGCTGGTGAGTAGCCCCAATGTGTACTCATTATGGGAAAACATCCATCCACGTAGATAAATTGTTAATTGCCAATAACCAATTGTGAGGTCAAATATTGAAAAGAATTTCTTTTGAATGAAATTATTGCAGCGGAATTTCTTGCAACACATTATATGCTGGTGCATCAAATATATCTATCAAGATATCTTGAGTCAAAAGTCAATGCAAATCCTACGAGTATTAGTCAGTTTTTGGAACTAAAACTATAGGAACAGTAAAAAAAAAAAGCTTACAGGTTCAGTTTGCTTTTGTACTTTCGATTGAGAAGCTCTTTACGTTTTCAGCGTCCAGGCCCATTTTCCTTCATTGTACACTTCATGGCACCTCATCCCAAATAGGTGAAGAAAACTAGGACGTAAAACTCCTCTTTATTTTTGTTTTCAGCTGATAATTCATATGCAGCACTATGGGCAGCTGAATTAGGAATAGATCCATTAGAGAATAGAAACTGGGCGTTGAGTCAAATTAACTATATACTAGGGGATAATAATTATAAGATGAGTTATGTTATAGGATTTGGTAATAAATACCCATTAAAACCACATCATAGACCAAGGTGGGTAGTTAATCAGGAAACAGCCCAGACATGCTGAAGAGTAGGGACAACGGGAATATATTCATCCACATAAAATCCTGTATGATAAATTGTTAATTGCCAATAGCCACTGTTGAGATCAATTATTGAATAGCATTTAGATTGAATTGAATCTTTACAGTGTGATTTCTTGTGAATATTTTGAAGTGATGTGTCAACTACACCTAACAAACACTTCTATAGTCAATACAAATTCTGCAACTTTCAGCCAGCTTTTGAACTAGTACTATAGAAACTGTAAAAGACGCTAATTGACCGCTAATTGTTATTCAGTGATTCTAAACTGATAAGATTAAGGAATTTATGTTGAAACTTTATTATCAATGGCATATTTTCTTTTCAGTTCGTGTCCCGATTTGAACATGTATTGTGGATGGGATGCATTCTATAGTACTGCTCCCAATCCTCATCGTCTGGAAGGAGCTCTGGTCGGAGGTCCTAATAAAACTGATGGTTGGGATGATGATCGAGGTGATTATGTAAGAAATGAAGTTGCTTTAGATTACAATGCTGGTCTTCAATCTGCATGTGCTGGTAAGTTGCTTTCTCTATCACAGAACTTAAGGAAGCGTTTCGAAGATCCTTTAAAATTTTGACTTTATTTTTTGGATGAGCCAGAAGGGCAGATACCAGATACTAATTAGTGAATCACAGGCCTATATAATTATAAAGCTTAGGTTGGACATTGAGTGTCAATCAAAATGTTAAATATCATAAGTCGTTGATGATATACCAAGACAACAATCATGGTGGGGTAATACAATAACCTTTCACAAAGGATCTTTGAACCCTCAAAGAGACAAAATTCTGAATTGGAAATTGAAGGTGATAAAGTTGAGCACAAGTACCCAGCAACTTGACGATTAATTCAAATAAAACTGATAAGACAATTTTATTTTATAATAGGTCTGGTTCATATCTGTTCCACTGGAGAACTTCCACCAAATCCAACGCCTAAATGTTGAAAAATATTTCTAATTTGCTATTCTAATATGAGTGCAACAGAAGTACACTCAGAGACATCTTAAAAAGATAAACTTAAAAGTAGTTAATTTTTTTTCACTTAACTTTTGGGTAAAATAAAGAATTATGGTCATAATATTGTCTTGTCACCAGTTTCCGAAAATATATTAGAATCACTACTTATTGGGATATAACTTAATTAGGTTGTAAAATGGATATAGACTTGTTCTAGTTAAGTTAAGATAATCCCAAGAACCAACTTAATTTGTCTGGTTTGTGCTACGTTGTGATACATTTCTGGATGATACGTATACGTCTAGCCACAAAGGTAAATTGAATTAAAAACAGATATCTTAATGTTTAATATTTTATACAGTACATTATGAAAGCTGTCAATTCTAGATATCAACTTGCTATGTTGTTTACTACATGTCAAATCTCCTTTCTTCTGCAACAATTGCCACTTGCCACTAATACATGTAAAAGTTAAAAGTCACAAAGATCATTTTGGTTTTTATAAACTTTTTTTTTTAATTGCAACTTCAGTTAGGATCGAAGGACAGCCCTCTTGAACGTTTGTCAAATTAACTCAATGACCTCTGCTATAATCAATCAAATTTCTACTCTCTCCAGCACTGGTAAACCCTAACTGAAGTGGCTGTATTAAAAAAAAAAGGTAATAAAAAATGGAACGAAAGTTTGATGGAAACAGAGCAACAAATAATACTATCACAAAAGACATAAACAGATAAATTGAAACGATGTTCTGGCATCTGTAATAAGAAATCCAAAATTTGTAGAAATAAAAAAAAATGTTAATATCTGTATAATTTGATTCAAACAAATTTCATTTAGAGTACAAGGGGTTAGTTTTCACAAATATAAGGACACAAAAGCACTAAAATATTTAACAACAAAATAAAACAACTTGGCTAACAATTACAAAAACAACATAAGTTTTAACATTATTTGATTTCCAATAGTTGCACATGAAACAATCAACATTAAGTCGATCATTTAGCAAATTTCATAATTTGAACAGCTGATTTGAAGCTATTGGAAAACACACACATAATAAAATAGCACCTTTGGACAAAAAATATACACCTTAAAAAGGTCTTTAAGTGTCACAACTAGAAAATAGACACATGCCTCTATTTTTCCGCGAAGCCTTGTAACAAAGTAACACTTCAATACCATCATCCATCAACAGACAAATCTAACATATCTCAAATCTCAACAGACAAATCTAACATATCTCAAATCTCATACATAAACACATACAACATATCTCAAATCTATATATATATATATAACTAATGTTGCATTCGTAACTCTTCGTATAGCTGAAGGTACTACTTTTTCATGATACTATGACTACACTATGAATACACTATTTAACATTGGATACATAGATTTTCACAAAAAAAGCTAAGTTGGCAATTGAAAAAAGGAGAAAAACTTGAATAATATCAGAAGAATTAACAGCTACTAGTATGTTTAAAACAAGGCTCTGGCAGTTTCATTTTCATAAGAAAATCATCAAGTAGTAATCCAGATGTTTCTAATAAGGCGCAGTAGAAAATCCAGCAAAAATTCTTCAGAATATACAGCAAAAATTCTTCAGAATATACAAATTCTTCAGAATATACAGCAAAAATTGTCCTGTTATAAAGTATTAAAGAGAGCATAGGCTTTGAAGATTTTCTGGGGGTCTATTCTCCAAAACTTTAACCTGATTTTAACTAATACAGTAATCTGAATGGATAATAAAACTAAATTTAAAATCCATCTTAGTGATTGACCAATCAGATGGCTATAACATTAAAATCATTTTAAGTTAAGTTTTCAAGAATAAGGCCCCTGAACTATAAGTTCTCTGACAGGCTACACAAAGCTAGTCTTTTTGGAAATTGTAATATTGCATTGGTACATGTAAATGATCACAAAAATTTATTGTAACTCCATTGGCTGTCACACAGAAAGTTTCCAACGAGTTTTCAATTATCAAAACGCTGAGATGTCAGTGGTAAAGTGGTATCATGTGTCTTTAAGATACAGGTTGCTAAAACTATTCAATTCATTGTCTAACCAATCAGCCTTATTCCTGAAATACAGAGATTTTTTAATTAATTATATTCAAAATAAGGTCTGCTTGAAAACCGAAGATCCATTTCCAAGTGGAATTTTCATTTATGAATCGACCAAAAGTCTTTTAGAAATGAAATTTTTAATATTGCACCTAATCGTTTTAATTAACGTTCAAAATATGCTTGCACTACAATACCTACCACTTTTGGCCAGCAAATGCAGCTTCTAATGACAATGGCATACACTTGAACAAAATCTTATTATATAAAGCATTTAATTTTCAGTGTCATACCTGAGTGTTTTAGCTTTACTTGTGGTTTCTCTCAATTTCTCTATAATATGATCTAAAGACTTAATTTCATCTTGTAGTTCTTGTTTAGAAAGATCAGCTTGATGACAGAGTCGTGCAAACGTGGAACTTAATTCTCTGGAAAAATTATTTTGTAAGAACACAATCATGATAAATATATACTTGTATAGAAGGTCTGATAATCTTAACTTCCTCTCAAATTTATGAGTCTGAATTGTTCAATCAACAACTCTTCAAAACATTTTTGTTTATTTCTTCAGTATTGTAAAACTACTGGGACCTTGAACTTAACCAAGATAAACTACAAATGTTAAGACAGTTGTTTGAAAAATAAGAACTAACTTCAAAATAAAAATTCTCCTCTTTTGAAAAAAACTTACTGTTGTACTTGATGGCTACAATTGGAGCTGGTCAAATCTACGATTAATCTTAATTTACTACTAGCGTATTCTACATATTGTTGTTTAAAACTTCGTTCTTTAGCCTTGGTTGTCCAGGTCAACCTCTCGTACATATATAGCAATCCATATAATATACCTGATACAGCTATAACTCTCAACCCTGCCGCTTTACCTATCTGTAATAACAAATACCCAGATTTCGTTAAAATTGTTTTTTTTTAAATAACATAATAAGAACAAACATTTTTTAAATGTGAACTTAGGTTAACAAGGATCCTTTCTACCAGCTGATTCTTGGCCAAACCTCTAAGCATCATGCCTAGATCATTTGCACCCATTTACAGCTGGGTTGATTGGAATAATGAGGAAAGATGACTTATTCAAGGTCACCAGACTTTCACACCACAGCCGATATTAGAACCCATGATCACCATTTCTTCGCATTTTATGTGATGTCTATTATAATGAATGGGTTTAACTTCAAATATCTTTACGAAAAAATCAACCCAACTCACTGCATAGATGAAATAATGCAATACCTACCACACCAACTACAGCTACAGTTCCCAGAGTAGATCTGGATGCTAGCGAAACAAAGGTAGATAAAGCTGTAGCAAGAACATCTCCATTCTGTTGAGATATTATCCCACTACCATCACCAGATGCATGTCGATTAGGAGCTTGGTTCATCTGAAAAGACAATAAATTTTCGTTTTCATAATTTTTCATTATCTTAATATGCTGTTGATTCTCTTTGGCAATTTTTATTGATTGGCCTTTTACAATTCTATACCAATTTACAACTGAGGTGACTAGAAAATGAGAAGATCAAGTTAAGTTGACTAGAGAAATGATGAAATATGAGTTATTCAAGTTGGGTTGGCTGGAATAGTGCAGAAAGATTACTCATTCAATCCATTTACACTGGGGTCAACCGGAGTAATGAGGAAAAATGACTGGGTACAATTGGGAGATGAGGAAATATGACTTATTCAAGAAATCTATTAAGGTGACTAATAATCATTTTTAGATAACCGTTGTTGGAAAGTCCAAAAAGGCTTTGTTTTAAGTCAAGATATATAGCAAAGTTGCTTCTTACGTACCATGCCTGCAGATCCAATTAAGGCTGTTCTGGCAGTCTTTGATCCCATGAATTTCTGCATGAGAGCTGTAGGTCCGAACGAAAATCGAAATTCAATATCTTCCTTGAAATCGGCACACAGATTACGACAGTCTAGTCGATACGCTATCTCGAACTCCCGTTTAGGAATCTGGTTGAATAACAGTTGTCTAGTTTCATCTGGTAATAATGCTGATAATCTTTCTACAAATGACAACAACAAATTCAACTTCACTTTCAAAGTTAAAATGAAAATTTACTTCTATGTCATCAAATTTAATTGAATTCATTTGAAATAATAATTCAGAAACCAATATGTTCTAATCAAAAGCATTAACAAAAGTTTTTATTTCTTGAATCATTTTTAAAATTTCATCTTTAACAAAACTTTACAGAAGACACAAGATTCTTGAAAATAAAGACTCCTTGACAAAAATAGAGTAAAACTTAAAAATAAATTCTGTATCTTGAAAAATATTTAAAATCATTTTAAAATGAATACAGATGTTAAAGATTCAAAAGCCACTGCCTCACTGTTATGATCTACATTCATATGTCAAGAAGAAATACAATTAATATTTTCTAAAGACTAAATTTTGTCAAAAGCAATTAAAAGCTGGCATCCAATCCAATCAAGATCTTTGTTGCAGAGTTTCAAGAAAATATTGTCCAATGAACAGTGTTGTAACAGAAATCTCACGCAAGAGTTTTCTTACAAAATATCATGGAAATAGTAATCCGTGATATTGTCCAATCAAGAGTGTTGTTGGTGAATCTTAAGACAATTTGTCCAATCAACAGCCATGTTACTGAGAATAAAGAGTTTTGATTGGTTTACCTGTCATTTGGTTTTGCGTGTCTGTTACAGCTTGTAATAAAACAGTGGAGCATCGTTGCTGCAGATTTCGACCTAAACTTTGCTCTACATGAGCATGCATTTCCTAAATAAACACAAATACATAACAATGCAGGCAGTGCAGAAACATACAGAAAAAGATAATCCACTACTTTAAGGTGATAAATAAAATAGAATTGTCAATTCTTAAGAGAAAACCAAACTTTCATTTCATGTGAAGAAGCTATTAATCTGTAAGAACTCAAAATTAGAATTTTTTATGTATATGTTAAACTTGCCAAAATTTGCGATGTCACCATAAGAATTGACAATTCAACCATACCAAAATAAATTGGAATTTAAAATAAACCACGCCATACTATTAGCAAATTATAACAAAATAAATACACATGTAGCCTAAATACACAATGATATAGTCCAACAAAGATATTTAAGCACAGTCAAGGGACATTTTCAAATGTAAGCACGACCAGTCCACTATTATTTTTCAGTCAGACGTCTTTGGTTCTTATAATTCCACTTAAATTATGCATTTTATGAGGTCACTAACACCAAGGCCCTTAAGAGATTGTTAGTGGTTATTTCAACATTGATGTCATATAGTATTAAGCATTTCTATAATTACAGGAACCACAGACATCTGACTAAAATGCTATCAGTGACTCCGATGCACAAAAAAGAAAACCTCTTAAAATGTGTTTAATGTTTTTCACTGTTTGTGCTTCAATATCTTTGATCAACTATGATGAGTGGATATTATGGAAATTATTTTAGACTAAATGATGAAAATGGCATTAAAAAAAGAAGCCAAAAACTAAATGTATAAGCACACAGGGAGATAGGCCAATATAAAACCATGCATTACGGACAATGAAAATACAGGACTCCCTGCTCACCAGTGATAAATTGCTCGGCGAAATCTATTTTTTTAAGAATATTTCCCGTACACCTTCCATTTAAATTCTCACATAAAGAATTTTCCACGAATAAATGCAGTTCCTTGGGAGAAAAATTATAATTGGAAAAGACTGTTTTGGAGGAAGATTTGAAAATTTTAAGGGCATATAAAGACTTTTTACCCCTTTAACCAACTTACTAAATTCAACTCAACATATTACTTTTCAAAATGAAATTTAGACATACAGTTTGCCTACAATTAACTGTTATGCATGCTCCACCCAGTGGAAGTGACATCATTGAATTTGATCAACAAAACGCCTTTCCTAATAAGAATGAATATATATTGCATATCCAGTGCTCCTGATGTATTGGATCCTTATTTGTTTAAATTTAAGTCTCAAACATCCAGACAGAAATAAGAGTAATCTTACCTTTTTATATACATTAATTAACAAATTGTCTGGATGAAAGGGTCTATCAAAGTCTTCTACTAGTAAAGACAGACGACGGATTTCATCATTTAAAGCACTTGCAACCTGGAAATAGAAATTTTACAAATACATTCACCGCCATGTTCAATCTAATCAAAATTAGATTTTTTGCCTGATATTTTTTGTCTTAATCGTAATCGAACAAGTTTTCTGACCCAGTCCTGTTGGGATGATGTTATTTTAGCCAATCAAAGTGTATATTGTAGGACCAGTTACTTGATAACAAGAACGATTTGTGGAGCAAAGTAGAGCAATAAGACAGCGTCCATGGTTTTGCCATGTACTGTCCTAATGAGGATATTATACCTGGAACATTTTTTGACATTAGATATCTTGTCAGAAAATCCTTACAAAAGAATTATGTCAGTTTATTTTTCTGTCCTGATGAGGATTAAAACACAGTCAATATCAAATATTTCAATAAGCTCTCAACCAGTATAAGCTTCATTTAGCTGGAAATAAAACTATTTCTTCAGAACAGTTTTTTTGTACTGATGAGGATAAAATATCCAAAACACATGTCAGAATAAGATGAGCAATAGTCAATAATAAACAACACACCCTACCTTTCTCTCTACATCTTCTACCATGAGTTTGATCTTATCTTTAACTTCGTAAGTTAATAATTTTAACTGTTTACCCAGATAATCCAATTCATCACATTTCTCACGGTATTCTTTTACTTGTTCCTCACTGAAATGATATACAAATAGCTACTTGTCAACACTCCTGAGAAGATCTCTATTTCAGGCTTCAAAATAGGGACACAGGCTGAAATAGGTCAATCTCTACTATGAGAAACAACATGTTTTAGGTTCTGTTTTTCGTTCAAATAATAATTATTAAAATGTCTAGTTTCCATTTCAGCACTTAGAAAATTGGTCAGTAAATAATTTTTTTATTCCTCTTGTTATTTTTCATTCCAGTAAATATTTTGTTCTTATTTTTCATTTAGTATCAAGGTTTTGATCTAAGATATCATTATTATAATAAAACATAAATAAACTTACGTTTTTGTAAGACTTTTATGATATGACTCCTCCATGACACCTCTAACCTCAGATGTAATTAATTTGCCTCGTTTAGTATGCTGTTCAAACTTAGTCTGGACCGCCGACTTAGAAATACATTCCTAAAATAAAATAGGTATTTTACTACATAGACTGGAGTTTTACATCCTACTGTCAATAAAAATAATACAACTTCACCAAATTAAAACCAAAATTTGTTGATAAACCTAGGCTAAAAATCATCTTAATTAAAGATAAAGTTGGACAAAAGATGTATTTCTGTCAACAAGGAAATAAAAAAATCTTTACATACCTCAAATTTACGTTCGAAATTGGCAAATTCAAATAATCTGCCTTGAAAACCTTCTTGTAACGTGCCAGCTGAAATAATCATAAATGAAATGACTGTAACATTATGCAGTTAGCAATAAGGGAAACTGTCAAGATAAACAGCACATGAATAACATAAGCTTATAGCTTAGTCCTCTTCCTACTAAAATAACTGAAAATTTCAGCTCTGAAGGTATTTTCTTCAACTCATTTGAGTAAAATCCTACAGGTAGTCATATAGGTGCATGAATAGCCAATATTTCTTCCATGTTTTACAACCCTCTCCATAATCCAACATCTTTTTAAAGGCCCAGTGGATATCAGATTACATAGAGTATACTAAAGACAAGACTATGTTAATTATGATACTTACTAGGTGTGGGGGTTCCTTTATCTTGATGTAATCTGGATATTAACGCCTCTCTCGCTGATATAAAATATATTCTGTCTTCTGCTTCTTTCTTATTACTCACAACTTTTAACTCATCTACTAGGAAACCAAGATTACGGTCTAAATGTTGCAGACGGACCTGAAATTAAAATTCGGATATTAAGACAGAAATCCTTCATGAAGAGCCATGGAAATGACTCCAGTGTAATGTTTTTGCAGAAATCCCTATAACTAATACTGAGGGTAGTAGAAGCCTTGCCAGTGCTTTCGTGTATAATATAAGCTTATAGGATTAAACTGCTTCCTAGTTCTTCTAAGTTAGATAATGTGAATAAGGTTCAAATTTTTGATAGATGGGAATTCTGGCAAGGTTATTTTCCCTGCCGAGGCCAGTGCTTGCAGGTAGAATATAAAAGAACCAGCTACCTACCTCTTCTACATCTTCCTCCAGTACAGAAACATCCCATCGATTGAGTAAAATAAAGATGTTAGGAGATGAAAGACGAGAGCTCACTTTGTGGAAGAAATTTTTCTCCTAAAAAATCAAATCAAATCAGTTCCAAAATACAAAATAAAGTTAAAGGAATTGTAAAGAGATTTTCTAGTCTTTGTATGTGCATTGGGTAGATTTGCACCATTCTGATACCCTTTTACAAGTTTGGGGATCCTTTAATTCTAGAAAATTTGACCAAATATTACGTCATCTACATCCCCTCCAAATTAAAAATAGCAATTTAAGCCAGAGAAGAAGAACTTTGAAATAAAGAAATATTTCTTACTGTTTGCATAAGGGTAGATTCAGCATTACCAACTAAAACAAAAACATCAGCATCTAAACAGTATTTATCAATCCAAGAGTCTAGCTGTTGGGTGACGTCTATACCAGGGCTACAAGAGAAAAGAGATAGAATGTTAAACAAAAAAACAAAAATAGTTTTACATTCCTTGATTTGGCTAATGATGAATGGCAATGTCATGCACTGTGCAATGATGAAAATAAATTCACAGGCAACTAACACTAACTGTTGGAGAGTTGACTAATTTGTCAAATGAAGGAACTAACGGATCTGTGGTCATTTTGCCACTGACTGACTCAAATTGGTGAATATTAAATAACATTATAGCCTGGGTTTTAGTGATTTCAACCAATCAATACAGAATTATTTACTTACAACTAACACAAGTTTTATTAAGAGTTTAGCAAAGAATAAATACCTGTCAACAAAGATCACATCTTCCTTTAAAAATTTACATTTTGATTTCGGCCAAAGAATTCTGACAAGGGAATTTTCTTCTAATTTTACTGCGCTAAGATTGTGTGCCAGTTGCTTGATAGACTAGAAATAGAAATCAGACAAATATCATTATCATATGTCTAGGCTGACATTAGGCTGAGAAATAAGAGAAATATTTTGTGTCTTGAGCAGAATCTTGGGTTGTTATTGGCAACCACTGTGGGAGACGTAAGCATACAAATTTCACCTAGAATTCTTCAAAAGTTAATTTTGGAATTGGCATTAGGGACGTACTTCGAGCAAAAAAAATGACACCTTAAGAAAAATTTATTAAAAGACCTGTGAATATCTGGAAAAGAACTTCAAAAAAATTGAAAAAAGATTTTAAATGGAGCCATTAAAAAACAAAAAGTTGCGCGAAATGCAGGTAAGGCGTTTGACCTAATTTCTTATCCTAATAGAGTGATTATTATCATTATTAAGTTACCAAGAGAACTTACATTAATGCTTTGTGGTTGATCCGACTCTTCTGTAAGTAGGAAACCTTCCTGTGAATCTGTACCTTCTACTTGTATAAAACAATGAGTCGTGTGACCGATTCCACTGGGCATAATTTTATCTCGTAACATAGCATTAATTACTGTACTTTTACCATTGGATGTTCTGAAGTGCAATAGACAAAAGTAATAAAGAACACTAATTAACCGATGTAGATTTTACAAAATTGATGGCTTGTGTTGTGACATAAAAATATAAGCTCAGTAGGCCATAATAAACCATGATATACAAATCCTAATGCATTTCTTTCCTCTAATTGTCTTTACATATTTCAAAAATCTTATCTATGGATTCAATTTCTCATATAATAATAATGTAATTTATAATGAACATTATTTATTACCTTCCAAAAAAGGCCACTTTCATTCTGTCTCTAGCTAGAATTTCCATGATTCCTCCAACTTTATCTTTAAATCCTTTTACAACTTGACAACATTCTGCAGAAATCACATCTTGACTGGACAGTAGCACATCTACAATCATAATTCTTAAATGAGATCTTACAATCACACAGTTCAAATGAACTTATTCCCAGCAAGGATGTGTGCAAAGGCAAAGTTTGTAAATAAATCTACACAAATTTCAATTCTTACTGTTTCAGGTTATTTTTTTCATAGGAAAATGTCTCTTGTATTTTTGACTAATGCTAAAAACTATCCTTTTTGTACAGTAAAAGGACAATGAACCTTATCTTTTCTTTAAATAATCTGGGGAAGATCAATGCAAAGAGGTTTGTCCAAGAACCAGTTAGTAGAAAGGATCCTCAATTGTTAACTTAAGTTGTTATCCTTGTAAAATATAGTTGTTTCTTTTCTTTCTTTCTTTAAATAAAAATCTCTTACCATCAACAAATTGATCTGTTTCTATAATGTATTCACCAATCTCTTTAAATATATCATTAATTCTTTTCTTCGCTTGACCAAAATACTGTAAAGCTGATCCAAGGTTGTGCCCATTGCCCATTTGGCGTCCAGCTCCACTTCCCTGCGCCCTCATCTGTGTTTCATCCATTGTTAATTGGCGATTGAGTACTCCGGACATTTCTAATCTACTAAAACTGCAAACAAAACGGACATCTGAATCTTACTATTTCTACCACTAACCTAAAACCATAAAAATCAAATCATTTATAATTCAATTTGGATATTGAAAGGTAGGCTATATAGAACCGTTTAAATGCTCTTTAATTTAAAACCAAAGGTTGCCACCTCCAACATGAGGAATTCTCCATTATATTGGTATCTATTTCGTCCACAGACTTCAGTCAATTTACATCGGAAGATAAATCTTCATGGAAGTTTAACTTTATTGAGACTATTCTCTCTTTCTGCTTGGCTGGTCCACTAGCCTAACGGTTTCAAGCAAAAGAATGATATTCAAGATAAATTTAGTACAATATACTGACAACTCAAAAACACAACACATGCAGCAAAATATTTGCACCCTACCCATCCCATCCTTTTTTCATAATACCATGACTTTCAAGGTCGCCTTGCATAATTTTTGCGACTGGAAACCGACCGAATATTTGCAAATTTCTAAAAATCAGATAAAGCCATCTTTCAAAAAATAGCCCAAACTTTGAGGACAGGGCGCGAGCCGTGTACTTACTCTAAATTTAACATAAAAAACTAAAGAGGAATGACTAATTCGATCAGAAATCAATAATTTCAATCGTATTCACGTTGTCTGGCAGCCATGATGAAACATTTCCCGCATTATTACGCGAGATTTCGTTCATTCGAAACACTTTAGTTTTCTCATTTGCAGAAATATCGTCAAATTTCTCTCGATGTACCGAATGATTACGTAATATCGCGGGAAATAAAACAAAACAAACTGAAAGTAGCTTAGCTAAAAATGACACATGCAAGTTCGTCGGTTGATAAGCAAAACGTTGATGACGAATATGAAGAGTTGGCACAAAATCAGGTGAAATGTCCGAGAACTTTCTCCTTTTTGGCCAAATTTTCAAACTTTTATAAAGTAAAGTTGATAATTCAGATCTTTTTGAAAAAATATTTTGTTAAATATGTTCTTTATCTCATTCAAACCACCTGTAAATTGGAAGGGATAAGCTTGAAAACATCAATAGGTTTTGGAAAGGACCAGCTGGTAGAAATGATCCTACTTATAAAAATGGTTGTTTTTCTTTACTCTTTTATTATATTTGTATAACATTGTAAAATTTTTTACAGATTGAAGCCAGCAAAGTTTAAGCCAATTGAAGCCGTTATAATAATTTCAAACATAACTTTCTTTCCAGAGACTAAAAGCTGCAGTGTTTTTTTCGGTGGTACAGATTTGTAAACAAGTCGAAGAAGATACAGGGTGTACAATAAACAAACAAGTTACAGCCTCTATATCAGAGTTAACTTGTAAACAATTTGAAAATGTAGCCACAGATATAGAACTCTTTGCAAAGTAAGTGTTGGTAGACTACTGACTGAATAGAAGACAAGTTAACATTCGCAGGGACTTTTTAATCCTATTAAGACAGATATTTATCAGCTAGAAACTTCCAAACTTTTTTCACCCAACTTAAAGTTGGTTCTTGGCTGGTAGATGACAAGTTCAGTGGTGGAGCCAAAGTGAGGGGGAGGGTGCACTCCTCTTGCAGCCCTGAAAGGCAGTTTTAGAGATTCGGGCAATTTCAGATATCTCGCCCCCCCTCTCGGACATAAAACATGGCTCCACCACTGGACAAGTTCAAGTCCCTTACACTTTTTATTTCAATTCCGTTAGATTTTTGTCGACAAGAGACTCAAGTAAAGTCAACTTGAGAGGTTGATAAAATTGTGCTTAACTTTACTTATTTTTTCCAGACACGCTAAAAGAAGTACAATAAATACAGATGATGTTAAACTTTTAGTTAGAAAAACACCCAACCTGGTAAATATTGAAGCAGATATATCTGTAAATTTCTTTGTTTATTTATCACTAATACAGATTTTGATAGACTTCATCATTAAAAGTTAAAACGAATACGCATGTGGTCTATTTGTGTCCAACAAGCTATTAAAACTTTGAATAAGCATAAGCATTTGTTGAAATATAGCTTTTTTTTCTTATTTCAGTTAGAGCACTTAAATTCCATTCAAGATACATTGGTTATCAAACCAGGGAGTAACAAGGGTAAAAAGAAGAGCAGTAGTAAGTCAAAGAAGGCTGTTCTATCAATTGACGACATTACAGAAGACACAATGGATGTAGAACCTGGTGATTGATTCGTTAACAATCAAACTTTGAAAAATACGGAGAATTATTGAAAAGACTATATTTCTTAATAATTTATGGACTAAATAACAATTTAAAAAAATAAATAATGTAAAAAAATGATTGAAAAAAATAAATATGAATTAAAACTATGATATCAATAATCTTTTGGCAAAAAAAAATCCCTCCAAATGAAGCACTTTTGTTGATAGCTTATAACTCTCTAATGCTGTGATATCTCTTAAATATCAAACCCTTCATCAGGACAACTGTTTAGTGGTCAAAGTGGTTGTATCAACCATATATATTCAAAGTTATAAAAGGTCACGGTAAACTTCAAATATTTGTTATAAAATTAGGCGTTGAAATCTCAGGATTGGCTGGTGGATTAGTTAATCGTTCAGAAGTTCCAGGGCAAGACTGTTCCCTGTATATTTCTCACTATCATGATTTTTTTATTGAAATTATTAATAAACATCACTTGTTCTATTCCACTATTTGTCACTTTCTTTATGCGCCATTATCAGGATTTTTTGCCTAAAATATTTGCAATTCTGCGTCTGTTTTGAGATAAACTAGAAGTTTTCCCACTAGAAGGGGGTTTAGAAATGTTTGAATTATGAGATTTAATAGAATTATTTTCACTGTCCACATCTGATACAACACTTGATAAACTGGCACTCGTTTTGGGCGGGGTCGTTATAGATGATTTTCGAGGCGTCATTGATGAATATCCACCTGAAATTTGTAGATTGGGATATCAATAAAATTGGTTTTGGAGTTTAAATACTTGAAATCGAGCTGAAATCGAGCTGAAAGGGAATCAAAAGGTATCAATTCATATCACATGCATTAAGAATCTGAGCTCAAAAGAGAAATGAAAGTTAATAAATCATGTAGATACTATTACTGGTGAGAAGATGAGCTGGAGCCATCAAAATTTTCATTAATCGATGAAATAATATCCATGAAAGAATATGAGTTTCTGAATCAAGGGACAGGCATAATAGACCCAGAATTCCCTACATAAATAAAGGTTATTATCTCTACCTGGAGGTTTCTTCAAGCGTAATAATTCCTGCCTAGCTTCACTCAGAGCCTCTGTTAATTCAAACCTCTCCTCACATTCTTTACGTACTGTGTCTTGTAAAAACTGAATCTGAAATTTAAAAAACTTTTCAAAGAAGGCCAGCATTTCTAAAAACTTAACCAAAATTTAAGAAATACAGTAATCTAATTTGTTAAAAGAATCTAAATTCAAAATCACTTTTAATGATTGATTGACCAATCAGATGAATCAAGTTTTCAAGAAACAAGCTCCAGGAAGCAAAATGTTCTGGTCACTATTGGAGGAAAGATCCAGCGCAGGAAACGAAACAAAAGGGTACAAATTTGAATTGCCTCAATCTTTTCTAAAACCACCTTAAACTGTAATTTTACTGAAGAATATTACCTCTTGTTTTGAGTTTTTCAGATTTTCCACCATTTTGTTTATATCTGAAAGAGAATCCTCCAACTCGGCTTTCGTAGTTCGTAACTGTGATTTTAGTAGAGATATATCTTTAGAATTTCCGTTATCCAGCTTTCCTACAAAAAAAAATGGTCGATGATGATTCGTTGAATATATAGTGGATAATAAAAAAAACGCAGGTGATTCCGTATATATAAATAACAAATTAATACTATCCTACGACACTAGCCTATGTCATTCTGAAACTTACTGATACTTACCAAGTCTCTGATAGCCATACTAATAAAAACTTGCTGCCTCTTACCTAGTCTATTTTCTAGATCCTTAATGATATCTTTTAAACTGACAACTTCTCTGTTTAATTCTGCTTCTTTCTCCACGCCATTTTGTTTACTGTCTAGTATACTCTGTTTTAATTGGTTTAGCTCACTTTTATAACTTGATTCTATTTGAGTTCTTTCTTCTCTCCACTGTAAGATATGAAAAAAAAAGTTACATGTTTGATCAACCGATTATTCCTGTCTTAACTCCCTAACCTACCATTTTAGTTGTTGGTTTTGAGAAGTTTCACAGCAAAAGGTTTTAAACAAAGGGGTATCTTGTCAGGCATATTGGCATAATTTACCACTGAAGAAAACATGAGTTCTTATTTCGGTCAGTTTGTGAAATGTAGACTGGATTTCAGCTCTTTATAAATATTAATATTATTATTCATATTCCAGCCAGCACCAAAATAGATATATATAACAAAACACAAAACAATATTATTGAATATAACACACTTCTTTAATAAGGTTGGGCACATAACGTTATTAAAGAAGTGTGTTATATTCCATAATATTGTCTTGTGTTTTGTTATATGTGCTCCTCGCTTCTATATGTCGTTCAAATGTGATATCAAAATAGATATAGATTAGGGTAATAAAATATTACAGGTACCTTAGACTCTCTATCTTTATTGACTGATTGATATTTATTCATTAATTCTTTATACTTCTCTTTCTCTATCTGTAATTCCTGATAAAATAAAATATCACCATTATTAAAGAGATTGTAAAGAGATTTCTAGATATTTGTATGTGTATTAGATGCCATTTTAGCCTATATCTGCACCATTCCAATCTTCAGTCAGACATCTGAGCATCCTAATTTTAGAAATGCTTAACAATGTTTGACGTCACCAACAACATGTGTTACTAGGATACTGAACATAGGCAATGCCATGGAGTGTCCAATTAGGGAAAGTTTGTCTCTACAGAATATAATCTTACCATAATAAAATTTTCTTTAAGTTTATTTTCTAATAATTTTAAACTAGCATCATGTTTAACTTTTTCATTCTTCACTGCCTCATCCATCTAAAATCATACAAAATACTTGGTAAATATTTGTTCAAATTGAAGTGAAACACTATGAATAGAGTTCTACATCCTTATTCTCTGCATGTGATGGGGCTAATGTGGAAAGGCAACTCCATGCAGTGTGCAATGAGGGAAGTCTTGGGCATTAATCTTTTATTTTTGGATTTCCAACTTTCAAGATGTTTAGCATGCACAGCCTTTGCACATATTCTGTATCAGCCCCTTCCTCCTGCATCACTTATGTAATAGAGAAAAACTGTTAAAAAAAGTATTATCTTTCAGGTTAGCTAGCAAGTTTCTTACTCACTGAGCCACGGCTCATATTTCATCTCTTTACCTTATCTGACCAAGAATCTGATTCGGCTGATTTTTGTTGATATTTTTGTCGTAAATCTTCAATTCTGTTCTGATGAGTAGAAATCATTTCTTCTCTAAAATGGAAAGAACATTATTACCTTCTAAATTTCACATCCAAACATTCTGTTAATGTCGGCTGAGATCTGAAAAAATTATTGTATGAGTAGATATTCATTTCCAAATTAAACTGTCCTGATGAGGATTGTATATCTGAAACAGGTGCCAATAGCTTGAGATGAAGTCTAATCTTTTTGCCGTATTGACTGTATTCGCTAGTGTACAATCCAATCAATTTTCACTACAGCCAGACTTCGTGAAATTATTTGTACCTTTCTCCTTTCAATCCATCCAGCTCTTCTTTAACTTTATTTAACTGATCTTTTAATTGCTGTATTTCATCTAGAAATTAAAAAAAAATAGCAAACCTTGAAGATGTTTAGTCTTTCATTCCACTCTGCATTTCAGTGGATGAATAATATAATGACCTAGAACATATGCTGTATAACAATTTTGTCTGATCGTGGATGGAGTGTTAAAAAAAAAAAAACCTTGAATTGAAGATGTTAAGTCTTTCATTCCACTTACCATTTGTGTGGATGAATAATATAATGACCTAGAACTTATGCTGTATAACAATTTTGTCAGATCATGGATAGAGTGTTTCATAACCAACAACAACAAAACAAATTTTGATTTTGATATAATCCTTACTTTGATTTAGAGAAGATTTTTCTGCGATTTCTAATTCTTTACGTTGTTGCTCGTGAAATCTGTTTTCAAGTTTCTTCAAATCATCATGAACCTTTATTAAATTACCTTCTTTTTCTTTCACTTCATTTTCTAACCTGTAGATATAAATTTTTCAAAAGTCATTTCGTGATCCCAATTTTCCACAGATGACATGAAAATCGTGCCAGAAAATGATACAACATATTTGAATTCTTCTGTGGAGTTGCCAAATATACCTTTTTATAATTTGTTGCATTTTCTTTTCCTTGCTTTCAAATTTCTGGTTTATTTCTTCAACATTGTGGGTTTGTTTTCTGAAATAAAAGAATTAAAATTGCCATCTGTAACACTTTTCAAAATTAAAATCTAACATCTATTTCTTCTATAATTTAACTCTATCTAAAAATCTAAAATTGCCATCTCTCCTAGACCGTTTTATCTTTAGATGACATATTGATATTTCATGTTATACCAAATGAATATATGCATATTTACACTTTGAACGAAACAAAAATGTGCAAAAAAGACCATGCTATTTACATGCATATCGCATATACTAAATAGTAAAAAGAATAACGAAAAGATTTCCTTACTTGAGATCTGTTGAATAAACTTCAACTTGTGATAACACATGGCTATTTTCTGTTTTTAAAGTGACTATTTCTTCCTTATATTCTAGAGAGTGATACAGGTGAAAATAGAACGTGAGCAGACTACATAATCAGTGATACAATGGTTGATCAACATAACAAAATGGAATTTTGCAAAAACATGCTTTCCGTGTTGTAAAATTCAGTATTCTACATGTTTATATTAAGGACTAAGATTTACTGTGAACAAAAAGTTATAGGGTTGGACAAAATCATTAAAGATTTTTGCATGAACAACCGTTCTATGAGTAAGAAATGTGCTTTACACAGAAAAAGAAATGTTATAAATTTTTCAAAATATACACCAAACTGGTAAGCATTGCATCTATCAGAAATGAAATGAAGGACTTTTACGTCCTACTTTTCTACACCTGATTGGGCTAATACAGACATCAAGCAGTGTGCAATGAGAGATATTTTGCCAGGATATGCCACTGTAAGAGAAAAATGAAATAGTTACTTACGTTTAACTGAATCCTGTAATGCCTGATATTTAATATTTAAGTTATTATAATCAGATTGTAACTGTTTATATTGTTCTAGATCAGACTGAGTTGATTTTAACTGATTATTTAATGATGTTGTCGACTGATTCATCATCTTCTTCTCCATTTCTAATACTTCAATTTGTGACTTTAATTCTTCATTACCTAAACATGAAATACATAAATGGGTTAATACACAGGCAACACCATGCAGTATGCAATGAGGGAAATTTTGTCAAGACAGCAGGATAAGCCTCCACATTTTACAACTTCTCACTGCAAATAGCTATCTTTTTCCATGTCTTTTCCTCCACTGCATCAATGACATGGATTGTCGTCTGCTAGATAAAAACTTGCCTTGAACTCTCAGGTAGATAAGAATTCTAATACCACTTCTTGTGCCTCCATGATTTAGCCATGCAACCCTGTTTCGGTTTTCTAACCCTCCATAATGCAAAGTTTTGGATATACAAACCTTGGTTATGGTGTGAAAGCTTTGATGTTAAATCATTGACGAATGTATTCAAATCATCTTGTGACTGTTTCTCATGGGACTTGACTATTTTCTTCAGGCTTTCCATCTCGTTTTTTTGATTCTGTACCTTCTTCAATAAAACTGGTAATTCTTTAACAACACCAATATACTTTTCACTACAATGCAAGATAAACATTTTATCATTTCCGTCTGTTAGGAATTATGATTTTAGATATTCAATACACTGACTCAAACGCAAACGAGAAAAATTCTGACGCCTAGGCCAGTGTTTCCAAGACACTCTTGGAGACTTGGCCCAGTGTTAGCTTTATAACACCTGTCACCAGTATACTTCTTTTAGGCTGCAATAATTTGGGTAAACTTGGGTAACACAAGGCGGTACCGGTATGCATTAGATTACAGCAGTACAAGCCCACTCAATTTTAATCTGTAACATTCAGGACTTAATCTCTTATATGTTGAAGATGAACTTTGTAGAAGATAACTATCCAGATTTTCGTTACCTTTGCTTTTTAAAATCATCTTTTTCTTTGATAATCTCCAACTTTTCTGTTTTCAGTTGATCTGTCAGTTCTTTCTGACATTTTAAATTTAGGTTAAAGGATGAAATTCTGGAATGACAAGAATTAAACTTATCATAGATGAGCTCATTGACTTTGATTGACTAAATTGATTGATACCAAACTTTATCATTCCATCAAGGATATTTGAACTCATTATAAAAAGGATTTGGACAAGTGTTTGAATTTTTTTTCTTTTCCTAATTACTATTCTAAAGATTATGATCATTGGATCATGAGAAAAAATAAATCAAAACCTACTCTGATTCTTTACTTTGTAACATATTTTCCAATTCTTCTTTTACAGATTTCAACTTTTCATTTTCTTCTATTAAAACTTGTTCTCTTTCCACTGCTCCTTTATAATTCTCTAATTCTTTCTCAATCTCCTTCAACCTGTCTTCAAGTCTCTTCATTTCACTGTGTATTAAATAGCTCACTCCACAAAAATGGCAGACGGTTTCATCTTTGGACATTTTCTTGATTTCTTCTGGTAGCGGATGCTGTGGGGTGTATCTTTCTGTACCACTAGCCTCAGACATGATGTTGGTGTTTGTATGTTTGAAAATTATTAATTTGGTTACAATATATTGAGCACATGCCTTTCCATTGGCTTGCTATGTTAGTTGTTGTCAATAAATATGATTTGCCGATTATGCCAGTTTTATTCACAAAGAGGGTGAACATATATTTCAAATGCCAATAAATTTCACCTGGTTTAATTGTTTACTTGTTAAATATTCAGATCACTAAATTTGAGCAAGAAATAAAGCGATTTATGTTGAATTTACTTGAATATTCATTTACAAAGAGAAATATTGAAAGGAATGTCAGCCATTTTGAAACTAATGTAAATAAATTACTTCCCTTGGTTTATTAAAATTGTGAAATATGTAGACTTAATTTACAAGTCTCTTCCTAGAGTTGTCAACAACAAGACTACAAATAGGATTTTTTTTAATGAAACGAAAACACAATTATTGATAAAAAAAAATTGTATTTGAAATCTATTTCGGTTGATTTTCTCATACTAATTTAAGAAATCTAAATTTTTGATGCATATTACGAAAAAGAGATACATGGAATTCTTTCTTTTTTTTCTTTTTACAAATAACAATCTTTGAATATTTGATTAACCAGACGTAATCCTGTTATACAAAAACAAGAAAAGACTGGAAGTTGTAGACTATATTTTCTTTCTTAGAAGCGGGAGACAAAATTGAAATTTAGTTTATAGAACAATGAATGAAATTGTGTGATGCGATCTCGTTCAATTAGAACTGATCAGAGAGTTTATAAATGTGTGTAAATTTTGATATTGGTTATGTGCATATAATAAATTTGAATGCTAACAGAAACTATCAATTTCCAGTTGAATTTTTGGTGTCTGTGAAATGCAAACCATCATTCCCCAAAATCCCTCTAGATGGCCAAAGGCCCAGTCGCTCATATTTGAGACCCATTCACAGAGTGAGATTGCTAGACAGGGCTATGTCACCCTTGTTTTATTCTTAAATTCGATCAATCAGTGTGTTTTAACTCATTTGAATTTCAGATCAAAAACTGTAGGTCAGGCCTACCCACAATAAATAATGGATACGTCACTAAACACAAGTTATACAGAGAGTAGAAGTCCAGTGATAGAATCAACATGGCGAAAACGACTGTCCAAACAACTGGCTAGACGAGCTGTCAAATCAACTTGTCTCAGTCTATTAGTTATCTTTATTATTTACTTAGATATGTAAGTTGAAATTAACTGGAATTGAGTTATATGCCCTTCTTTAGCGCAAATGGTAGAAAAATTCTGCAAGGTATTGTTACAACAGTAAGAGCCAAGATGATTTATTAATGACACGCTCTGACTGAGATTAGAGCACAGGACTATCAATGTAACCAAGCTAATGACGTCATATTATGGTTCTAACCACTTGTGACTGATTTATATGTAGTTTAGTTTTTATACAATTTCTTTTCTGTTTTAGGAATAACTCTACATTATGTATGTTAATAGATTTTAGTCATCCTGTCTTATGGTATCTACGTAAGTAATTAAAAATAAAACTAGAGATATAAAATATCATTTGTAAGCCATCCATGATGTCCCTATTTGTCATTGCATGCAGAAACTATTTTTAAAATAGGACTATAAAAGATAATGTCCAGCTCAGACCAAGTTTAGAAGGGTTATTTTTTCTTTAAATATTTGAATGATATTATTTTTCAGAGCTATGTATGATAGGTATAATAGCTATCCGTGTCGTCCAAAACGTCTTTGAAATATTTCAATATGCCCTGAGTACATTCTTTGATAAATCAGTAGAAATTTCAACGTCTCAACGTAAACTATTGGGTGTCCGAGAAAATGGTGAGTTATGGATGGGTTAGGTTTATTGCATTGTTTTCTCTCAGATAGTTACTTTAAAACTATCTATAAATGCTACAATATAACACAAATCAACGAAAGCTGCAGTGTTTTTTTTGCTGGTGTAAAATTTGTAAAAAGAAAAACTTATTTAAATCCTTTAATTTAAGCCATGTAACACAAATCATCCCTAAAAACTATTTTTTGACGTCTTTTTCAGAAAAAGGTTTTTATACGACGCCCCTGAAACCTAGAACCTCCGTACCAAATCAACATCAGATATTCAAATCTACAGGTTCACCAACTAAACATTCACCTAATTTCACCAATGATGGATCACCATACAGTCCTATGCATTTCACTGGCATGTCTCCTGGTTCATTCGCTCAGAGTTTTAACAGTTCCATGACGGCTCAATCACCCTATTCTTCATTTGGTAATTCTCACTCTCTCAATAACTCTTATAATCCGGTAAGTTCCTCAAGTTTATTAAATTGATATGAACTAGATATCAGATTTGTCTTCTGAAAAGTGACACAGATGGCTGAAATAAAGTTTGATCAAATAACCGATTTATAAAACAAAGCTTATTCCATCTTTTTGTTTTTCTTTTCCCTATGGGTGAACATTTGGGCTTAATTTTGATATATGAAAACCAAAATAACACTATCTATATAACTTATAAAACAAGCCCAGTTGGCAAACCCAATGGCAGAGGGGCATAAGGTGTTCTAGAAGAATGAACTTGACCAGCCTCAACAGATTGTTGCAGAAAGGCATGAAAGACATTTAGAAGTGTTTGTGAAATTTTGGGTGTAACTAAATTGAATTATTTATTTTGTTTACAGTTGAGCAATTCATACAGTTCTAGACTAGATACACCAGAATTAAGTACGTTGAGATCTCGATCTTCTAGAAACTCTCCAGGTAGGAACCCTACATTATTGGGTGTCAAGTTCAAAGGGAGATAACTTGGTTTATTTACAAGACACATGATCTGAAATATGCTGGTTTTGTACTTTGGACATATTTGAAAGTTGCAAAAAAGAAATAACAAAATAGAATAAACTAATGTGAATGTTCTGAATAAAATTGCAAGGTGCACTCTTCTTTTTAACTTAATGAAAGTGCGTAAAAGTAAGATGTAAATCTATTTATTTTCTCTTTGTTTCTTGCTATTTCAGTTTCTCCCTATGATAGAATTACCACCATTCATTCACTGAGTAATTTTTTAAAAGAACAAGAAGATGAAGAATATAAAATGTTACAAGGTAGTTTGATCTTATTGGTGTCCATTTCTTCTACCCTAGGATCTCTGAACTCTGAACTCTGAACTCTTTGTCTTACCCCTAGAATGTAGACTGTGGATTGTATTGTATTGTATATAAGCCAGTTATATCTGACTAGAGCTCTAAAGTTTGGGTTTGATTTTACCAGTCTTGGTTGATGCAAAGGAATAATTTCTGACTGCGCCAAAGCCATCCAAAGTATTTGTTTTACCACAGTTTAAATGTCTGTATCCCTTTTTAGAATGGAAATCCAATAATCCATTTACTGTGAAAAGAGCATCAGATATCTATTATATGCTATTTGTAACAAATATGAACAAGTTTATTCACATGTTATAGTAGAAAATTTGGAACAGATTTAAATTTATAAGCCACAATGTTTTGATTATTTTATATTTTAGTTTCATCTGAGAATTTGAATGGTAGTGGCTCCTCATTTTGGAATTACGGTACCAGCCCGATTGATAATACCCATCTTCTTAGTAAATATCAATACCAAGTTTCAACACGATCTCCTCAGTCACCATCTGCTAAAAATAGTTTAACTGATATCACGTCTAATTCTGGTACAGAAGAGGTAGTTTTGCTGTTGATTTATTTTTTTTGTCAATCAGAAATTTTTCATTGTCTGTGAATATCAGACCACAAAGTTAAACTAAAAAAGGCCTGTTTTGTTTGATAGAACTAGAAGGTTAATAAATATGCCTAAGAAACCTGCATCTACAGTAGTGCAGAAAATCCCTTTAAAACAGAGCCTAGTTTTTTCTGACCATTGTTCAGCCCACAACTGTCTATTTTTTATTTCCAGGTTTGGGGTCAGTTTGGAGTTTCTGAAGATGATCTTTATATTTGGACAGAAAAACTGAGAAAGGTAAATAGTTTTATGAACTCTGTCTAATACCTTGACATCTTAAGGCACTTTCCTTGTATCACAGAAATTTTGATGGGATTGTACGCTAGCAAGTACAACTAATCAGAGACCTTGACAGACTGTAAACAATATGGCTGCAATTGTAATTTATTTTGAATGCAACTAGATTGATATTGCATTTCAGTGGATAAGTTTAACAGTCGTATCTAGGCTAGCCCAAGAGATTAAAGACATCAACAAAGCTTTACGGAGAATTGGTTGTGAAGATACACAAATTGGAGGTAATATAGATACATCAAAGACACATACCCATCAAGGACACATACCCATTATAGATACATACCCATTATAGATACATACCCATTATAGATACATACCCATTATAGATACATACTTGTCATAGCAGCGTTTTAGTTGAACACATACTAAGATGACAGATTGATCTGAAAGAGTGCAAGGGGCAGGCATTTCTGCTGCATAGGAAATCTTTCAAGGGAGAATACTCCCATGGCATACATGTTTTCAGACCACAATATTACAAGGTGATCTCTTTCAAAGCATACATTAAGTTTTCAGACCACAATGTAACAAGGGAGATCACTCCCAAAGCCTGCATGTTTTCAGACCACAATGAAATGATATTGTTTATTTTGCTATTATAGAAGTTGGAGTATCAACACTAAAACAGTTGGCGTTAACCAAGGGTAACTTCATCCCAGGATTCAACTCTGTCGTACCCTATCTGGATTTTTCCTCCAATCAGGAATACTTTACTAGGAGAATACTGGGTAAGGATGCATCTTTATTTTATTTAGGGGGGTGGGAATGTCTGTTTGGGGTCATGGTCTTGTACCTATTCTTTAACTTTATGGTACCATGAATGTAATTTGATAAAGTGATTATTAGGAATTAGGGGTTGAAAGCCGACGATGGGCTATCTCTCGCAAGCACTGGCACTTGTATCAGACCGAGCCATTCCACTGTCTCTGTAAGAGAAGAGAATATCATCACTCATTATTTATTGTTCGTAATTGTGTTTCTAGAGCTAGGTAAAGATGGCTGTATGAGTGAATTCTGTTGGAATAGTGGAGGTGATTATGGTAAAAAATGGGGAGAACATCTTCCTACTGATTCTGCTGTAAGTTTCTTTGTATTTTCTTGTGTTTTTTGCTGATATATTAGGGTGTATATCAATAAAATTAAATAACTCTAGATGTCCAGACTCTTATTTCATGCCTCTAGTCTCAAATTCAGTTATATAGTTTCATAAATAAAATCGAAAAATAACCTCTGCCATTTTGATTTGAGGTTTTTCAGCTCAGAAAGTTGATGAATTTAGAGGATTCACAATATTAAAGTATAATTTCATGATGATTATTTCTGATATTATATTTTTTTGATAGATTGTAATGCATCTACTATGTACGTACATGGATTCTCGACTTCCTGCCCAGCCTAGATTTCCTGATGGTAAAACATTCACCAGTCAGTATTTCATAAAAACACCAGATAAACCCAGTAAGTTGTGACTGCTTCTCATGTTTATTTGGAACTTGATTGAACCCTTTTAACAACCAGGCTGTGTTATAAGCCACATTATTATTGGTATATTATGTACCGTGGCCCCAAAAAAATGATGACTTGATCAATTGAGCATCCCATTAAGCGTCCATTTTCAATTGTCCCCACAAAACCTCAAGGAAAATATTTAAACCTTTGAACCCGGTGTTAATGAATTAAATTGTCATATACCCTGAACTCTGAAGTAATATAATATATAACAATAGAGATATATAGTTTATTATATGATGTATATTATTATTATAGATCTAAGTAAGAAAGACAATTTATTATTACATCAGACTAGTATAAATCCTCCATGTTATCAAGTTGTAGTTGGTGAGAATATCTTCACTCTACCAAAAGTAAGTATTGCCTTGTCTGTATACTGTATAATTGTGAGTGGAATGCGCAGGTTTATATAATGCGCACCCCTTCTTACCTTACTCTTACTCAAGTGGTAGTTGGTGTAGTAAGAACATGCATTCTCTCTGATGCTGAGTACTGTATAATTGCAAATCCAATGCGCAGGCATATATAATGCGCACCCCTTCTTACTTTACTCTCAAGTATATCTGGGAAATCTGGAATAACAATATTAACCCTGACCTGAAGTTAACCCCCATTTCCAAATCTAGTTGTCTCTATGAGGAATGTATATCTGATGTTGGATACTGTATAGTTACGCGTGTAGTGCGTAGGCATATAATGCGCACCCCTTCTTACACTCAAGTAAATCTTGGAAAATAATATGAACCCTGTACAGAGCTAACCCCCCATTTCAAAACTAGTTGTCCTGATGATGATTGTATATCTGAAACATCTGACTGTAGCAATGTAGTATTAATATTATGTTTCCTATATTTTAGGGTCGTAATAACATGTTTCAAGCTCTATTACTATTTCTGTATCATGTTAAACACAAACAGGACGGCATGCTAGGGTAAGTGGAAGCTTTCTCTAATATTACATGACAGCTCTTTACAGTGGGAGGAGATTAGGGTGGTTGAAATAACAAGTTACTATAACAGAAGGCACTACACAGGGTTGAGCGAGACTTTAGTGCTTAGTAAATCAGGTGATTTGGGTGAAATTTGTTACCAGTAGAATGAGTATGGGCTACAAATGAACAGATAAACAAATTTATGATCTGAAATTGTGGGTGTATAAAATATCATCAGCTTGGTAATAAAATCGTAATGTCAATAAATCCCAAGTTATCACACGAATATTTTTCAAGCTTTTTGCCTCTTCCTTCATTATCATAATTTTTATTTTTCAGTCGTATAAATCTAGGATTGTCTGGTATCAACCTTTTGTGGATTTTTGATAATTAAACATCACTTTATAACCAACAAACTAATCTAACTAATTAGAAATATTAAAACAGAACCTGAATCATGGTGTTACTCAGAGTTTCATGCTATGTGATCTTCAGATAACTGATGATTAATTAGTCAGAATGATTCAGTTGAAATTACCAGTGAATATTTTTAGATTTAACAGTAAATGTGAGATAACAACACACTTGATATAAGAATATGAGAATATTTAAACCACATTGATTGCCAGTTTGAAATGAATTTTATTTTAAATAAAATATCTTGAACATTATTACTTTTTATTTTTTGACAGACACAGCCGGCAAGGGTGGCCTAGTATTCAATACTAATCTACATCTTGTACAGTCAAAATCTGCTCTGGCAACACTTTTACATCAAGGTTTTGAATTGCTTGTACTATGCTCCCTACATTTTCAGTATGTAATGGAATTGATTCTGAGAAAAATGTCTTTAACATTAGGGATTTCTTTAGGCATGTCGACTGGAGCTAGGGTGGCCTGGCATTCAGCACATCTTGTACAGTCAAAATCTGTTCTGGCGACACACTTTTAAATCCGGGATGGTTCGATTCTCGTACAGAATTAATCGCAGACAACGCTTCAAATTCAGAACTGCATTCGTAATCCTCTGGTGGTCTTCGTTTCGACGATGGAAATGGATTCACAAAGTTTATTCTCTCCAAAGTTTTTTGCAAGGGACGATCGTGAAGAATCAAACTTCTCGATTTCACCGCTTTAAAGTTTTTGGGTTTTTTCGATGCCGGTACTGTAATGTCGGATAATGGTTCTTTTCTGTGCGCGCCAAGTTTATCAGAATAAGATTTTGTGTCCAAACTTTTAACAGTTCGTAAGCTATTAACGATTAGTTTCTTATCGATGGATAACGGCTCAACTTTGTAAATATCCAATTTTTGTAATTTTTGGTTTGATTTCGTAGCGTATATGGGTGGAACGTAACCATGGCGAAGATAGACGGAGTTCCTCATGACGGTATTTGTAGCTTGGGCGTATATTTCTCGTGGTGTATTGGTCGGTTGTTCTAAATAAAATAAATAGTTGTTACTTGGTGTTCTGAAAAAATAAGAGAGCTCTTTTAAATTTGGCATTATGAGATGCTGAGATAATAAATGCTGTTGCCAAAGGATAACGATTTATGTTCACAAGAATCCTGTCTACCAGTTGGTCCTTGATGAAACCTCTCTTGACATTGATCTTTCCTGGATTAACTCTTTTTCTATCCTACCTTTATTTGGTTCCAAAATGTTCATGTTCCAAAAAGTTTCAGTATTCTTATCTATATATTCCTTTATACACGTACTTTGAATTTAAATTCCTGGATGTATACTATAATGCCCTATCCACAGAACTATCTAAACACTATACAAGCCTATCGTCAATGCCGCAGTACAATCCTAAACTGTGCCAAGCCCTTCCAATCTTCGCCCGTTTAATTGCTATAGTTAACATGTTTACTGGTAAAAATAGCATATTGTCTAATCCGGATTATATGGGAGAGAAATCAAGTTAATCCAGATTAAGAATGTTGGTAATCTTATGTCAAGTGGTCCCAAACCCAGTTCCCCCAGGCGTGATATACGATGTTCTATCAGTGACGGTAGTACGATATCAATTCTGAGGGGCTGGGTAGGACCAGCACATTCGTTTATTACGCCATAGGCAAAATTAAGGAGAACTTATATATGTCTATGGCTTGGACGAAGTTTTCAGTTAGAAATATTAAAAGTTACTCAGATTTTCAGGACCCTTGTGCACGAGAGATACATTATAATGGGCCAAAGTGACTTCATATGACGACTTTGATCAAATTGTTAAAAATCAAACCTGAAATTGGATTGCTATTATCAAAAGTGTTATGGTTAGGTAGCAATCTGAATGGAAGATCAATATGGAAAGACTTACTTCAACTGACGAGGTATTCTATCAAGCGACCTGTAATGTAACATCGTGTCTCTATCTCGATCATTCTGTAGTTTTTCTAGAAAGCGAGTAGAACGTCCTAGAGATGTTTTATGCTGGAGAGGTCTGTGACTGTGACTGGTCAGGACGTAGTCTTTCACTGGTGCTCCCCTGGTATCTGGGGTCGGGACGAGATCTGCCACCCAGCGGAGTTTGTTATGAGGCATTTTGGACCATTTAAATTAATGAAATCACTGTTGATTTGTTTAATTTCAGAAATCACTCAAAGAGTTTTAATTCAAGTCTCTCGTTGCCAACCACTTTTCTGGCAGAACGAGAAACTTTTGACGACTGTATCTAGTTTAGCTTTATCCAAAACACAAAGGTAAAAATTCACGTCTCCATAGAATAAAACCGTTTCAATCGACACTGACAATTACGGAAATAAAACAAACGAGATTAAGTTTCCCGAACTATTGATCTAAAATCTAAATTCTTCGACACGAAAATAGGCGTATTGACAGCAGTAAAAAATAAGCCCTGATAAATCAGTTCAAAACATTAATCTAAACTTAAAATTCACAAACACCGACTTCAATATTTCAGAAACACCACAATAGTTAATCATAGATTGTTGTTCAATCTATTGATCCAAAAACAAAATTAACAGACACAACCAAAAGTGAAATATAATAAAGCCAGATAGTTGTAACTGTTATTAAATATTCTGTTTGATTTATTGTGATCGAACTCAATCAATATCGATTGTTAGTTTAAAACATTTGATCTATTGAACCTTCTTAGAGTCTAGTCCGAGTGTCCGACATTTTTGTTAGTCCTTTCAATCAAAAGGCTAGAGATATTCAAATTATCTTAATTGTTCCATCCGGATATCCGGAGTAAAGAATTTTAGTCAATCAAAACGACCCTTTCAATTGAGAGGCAGTGGCGGAGCCAGGTTAACGTCCGAGGGGGGGGGGGGGGGGGTAATTTCTAACCTAGTTTTGAGATTTAACTAAAAGAATTACGATTAAGAAAAACTTGCTTTCGGGGCTGCGAGGGGGGTGTGGGGGCTGCCCCCTTTGCCCCCTCTGGCTCCGCCACTGTTGAGAGGGGTGGCTCATTTACAGAACTCCTATTTATTTCTCGAGTTTAGTGTGTATGTTACAAGGTGCAGAAAAGTAGGACTTAAAACTCATTTCATTTTCGTGTGTATGTTCATAATTACAAAACAAAATATATGATTGGTCAGTTTTGAAAATCATGTGATATCACGAACTATTAATGTATTACCTCAGTCCGTTATACGAGGGCAATATGGAATCCCCGATTTTTCTAAACACGAAACAAGCAATGCTTTAATTCTCCAAAGCTTTGTATATTCCTATCCTATGCTAAAACGCTTCAAATCACTGTACATCGTTCCCTAAAAGTCTCTCGTTTCGGACTGTAGGACATTACCAAACACTAAGTACATTGTTGACAGAATGTTTTGTGGTAGATTTTCAATAGATAGGTCATTACTCACCTATTATTTCTATGTACTAGTCATATATTGCTCCATAATCATACAAACTGGTTTTCATTGTGATCATTAATAGTGGGATTTGACTGTTTAAACGGGAAGGATAGTCGCGAATTTGTCAAGTAGCCCCCAAGCCAGTTAAAGTCGCCCCAAGCCAGTTAAAGTCGCGGATTTTGACAGCGGTATTTTACGTTAAAGGGACAAGATAGTCGTGTATTTGACTATGGGCTATGGCCGTTAAAGCTGAGGGAAAGTCGCAAATTTAGCCTGCAGTAGCCCATTTGGTTCTTCAATTTATAATGAATCGATAAAATTTGCGCATACTCCGGAAACGTCTCCGTCTATTAACCCCTTCCGCCGTTAACTGCTGCCGTAAAATCGTCGCGGAAAGATTAATACCCTTCAGGAGTGACAGGTTTTGACTCACGATGACGGAAATGAGATGCGTTTATTGGATGTAACGATAATTTCAGATGAGCTGTTGGTCCTCGTCCTGCCTGTTCTTCAGGACAAAGGTGCGTCAACATTTTGCACTTCCATCTTTCTCCTCAGGATGTAGCTTCCTCATACTCAATGATCGCAGACCTGAAATGGATGGTAGAAGTTTGGAATAATCGATTAGCACAATGGTATCATGAAGAGGATTTGACAAGGGCGAACACCTCCATTCTCCGATGGGGCTCATTCCTTCAAAAACAAACCATGCTCCGTACGTGCATTCATGAGCATGTTGGAAGGAGAAAAACTGGTCATATTTGCACAATTTACACCGAGATCATGTAATAGCAAAATCATTGGTTGAATTATTATCCCCCCCCCTCCGATTTGCCCCCTTTCATTCCACACACATTGTTCTTCACTACTGTATTATCAACCTACCAGCTACAGCGCTCTGGAAACCAGCATTATAATCAGTAGCGACTTCATTAGAAACATAATTATCTCGTACATCTTTATACTCGTCGTTTTTACCAGGACCACCCACCAGTCCACCATAGAGTGTGTGGGTACTAGGTTCTGGTCGATTCACTTCCTCTGGAGAGCAGGGAGCTGGTGGCCATGGACAGGAACTGCAACAGAAACGTCGTATATTGGAAATTTAGCCCCCATTTCAAAATATTGCTATATGAAGAGAATTGTATATCCGAAAAACGTATCGGCAGCAGCCGCTGCGCCTACGGGGGTACATCAGAGGGAACCGTATAGACCTTTTGGTTGTAAACTTTAGATAAGCCCTTAAAACCTTCTTGTGCCTATCTAAACAACTTACGCCGCTCTATGATGTGGATGAGTTGGATATTTATCACCGACTCCAATCACATAACTGAATCCTGTATCACCTAGAGCATAGTGAATCTGACCCATTGCCCAATCTCGATATTTCTTTTCGTTTATTCCCACTTCCGCTGCCATTAAAGCCACCATCGCCATATTGGCTGAAAAATGAAGAAGAAACAAAGATAATCTCTAGAAAACGGGTAGTCATAGGTTGGCAAATGCCAAAGAAAATACGTGAATTGTGCAACGAGGGGAACTTTGCCAGAACGATGACAATACGCCTGGACTAGTCTTTATCAAATCGGGAACTCACGGAAACTAACGAACATTGGCGAAGGTTGTATCGAATGTGGAAATCGGTAATCTATCAATGCCTACCTGAATATCTCAAGGAACCCCACTGTGATCTCCAAGCCAGGCCTTTAGGTGTGTAAGGTACAGAACCACCAGGCATCCAGTCCGCCATTGTGTCTATCACAGCTTGTTTATATATATCTTTCTTCGTCAGTTTATATAATAGTACCTACATGATAATAATCATTGATTTATGATGATGTTGATGATGTTGTTGATGATGGTGATGATGTTGTTGTTGTCGATGCAACGAGCCCATGACGCATTCCATGTATACTCTTTGAATGATGTTGGCGAGTAAAACGAAGATGATTATGTTGATGGAGCTGTTGACGATCTTCCAATAGGAAAGCCAAAACTTAAAACTCAGTCGCAGAGTACCAAGAGTAGTACCAAGTTTCAGGACTTATCAAAGATTATATCTTACTTGATTCAAAGGTGTTGTATCGTCCCAAGACAGACCCCAGGCAGGACCAGGTTGAAACAGTTTCTCGGCTTCAGTAAGGTATTTAGTCTCATTGGTGATCATATACATCCACAAGGCTGACCAACAAAGCTCATCGGTGGTGTTACCCGACCTGAAGCAACGAAAGAGTTGACTTACAGTGTTTCTGAATCATAAGGTGAGGGTCGAGAAGGGCCAGATGAATTGGCAGGTTCGGCTCACTGGCCTTTCTTCCCTTCTATAAAATGAGAAATTTGAGAGACGGAGGCAAAGCATGGCCAGTCACAGTTCAGCCTACCATACTTACTTGTAAAAGCCGACGGCAGCTGTTATCGTATCAGTATAAACTCCTTGATATTTCATACCAAATTCATACAGTTCTGTAGCATGTTGTTTTAATGTGGCTGCATATTTAGGATCTAAAACATTGAAAAAAGGAAGCTTTTAGTGGTCAGACTGATTGTTGAAGTAGAACTACATCCTACTTCCACCACCCGAAGTACCCGACATCCTCAGCAGAACACACCTACCTTTATCTTTGAACGCAAGGTAACCAGCGGCAAAAGCAGCACAGGTTTCACCAGCTACATCACTTCCTGGATGACTAGCGTCGATCTTATATGACGGTCTGGCCATGTCCATATCCTCTGGTCGACCCCAGAAGTTGTGATCCGCTTTACCATCTCCAACCTACAAAGTGAAATATTCCGATAAACATGGTCAGATCCTCTAAGTATTGGGCGTAGCGTGATTATCGACTCCATTGGGAATGGTTTCGTGATTTTCATAGCTCTGAAAAGGGAATTGGAACCGTTTTCTACTCTCCTAATGATAATGTATCATCTTTCTCAACAGCTATATAGCTCAACTCGCTACAGTTTTCTGTGGTCAGAATGAATCGACCAGAAGAGGAAAATAAGCTTTGTATGAAATATGGGTGAGTGTGTAATACAAACCACTAAACGCCCCAAACCACATCTGCAACCCACTAAAGAAGTATTGTTACCTGTACGTATAGCTCGTTGGTGTTGTTATGAGCTTTGATAAAATAATCCAATGGCCATTTAATACAGGAGTACATATGATCCAATTGTCTACTGGTTTGGTAGGCGTCTTTCCATTGTAACAAACCCATGGTTAAAATAGCTGTGGAGTACGCCATGGGGAATCCAAACTTCACATGGTCACCGGCTACAAAATTTCATTCGTTTAAATATTTGCTTTACTTGCTGATAAAGCTACTTTTCAGTTTATTTGTATCACTTGATAAAATGCATGCGTGCGACGCAGGGTTTGTCCGGTCCGAAACAGACTCCTTCCAGAACCGTAAATTTATTATGAAGTTGCTGTTGACCTCTGTTAACCGGCTTATTATGAACTAGTAAATTGCCAAGCCAACTGAAATTAAGCAGCTTTGTGCTCCCGAGAGTGAACCTTCGAACAACCCGTAAATTGCCATTAAGTTTAACTCGATCCCCATGAGCCGGCTTGAATCGCTATTCTTACCGTCGTACCATCCTCCAGTAAGATCTAATCCCACATCAGAACCATCTTCTAGACCAGAATCACCTCTCCATGGTATTCTATTGTTGCCTGGTAACTTGCCAGATCTCTGGGCCTCGTAGAATAATATAGACTTCCTCAATATATCGTCATAGTTGTACTTGGTACAGTTCTGGGTTGCTGAAACATAGTATTCATATTTCTATCTGTTGAGAACATCCGGATTCCCATGCTTACACTTCAAGGTCGAGATGTGGAATACTATACTTTGTCTTAGACAGTGGATAGTATAAAAGAAATACACACGGAATAAGAATCTAGTCCTTTGGATTGGACAACCAACTGCGTACCACAAAGATTTTGAAAAAGAGCGAACAAGGTCGCAGTCCTGGAAAATTTTCCCACTGCAACCGTTGTTCGACAATATAAAAGTGCTCTTCTTCAATAACCCCGCAAAATGCATAAAAGTAGGGCGTAAAACTCCATTTAATTTAAAGATACTCACTGTCATTGAGATAAGGGAAGGTATGGTTGTCGACTAGGCCAAGATCTTGCAATACAGCTGTAGCAGAAGGCGCACCACTACCAGGTAAGTAACTAGCTGTGAATGTCAGTTTGAGCGTCTCCCCACTGTGGAACAGACCTTTACCTCCTTTATTGACAACCATCCATTCTGTTCCATCTTTCTCCCAGGTTACTGCATCGCCATTTTGTGCCTAAGATAAATACAATGTTAACTCATCTGAACGAAGGTCATACTCATAAAGTAGAGAAGAGGAAGGAACACTAGCGGCGTCATTCCGGCAGGCACACATGCTGACTCATAGCATCTGATAGCTTGTAAAAGTGTTCCAGATTTATTGAGCTGGCAGTGTATTCGATAGAAAAGAGTTCGTGAATCATGGCTTTCAACAGAGTCTGCACATTGATCAAAATCTTTCAAAGTTCAGAATCAGACAATAGTTCCAAGGGTTCCACGAAGTAACGGAAAAAATGCCTATGCTCACGTCTAAGGCTATCACTTCAGAACTGAAAGTCATCTTCACTTCCCATCCGTTAAATGGACCATCGAACTGAAAGCTACCTTCAAATTGTTGTCTATTGGAATAGTCTTTAATGAGTTCCATTGGGGCGTTTGGTTTGATGACAAATCCTCCGGGCGGCGGTGTCACTGAAATGGGTACATGGAGATTATATTTTACAAATAAAGCTGACTTATAGGCATTATTAAGTGTGCCATTATAAAGTTATACAGCTGGATATCTTCAAGATCCCGCGGTTTTTGTTGTCGTGGGACGTTTGCAATTTAATGCCATAGAATATGACGTTTGACGATATAGAATCATGCAATGTGGTGCATCTTTAAGATAACGCATACAACTCATAAGGCAATCCAAACTTCTGGGAGTTCAGCAAGAACGGTAATTTATAAGAACTTCCATAAACAAATAGTAGTACTGTAGCTTACTGTACCTTGACCAGAGATGCCAGGACCTTGTGACTGTGATGGAGCTGAAAAAATAATCAAAGCCAAATTGCTGCAAAGGTCTTGACATGTAAGCCGAGTTTTCGTCTTCAGAAGCAAGCCCGTGATGGAATTGATCCGTTGTCAGAATTGTGCTTCCCTGGTATTTTGGTATCTGGAGACGGAGTAGAATATCTTACGGACTTACTCGTTCCGGTATAGTCAGGACCAAACGTTTGTCGTGTGATGACTGCGGCTGTCATTCCTTCAATATACACAGTAGCAGTTGGTTGTATATCACCCTGGCCATGTCCAATAAAAGTTACACAGAGTTTATCTCCTATGTGTTCTACAGAATTCCATGGCTTGTTCACCAGTATAAACTCTTTACCACCCTGTTTCGTCTCAGCCAAATCTGCCACCCAAACCTAGTGAAGAGCAAATAAAATGAATGGATGGAGTTTCACGCTCTGCTGTTCAGCACCATGTGTTAATGACAATGTACAACGCCATACAGTATGCAATTTTGCCAGGACAGTGACTCTGACAGTGGACAGCCTGCTCATTTTCGATTTCCAACTGTCGAGGGATCTTTGTGGTATACAGCCTGTAGCACACAGGGTCTGGATTTATTGCCCCTATCGACTATATGTAAATGGTTGTCCAGACCTGCATCACTGGCAGAGAGAAACTGTGAACCCTAGAGCTTATCGAGCAAGTCTCTAACTTAAAATAGAGAAAAAACCTCCATGAGGTAGCCTGTCAAGTTACCTCAAGAGTATTCAAAGGCTGGTCGAAAGTAAGATGAGCCCTCCAGGAACTGAGTTCTTGAGTTATCTGAATACAGAATTCACCTTGGAAACCTCCACTCCAGTGGTTACTGACTGTTACTTTCAGTAACTTCTCCACGGCAGCGGTTGTTGCTGTGCCACTTCCGGTAACTGTTTGAGAATTAACAGTAGTTGCTGCGGACGCAGCAGTAATCACCACCAAGTAAAGGACCCAAAGTGTTATCATCTGAAATTGAATGCAAATCAGCCATCCAAAGACTTTCACCCCAGAAATGGATTGTCTCAAAGATTTGAAACGTTGCCTCAGAAGGGCCTTAGTTTGTCAGTATTAAATACACCAAGAACTAACGATACTAACCAAAAAAACGAAACCAGAAATCCGTAACATTTTGACGAAATATTGGTAGCAGCTAATGAACTTTTCATAAAAGTACATCAATCATAAGTGAGTAAGTAATTCATAATGAAATGTGGTATCGGTGTCTTGAAGAGTAAGCACACCCTGTCTGGTGCCACACATTCTATCTCCAATATAAATGATCATTCTACTCAAGAACAAGACGTCGTGCAGCCAAGATTTCATTTCAAAAAGTATTAAATTCCGTCAAGAAGTCTTAAAAATATAATCAGGCCTACCTTTGCTGTCCAATCCAATCTTTATCTATCAAAATCTCCACTTTTTCTGTCTAAATACAGTAAAACCTTATCTTCTAACCTTGTACCATCAGAGATAACGATTCCACTATCTCAGTGGTCAAGGATGGTATATTTTGAGCGAAAGCTATCTCGTCCGTTACATTACAAGTCTTTCTGCTAATGATATAAATAGCTATCTATTACCAAACCTCCTCCATGTTGACGTCAAACAATCAAGGCCAACAGCACCAAGATCAACTGCAAGGGCAACTGTACCAAGACCAAGGTCAATGGCTCCCATTCCAATGTCAACAGCACCAAATCTAAGGTCAACAGCACCAAGTCCAAGGTCAACAGCACCAAAACTAAGGTCAATCGCATCAATGCAAAGAACAATAAGGCAAGGGTCAATGGCACCAAGATAATCAGCATCAGGCAAAGGTCAGCAACATCAATGCCACCAAAGTCAAGGGTACCCATATTAACATAAGCTATGTTGCCGGGTAGCTGTGAAAAGTGAGAGGTGTCTCTCCAAGGCAAGACCCAAAGTGCCAAGCCCCTTAGTAATACGCTACTGGTTGTAATAGAGAACAAACAAAATAATGGGATATAAGATTTATCGACAACATTAGAGGATGAAAATTTTAAAACAGGACAAATCTATTGTCTTATAAACTACAGTCATTTTTTAATTAACAAAATATTCTAATTAAAAATCTCAATAAATTGTAGTCTTTAATGAAAATTCTATCCAAACTTTTTTCATATATCTTAAAAGTCTTCTAAACTTTTTATGTATATCGGGGACATTGATATCATTAATTTGTACCATTCCAATTTTTAATCAGCTGTCTGTGGTTCCTGCAATTCCACTAAAACTAAGCCTTTTATGAAATAGCTATAACAAAGGCCTACGGTTATTATTAGCTGTGTTGGCAATAATGATGTCTCATACAGTTTTAAGCATTTCTTTAATTCACAAACATCTGATAGAAAATTGGAACGATGCAAGTTGATGCTACCACTGCTTCAAATTCATTTTTGTAATTCACCACTGTATTTTAAGATCGACCCTGAATTTCTGTGATTCTATTTAAAAATCTGACAATATACTAGCACTTTATCTGATTAAAAATTCTAAATAAAATAAAATATTATTTACAATAAGAAAACAAACATCATTTTAATCTAAAAATCAAAATCTCCCATCTGAAATTTTTGGAAGTGAGTAGAATTACCTGCAAAAAAATATCTACGGGGGCTCTCGTTCAGGGACTCTGTACGTTTGGGATTCATGGAATCCTCAAATTGGAACAGGGTTCAGAACACTTTCCACATGTGCTGAAAAAATATATTTTTACATATTGAAAATGAAAATATGACGCAAAACTGAATTTGAAAACAGCTTTGAGTCATATCAATCAGAATTAATCTTCAGATTTTGTTTTTAAAAATACACAGGTAAGTACTTCTAGTAATCAGCTGATCAAATCTCAGATTCCCAACTCCTGTTCATTTTTACACAACCAATCATGATAGTCATTCAGTTTGTGGTCTGTAGGCTTCACCTGCAAAGTCAAAGTGAATTGTATTAAGGCATTTTTTGAATTAACTACAAATATAAATTGTAATGAAAGAGTTCTATGTTCCACTTTCTGCTTGAGACAAAGACCCAAAACATGCAGTGTGCAAAGATGGAATTTTGGCAAAGACAACAAAATTTTTAATTGTCGAGGAACAAACTTAGTAAACTCTGTGCTTACAATATTTAAATCATCTACTAGAATTAATGAAGACTGGTAAAGTGCAGCAGTGTGCAATGAAGGAAATTTTGCTAAGAGTAGGATTAGCATACTTTTTATAATCCATTTTAACAGTCAGGGATAAGAACTTAGTAAACTCTACCCTACAGCTACTTTAATAAATGAAGATTAATGAAAGAGTTTGTTTCAGACATCAGGATTAACCTTCATTTTTTTTTCGATTTCTACTTAATAAACTCTGCTTTGCATTTAAATCATCTGCTTGTATTAATGAAGTATAGTTATGCATTGTGCAATGAGGGAAAATGTATGACCAAATAACTTACCTGTCTCCATTCATTAACACAGAAGATTCTGTACGAATCATTCCCATATTTTCCTATGCCATGTAGTTCATTAGGGTACGTCCATTTCTTTGTCAGGTATTCATCTGAAAATGAATGAAAACTTCAATATCAAAATTTGACTTTTCACTACCGAAAACATCACTTACCGCCACATAATGTAAAATTTTGAAAAATCTTTCAGAAGGAAATTCAACATAGAGAGTAGATTTGATTAAATTGCATGAGAACCTGATGTTAGATTTTTATATTGATAATAGATAACTGTATTTGAACTCCATCAGCTGGTATAGGAAATATTAAGTGGACTATCCCTTTAATCTTGGCATTTCTCCAGGAGAAAAACAAAAAAACAACAGTTTTACCTGAAAATCGTATAATGGTTTCTGCTCTTTTTTCATGAAGTCCTAAAGGCTGCATTAATTTGGACATTTTTTCAGCAGATCCATTCCTGGCCGAATCCGCTGTTGGCCAACGATTGAAAAATTTCCATAGTAACGGTATAGCAGCTGTGCCTAGTGATAAATAAACAAACAGAAAGTAAACAAACATGACAACATAATAAGTAAACCAAAAGTTCATTCATCCTAAAACAAAGATTGATTGGATGGCAGGAAGGGGTGAGCATTATATTCACAATCATACATTATTCGGTTCATAATAAATTCAAAATACTGAAAAATAAAATGGCAGAGAATCTCATCTCACCTGTAGTTTTATTTAGAAATATTGTAGCTATTAATAACTTCCACGGATCATGAAACAAACTCTCTTGAATCAAATTAAATGGTGATTTCGGAGGCGTCCATGTTAAGACTTTCTTAAAAACCGGAGACGGCATTTTCGGAGGGGATCCATCAGTTTTAAAATATTTACTTGAGTTCAAAGTTGATTCCTCATTGTCTTGTGTGCCACTTTTCCTTTTTGACTTTTTCTCCCTCATTGGGCTTTTCACAGTTTTGAGTTTTTCACTACTTTTTGGACTTAACGACTCAATTTCCGGATTTTGATTCAATTTTTTTGGACTTTTCACTGTCTTTTTAAGATTGGATGTTTTTGTTTTATTGGGTTTCATGTCACTAGCAACTCTTTCTGAAATGTCCACTATCTGTTTTTTACCACTACTGTGCCTCCCCTTAGCAACTGGGCTTTTTGGGGGACTTTTTGGAGGGGTATCTGAAATAAGGTTTTGTGCTGCTTTATTAGCTCTTGATACATCACTGTCATTTTGAATTAAGTTCTCCTTTTCAGGGGTTTTAGAAACATCGAGAGCTTCATTTGAATCAGACATATCTGACACTTTTGGAGAGAGTTTCACCAGAGAGTTATTGTTCTTTGTTTCAATATCTTCCACAACACTGTCAGATTGTGCAGACATTTCATTTAAACTTTCTGAAAATTTTGGCTTTGAGTCTATTGAATTCCTTTTTACAATTTTTTGGGGTTCTAAAGAGTCCCTGCTCGTAGTACGACTTCGTTTAATTGTCATTTCAAATTCATAATCTTGCCCCTTCAGAGATTTAGACCTACGTCTTTTGGAACCGCTCGGCAGAATTTCTGTCTCAGTTGACGTTGTTTCATTTGAAACAGGCGCCGAATTCGACTCAAGATTTGGTGTTGATATTGAAATACCCATGGCTGAGTTGTTGACATTAGTTACCATGGAAATATCAGTTTCACTGTCAGGGGATATCCCACGATCGCCATTCATTTCAGATTTTTCTAATCGCGAGATGGCGCTTGTGTAGATTTCTGAGTCAGAGAGTCTATCCTCGATGCTGGTTGCCGTAGCGTTTCCAGAACTATCCAACCCAGAACCTTCAGTGGATTTATCATCAAAGAGTTCCAAGGATTGATTTTGATCCACGTATTCATGTACGATGTCATCGTCATCTTCGAGATAATCCACGATAGTATCATTGACGTCTGCAGCTAATATTTCTGACGGCGCTGAATTGATGAAATCATCAACTGAGTCTAACCCAGGCTCAACTGAAACATCAGAGTGTCAAGGCTTTTCTCCACAGATACTGAACGCTTTCGCTTTTTCGTGGCTTTGAAAGGTGAAAATGTCTTTTTCATCCCTCCAGCACTATTTTTTTTCACATTTTTCAATTTAGGGGACGGAGTTGAAAACATTTTGATGACTAATTTCGATCCTCCAACAGGCGTCGACACTTTTTTAGTTGGAGATACTTTTTTCACCTTCACTTTTTCACTTTGTTTTTTGTCTTTTCTCACTGATTCTTTCTTGGCAGATTTTTTCTCTGATGGGGTGGAAGTTTTAAAATTTGTGAATCCATATTTGGCTAATTCCTTATTCTTAATTTTAACATAATCAAAATCATCAGTAGTGATATGAGTAATATTGTTCTGGTCTAAAAATGCTGCAATTTCTGTTTTGGACCTGAATTTTTTGCCATCGGGACTGAAAAAGAAATAACGGTTTTGAAAAAATTGGCGCAAGTGATTCAGGAAAGAAGCAATATCTTTGAGATAGAAGCAAAAATGCTAAAAAAAATACGGAAATTGTCCTACCTGTAGACATAAATATCAAAACGTCCAATAGTTTTACCCCCAGATCTCTGGACAACTCTTTTCTTCCAGCCTGGTGGCAGCAATTCCTCATCCTCACTGACTCCTGATGCTATATAGGTATGGTCTCCACTGCTGAAATTAGAAAAGACAAAATGAATGTAAGGCAATATGATAATAGTTTTCTTAAATTTAACTGTTTCAAATTGTAATAATTCAGTTTTATTCAAATAAATGCAACATTCAATTTTTATGGTTAATGGCTTAAGTTATATGTCACTATAAAAGATGCATATAATATATATTTAAGGGTTTTTACAATAAAATTTAAGTGGAATAGCAAGAATCACAGATGTCTGACTGAAAATTGGACTGGTGCAAATAGACGCTGTCAAAAAGACACATAAAAATTTCTTTAAAAATTCTACCTGGATTCTGCCGGAAGAATTTTATCTGATTCTTTGCCTTTTGTTTTAGTTTTCTTTGCTGAATCAACTGATTTCCTTTTTTGTTTAACTTCTTTACTGTAAAAGTTTTAATATAGAGATCATTTTTCAAGAGATGTCATAGGGTAGCTTTAACAATTTGGATATAAGGCCTACCTTTTTTTCCTTATGTAAATAAGCTACTGGGTTTGTCAACATGCTAACCTCTTAGAGTTCACAAAGCTAACAATGGGGTACTTTTTATACAAACCTTGAAGACTTTACATCACCACCATTAGAAACTGTAGGTTCAGAAGTATCATCAACAACAGCAGGTCCAGGTACTTCTTCTGACACTAGTTGTTCTTCCGTGTCCTCCTCAGCATCTTCTTGGCCTGGTATGTCTCCTGGTTTCACAGAAAATATACTCAAATCTACATCAATATCATTCATTTCACAAAAACTTGCTAATTCTTGACGTGTCCGGAACTTACGTCCCTCTGGGCTGCAAAAATGAAAAAAAGAAGAGTTTATGTCATTTTCTTCCCTATATGTCATTTTGCTGCATGTTCACCATTTGTTCAAATTTTTAATCTTTGTTTAACCGATCATACCTTGGTCTCAGATAAAGGAATTGTTTAGTTCAGCTAATCAGTAATAGTGTTAAGAACATTCTGCACAATCTTGGATTTCCATTTCCATTTCTCTGCACGTTACAATGACATTTGCTCACTAATATGCCAAATATTCAACCATGTGTAATGAGGGAGAATTTGCAAGGAGTTAAGGGTATATGATGTTTTATCTTAGTCACTCTTAGTGTTCAAAAGGTTAAAGCTTACCTACCTATAAATAACAACATCATATTTTTTACCAGTTTTCATCCCGAACCTCTGGATCAATCTTTTTCTCCAGCCATCACCCAGATCTATTTCTTCATAACTAGCACTGCTATTATAAGTATGGTCACTTCTAAAATTGAACAGTTATAAAATTTTTAAATAACTCTTCCAAATATACATATATTAGTCTATATTGTTGAAAATTGTACAGTAAAACCCAATAGTATTAAGCCTTTAAAATTGTGCTAGGATATCTAATGTCTTTTCTACCCAAAAATGTTACCTAAATGCTTTCAAACATTGAAATATAATTGATAGCTGCATACACAATGATGTAATGGACCTTATTCTGACGGCAACCCATTTAATATAGATTAAGTTTATCATTTTCATAACTATACCTTATTCCTACAACTGGTGGTAATGATGAAGAAACACTTGGTACAGGATCTAACATATCATCTTCAGCAGTGTTTTCACTGAAAATAGAAAGATTCCCATGTCATTAACAATATCTTTAGAAATGATGCATGATAAAAATACATCAATAATACAATATTCTTGGCAATTTCACCCCGCAGCCACAGCATACTGACAACTAACACGAGCTCAATAAAAATTTCAGTTGGCATTTAAAGTGATACGTCTTAGAATGAACATAAAATGTTAGAATTTTAAACTTGGCCAATAAGAGCATATAATCATCAGTAGATATACCTGGTGTCATAAATAACATAACAGGATCCTAATATAATCCGATAAATCCAAAAAACTTAGTAATTATTCGTAAATATGCAATTAACTATCGAAAAACGCTTAATTAATATTAAGGGTTTTTCAATTATAACTTCCTTTAATGAATTTTCCAATTTTCTAGATTTAACAGGGATTCTGTTTTATCTTTAATACACCAGGTAAGTTCACTGATGAATGAATACTCATATTGACCATTCTTGAAAAATTAAATTTTATGTTCATTCTAAGTAATCTAAGACGTAGTATCCCTTTTAGTTCTTTAGCATTATCATGAAGTAACACTAAGAAGTATTACATAGGAATGCAATCACAAATCTCACAGAAATTGTCTTTAAGCTTCAATTTAGACTCAAATCTCCCAATTCCTGTCAAACTTTATTTCCAAATGATTTTTTTCATTAGGCCTATTGGTTTATATTTTTCTTAACCCAAAAGAATTCTTAGATCGCAAAAGAAACGCATAGTACCTAGGTATAGATTCAGCCACATCAAGATGTGGAGATGGTTCGACAGACATCTTCAATTTATAATAAATGCTATCCCAATTTTAAAAAGTATTGCAAAATAACATAAAATTATTAAAGTTCATTTCAAATCAACTTCTAAAATTTTCACTTCCGGTGTGGTTTTGTACAAATGAATGATTCAGACCAAATATTAAAAAACGAAATGAATTTCATTTCATTCATTATATTTTGATTTATTTATTCATTAGAAGCGAAAACCAATCTATGCTCAAAATAAAAGATATATCTTATCATTTCAATGTTATTTAAGGCCGGAAACAACTTCTTTTGATTGACAAAATTTATTCGATTCATAGATGTTTAACGATCAGGAAAAGAATTGTAGATGGCGCCTTGATCGTCAGAGCAAATTTTCATTCTAGCTGGCGGGAGAGAATAAACGTTTTAAGCTAATCAATTAGAAATCAAGGTCCATTATCTAATCGTATTTACTCTTATTGATTGGTGAGCCCCTTTTCTACTTGACTTCGGCTGACCACAAGTCTGACACTGACTTAATGATGAATCAGTGCTGAGTGAATCATACAGTTTCATTTTATGACATTTTTGACAGATGACAGAAGAATGAATGTTCTATGTCCTCCATACCCTACACCTACCTACCCTTTCATTTTTGAGAAAAGTTCATGGGCCTTATGAAAGTAACAGATCTAGAGGGTTTGGTTGCACAAATAAATCTTTAGACACAATTTAAGACTCCACCCTTATATTATGCCAAATATTTGAGTAACTGGGCCTTGGGCTCTTTTCCTATTTCACTATTTTTTATTCAATCCAGTCAATTTCTGCTTAGCCAAATAACCAATAATTCTTTGCTCTTTATTTTTTCAGTCTCTCAATGGACTGAATATTGAATTTGAAGTAAAGATAGTAGTAATAAAAAATGGCTAATATAAAATTAGTATCTGCGGGAGATGATATTAAAGTGTGGGACAGTCGAAACTTTGGTTTATTAAAAACTTTTGATCCTCATGATCAGAATACATCATGTGTCTGTTGGAGCCATTGTGGTAAGTTCAAGGGGTGCAATTGTCTAATGATTCAACCCAAGTGACATTATTTAATGTTACTGTCATACGCTTTAAGTTATATCAATGGAGTTCAGGGTGTCTGACATTTGATTTCAATTGGTGTACATACTTTGTACACGATTAAATGAATGAATTTAGATTGTCCTACTGCTCGCAACTCTTAAGCATCAACAAATATGTAGTTTTGCTCTTCCATTCTGAATCCAAAGCCCTTATCTTCCAAGTTTAATTAATTAATGTATTTAACAATTTTGTTTACTTTATTCTCCAAATTCAAAGCAATGAACATGTCATGTGGCTTGTGATTTTTCAGGAACATTTTTAACAAGTTGTTCAGAAAATGATGACAAGATAGCAGTTACACAGTTAAAAAATACCAGTTTTCCAACGTATGAAATAAACGTAGAGGTATAGTTTATGGTTTAGTAATCTGAGATTTTCTTATCTAATAAAACTGACTTTATTTCAAACTAACTTCAGCTCTTCGTAGCACTTTTCCTTTCTGAGAAACGTTTTTTTTAGTCTACATAAGAATTATGGGTTGATTTGAAAACAATCTTAGGCAATGCCAGAAGTAAAGCGTCTTTCCTAAGAAGACACAACGTAATCTACCATTCATTACCAAAACAGATTCAGCTATACAGAAACTTCTGGGAATTGCAGAATGATTAAGGCACATTGATAATAAGAGAAACATCAACATTGTAGAAATATTGATAATAATTTTAAATTTCAGAAAGGAAATCTGTGTGTAGATTTCAACTCCAACTCCCGATATATTTTATACGGTGGAACGAGCTGTCTTGTTAATGTTTGGGACCTTAAAACTAAGAAAATGAAAAAATCATTTAAGGTTCGTAGATATTTTTCTCATTGCACACTGTATGATAATCTTAAAGGAACAGGAGTGCCATTTTGAGGAGATTTTAGTCTTGAATATATGTAAATAGTCTTCAGACGTACTAGAAATGTACAAAAATCACATAATTCCTTTAAAAATTCTTCAAACTAGGAATTTTACTCACTATTTCTATAGATGTCTTTTCTATATATCACAGAGTATCTTAAATTGACGAGTCGTCATTTCAACATTCAAACGCAGATGATTCTAGACACACATGGAATTGAAGGCTCAGATAATCGAAGGATACAGATAATCCATGAAAGGTTTGGCCAAGGACCAGCTGGTAGAAAGGATTTTTGGAACTGAAAGCCTAATCATAGTAAAATAGCAATTTACTCTCTGAATTTCAGGAACATAAATCAGCAGTAACAAGTGTAGCCTTCAACTGGAATGATGCTTACATTGCTTCTGGTTCTAAGTCAGGGGAGATAATTCTACATAATTTAATAACCGGACAATCTGGTGCTCCTTTAAAGGCCCCTAAAGTACAGGTTGGTAGATTGATCTTCTGTAACTGTAATGAACTTTTGCAGGGTGAATTCGTAATTATATGAACAGTTGGATTCCACAGACTGAGAAATTTGAGAGTGACACAGACCTGAGAGACGGTCTAAATTTGTCTTAAGAGAGAACTTAGTATGTGCTCCAGATTAAGACCAACTTGGTGCCAAGGTCAACTTAGTGCTAAGGTCAACTTGGTGCTAAGACCAACTTGGTGCTGAGACCAACTTGGTGCTATGGCCAACTTGGTGCTGAGATCAACTTGGTGCTAAGACTAACTTGATGCTAAGGCCAACTTGGTGTTAAGGTCAACTTGGTGCTAAGATTAACTTGGTGTTAAGGCCAACTTTCAATGACTAAAGAAAAACCAGTTGGAATTTACAGATTATATCGAAGCTTTGGATTGCATTCTGTTACCTATGTCAACTGATTACATAGCAATGATAATAATTTTCAATTTCAGGCCATAAAGCAATTACAGTACCATTTCTTTCATAAAGCCTTGTTTGCTGCAGCCTCAGATGATGGAGCTGTTAATTTATGGGATGCTAATACACGTCAATTAAAACATGCCTTTAAAGATGTCCATAAAGCACCTGCTACAGGCCTGGCATTCTCTCCTATTAATGAAATGTTATTGTTAAGTGTTGGGCTAGATAAACGAATAGCTCTCTATGATGTACAGGGAAAAGGGTAGGCTTTGTATAGTATATTGTGAAGTTTATTAATTTTTATATAGGCCCTCCTTTATAAAAAAGAAAAGAACAGTTCACTGTCCAACTTCTGTTTCTTATAGAATAATGATGATAGAGAGTAAATTTTTTGTCAACAGCATACACTTATCAGTGGAAAATCTGTAATAATTTAACATCAATTTTCATCATATAATTATCATGCACATCCAGGGATGTTTTCTTATACATTAAACAACAATTTACTTGGCTAAAATGAAGATACATCATGCCTTGCAGTGTGAAATGAGGAAATTTTTATCAAAACAACTACAGTGAACACTTTTTGAATGCCTACATTTTTTAAATCTCAGCCTGTAGCTGAGGAAACTACGATTAATCTAGAATTTCCTTGATCTTACAAATTTTACAAGGATAATGACGCTAGCCTTAATATTTTCCATGTCTAGCTGTAGGATCTCAACATGACCAACCGAGCCTAGAATGTCCTTGACCTATCAAAATGATTCTCTCCCTTGTAGAAATTTACGTGTATTAATGGCAGAGAGTCCATTATCGTGTATTGATGTAATGGCAGATGGAGGTACGTTAGCAGTTGGTACAACTAGAGGTAAAATACTAGTCTATGATATCAGACAAGGTCCTAATCCAGTTCAAATGTTCATGGCTCATTCTGGTCCCATTTCAACTCTTTCATTTCATCCTAAGGTAAGTTAGCCATTTTTATGCTTTAAGGAATGGTAATGATTTCGGTACATCTGTGGTTTTGCAATTCCACTAAAATTTAGCATTTTCTAATGTTACTAATGCATTGCAAGAATCACAGACGTCTGATTGAAAAGTAGAATTATGCAAATTGATACTATCAGTGTCTCCTAAAACATAAAAAGTTTAGGAAACATCTTGACAATCCATTTTAAGCAACATTGCTAAGAAAGTTTGATAAATAAGCCAGTAATGGCTGTGGTAACTAATGTCTCCAATATAACACTGTACAATTTTTTTTTTTACAGTCTGCAGCCAGTGATAGTGGAAAATCTGCTGCCAATAAAAAACGTCCACCAGAAACACAGAAAATGAAACCAGATAATCCTCCAGCTGATCCTAGTAAGTAGGAAATTTCATTTCAGAGCTAACTGTATATTGTGTTGCCCATGCTTGGCTCTTTGAATATTGAGGATTTAACAACTTTTCAACTGTTCAAACTACAAAACGTCCCTCTAACGCTGTGCATCTCTAATCACACCAAATTTCCCTCATTCCTCACTGCATACCTTCATTAGTTCTGTGAGCTGCAGAAAAGTGAGAAAAATGAAACTCCTTTTAATTCATTTATATCTGTAACTTTTACAAGGTATGCATTATATTCCCAATTATACTGTATATAAAATAATAAGTATTTCTATTGACTGTTAGACCCTTAGTATTTGGCAATTTCAATCTATTTTTTTAGATATATCGAATCAAGCACTTCAAATAGTTAAAGATAAAACTCAGATTAAACAGAATGCTGTTAATACAGAAGACGTGTTTTCACCTATCAGAGAAAACATGGGTAGGTTTCTGATATAGTGCCATTTACCTAGATAGATGCATGGAACCTTGCCTGATAGTGCCATTAACATGGAATGATGTGTAAAACTTGGTATTAATCTTGTTGGAAAGTAAACTTCTGTTTCCAACACTTGTTGTCCTGATGAGGATTTGGTTTCTTAAACATGTGTCGGCAGCAAGAGATGAAAACTGGAATTAATACTATTACAATTTTCAGTCAGACATCTCTGATTCACTAAACAGATGAAAACTCTTGTTACATGGAGCTGAATTAATACTATTACAATTTTCAGTCAGACATCTGTGATACTTGTAAATTCACTAAACAGCATGTTATGACATCACTATCTCAAAGCTTATCTCTAGCTTAGATATTATTAGCAGCTTTTGTAATAGTGACATCATAAAAAGTTGAGAAAACCTCTTGACAACCTCTTTAATTTGATATTTTTCAGGTGTCCAGGGTTCAACCTCTTTTAATGATGACTCTCTGTTTCAAAACTCTACCAATTCTGCTGGTAGGTTAAATGACTTAGTCATTATTGTATTCTTTTCTTGAAATAGCCCAGAATTATCAAGGTTTATTTTCAAAGTGAATATCTATTTTAAAGTTTGTGTACAATGTAATCATAATTTATTGGTCCTGGGACCTTTTTCTCAAAAACCTAACCAAAATCCAAATTTAATAACACAGTAATCTGATTGGATGATAATTTAAAATTGATTTTAGTGATTGACCAACCAATGACTCTTAAGAATTATTTGTAGGTGCTGGAGCATTTGGAGTTTTCTCCCCTTTACAAGGTAACGGTACTACTAGTAGCCTACCAGGAAAATACAGCCTTGGTAACAGTCCATTGGTTAATAATAGTTATCAGGTACGTCTTGTTGATTAGTCTAACCCTTACATGGTGTCTGCATTATGCCAACTTGTTGATTTTGGTTAGGACGGCAATGTACGTTAATTATGGTGACAGAGACATGCTTACTTGAAATTCTGAGGTCTATATTCTTACATTCAAGACCCATATCAACTGTTGAAAATGCGAATCTGTCCCTTGAAGTCCTTAGTCCGGGCCCCTCTGTAAGGGTACAGGCTGAAAAATAACCTTTTTAACAGTAAAAATATACAGTTATTGTATGATGATTGATATTTTACAGGGTGCCAGTTCAGCAGTGATCTCTCCAGTCAATGGTAGTAGTAATTATTCTGTTCAGTCCTACCATTCTGATCCTAGCATTACCTCTTACAATGGTACGTTTCTCTTGTTGATTCATACGGTAGGCAGTGGTGGTGCCAGGAACTGGGGTTAAAACAGAGACAAGAGTGACCAAACTGTCAGGGGCGAGATTCCACGCAGAGGGATCAAAATGGCAGTTTGTCATTTTGGAGCTCCAATCAGACATGACCGGCAAAAAAGAATAATTTAGCAGCCCTGGTTAAAAAGTAGGATGTAAAACTTGATTTCATTTCATATATTTTAGGCATGATACAACAAAGGGGTGTAAGTGCATCTCCGAGTCTGCCTCAGATACATGTACATGAAACAAACAATACAGCACAGCCCCATGTCAGTCTCAATACTAGTCCAAACAGTCATGCAGCCAGCACGACGGGGGGTAAAAAGGTCATGTTTACAGACCAATCGTTCGTAGCTGCGTCGCCTAGTAACCAACAGATAAACGATTGTCGACAAGATTTACGTCAAGAAATTCGCGAAGCTTGGCAGGAATCTAAATCTTCACCACAGGTTGGTTTTTCCTTGTAATTTGTTTAACATTGAACATTCTGCTTCACAATTTGGTGCTGTGAAATAGCATAGTCGGTAGCGATTGTCGTCTGCTAGGCGATTAGGTGCTGTAGGTTCGAATTCTTCTCAATGTAGGAAAAATCAAGCATGGCCGGTGCCTTCGAAAGTGAGTCTGGTGACAGCTTTCAAACGCTATCGCCTAGTATACCAAATAAAGATTATTGACCATGTGGATTCTCTGAAAGGGATGCCATTTGACTGCATGCTATTTTTTCTCAATATTTCAGAAGCCACATACATCGCCTGTGTCTGACCCAGGTTTATTCCAAACTGAATTTATTAGAAACTTGGTGCGTGAATCTCAAGAAGAACTAAGAGAAGAAATACATCGTGATCTACAGAGTCTACATATTGAAATGCTGAGACAGTTTCAGATGCAACAGGTTGGTACAAGTGATGTCACATTGCATTTGTGCTATATGCTTATGCGTTATATTACTAAGAGTTCAGGGTATATCACACTTTTTTGAATCACACTCAGCTTAGTCTTTGTGAAAATTTCCTGTCTTGCACACAGCATGTCTTGTTGTTAAACCTTGTCAAAGATGTAATAGTGATCTTATATTCTAGTAAAAGACAAAGCTTTTGAGGATGTCAAGACAAAATTTCTTCATAGCTGAAAAGTAGGATGTAAAACTCCATTATTTTTTTTTTTTTCAGGCAGAGGTAATGTCAATGATGGAACATTTATCATTAAATAGAGATTTAGTGAAGGAAGTTGAAATGTTACGTGAGGAGAACAAACGATTAAAGAAACAATTCTGAATTCCGTAAACTTTCTGTGATTGTTTTAACCATTTGAACACTGAGTGTCAGAAGAATGCAGTGTCAAATACTTGACTCAAATGTTGAAGCATTAAACAATGGCTTTGCTTGTGCAGGTATCGCCACAATTAGGACCAACAGTGTTGCCATAGTTATGAAAACAGACGAGATATTGATATGTGATATTGTAAAGTGCAATTATCTAAAAGTGCTAGAATGAAACATAAGGCAAGGCTAATCAGCCAGACAGTGCCACATGTGGATTTATTTTTCTAATGTTTTTGGTGGAGATGTAAAATCAAGCATGGTGCGAAATAGTAGGATATCGAACTTTGAAAGTGAGACACACTGAATGGAAAATGTCTGAAAAACTGTAATACCGTTTCTAACAAAGCTTGTATGTACACAACAGCAATTCCTTAAGAATTCCGCAAAGCTTAGAAGTCAGACTTTGCAAATTGAGCTTGACTTGTATGCAAGAAAGCTTAAAAGACTGGTTAAACAAGAAAGATTTGCACGATATTTCTAAAAGGAGGCTTATTATTCCATGCCAAATATCACTGCCAATAACTCAATAATATAACTCTATATAAAATGTAATATCATTTATTTACTTTGATATTGTTAGTTATTACATTATAAAATCAGTATACTTCATCTTGCATCATTTACACACATTGTTTCTTCATAACTAACTGAAGTATAGTCGAGACAAGAAAGTTATGCATGTCTGAGTCCAATTGGAAACTTAAACTGGAGTAGTCCACTTTATTTTTGAGGTAGAATATATAGTAATTGAAACTATACAAGCATGACTTATATTGTGTTGATTACTACGTAAACTACCTACTAATAAAGTAGACTAATTCTGTTTATGGTTCAAATTGAGCATGGACTTGCAGAAATATTATTTATGTTTCATTTATTGAAATTGTAGACTAAAAACTTGTACAGTTAAATCATTATTACATTATATAATATATTCTTTCATTATTATTATATCAAAAATTGTCTCCCTTGATAAGCATAGGAAAATTATTCATTGTAGACGTCATCCCCGCCAAATTTGCTTGTATCACATAAGACCTTTGCGGAGATGACGTCATAAAACACTTAGTTTTAGTAGACTTGCAAGATTGAAAATGGAGAAAATTGATCTTTTTTAAGAATATGAAGTTTTTGTTTTACGTTTTAGTCCCATAAGATGTCTGAATGCACCAAAGCATTTCTATTTTTCACAGATTTTCTTAGGGGAGAGGTTCTCAGGCACTCCATGGGTACCTTACGACTATGCAGATTTCGTTTAATTGGTTAGGATTATTAGTGTACTAGAGATTATATATTCCAAGTGGTTGCTTTCTTACTCCTGTTCAATGAGTTTTGTAATGAATATTCAATAAGAGACACTATTTAAGATATTCAGTAGAAATGGAGGGCTCTATTTGTTCTTGGTCTGGATTCACAGGTTTTATGTGCTTAGCCTGTTCTTGAGCTATAGCATATGTGTACACTCTAGAATCTATAGATAACCCACTTTCACTCAGTTCTGAAAAGAAAATATGGGAATGTGTTTTATCAATATTAATCACATATCTATAACAAAAACTTTGACTGCAAAAAAAACATATATATTTATATCTGTTGTTTGGCCTATTATTGAAAGAATCCTATGGTTCATTTGTAATGAAGCATCTAGTGTGGCCCAGGATTTAGAGACAGCTGTATTAAAATTGAATTTCAGAATTAAGTCTATCCATTTCTGTGATTACAAAATTTATTCTGGTGAATTATACTTAAGGCCATACAAAATAAATAGTCTGTTTTACAGGCCCAAAAATGCCTGATTGTTGCTTTAATATTAAATGTACATTAAATTTGTGGTAATATATAATAAATGCTTTCTCTTGCTCTGATTTATTCCAATTGAAAATCTAAAAATGCTCTTATAAATAATAATAAAAAATTCGCCCTCTGGCCCCGATTTTTGAAAAAAAAGGCCTGTAATCAAAACGGACTATTTTTTTTGTATGGCCTAGTATTATTTAATTAGATTTAGAAATATAATCATACCGTTTAATTTGACTAAAAGTTGATTTAAAGGAACAATTAAAACTTCTATAAATTCTTAAAAAAAAAATCAGGAAAAATTATTATCAAAGCAGATTCTAATATACAGAAGATTAGTATACATGATTACTTATTCTTATAGCAAGATTTCAAATGTATATGAACAAGGGAATATAAGAAATTAATTGATGAAGGTATATAAAAAATAATTATGTCCTTGATGCATTTCGTCCATCAATTTTAAAATCCAAAAAAAATAAAAACTCACTAACCCCCGTCATCTGAAAAACAAACAAATTTAAATTAAAATATCAAGAAATGAAATGGAGGTTTTTATTCTGAGAAAAAATTAGCACTACCATGAAGTCTGCAATGAGGGAAATTGAGCCATTTGTCTATTCATTTCCAATTGTCAATCGCTTTTTAACTTACAAGTTACAACTATTTATTTAAAGGTAAGCAATGTATTCTAAAAAAACTACAACAAAATCTGAAGTATTTGATAAAAAAAGAACTATCAGAGATGAAATACCTAAATTTGTTTTATGTTCAATATTTTCTTTAGTGTCACCATCAATCTGAAATAGAAAAATACAGGCATATTGGACAAGCCTTCTAAGAGTGTATATCAAAGATGTTGGTGCTCATAAACAACCAAATATAAATCAAAGTAAATTACAGCCTTACCTCTACAGTTACCATAGAAACAGATGTATTTCCTACTCCTGGATCTAAACATGTGACTGAAAAAAACAGAAACAAACTTTGATACTGATAGTGGTGAGATATTTTAATGGTAAAATTGTGAAAACAAGACTCTTCCAAAATGTAAATACCATAGACTTTTAGAATGACAAATTGCTCTGGACTAGTCAAAATCAAAATTCTATTCAAGCCATTTCTAGTGCATCTTTTTAAATAGTATCAACAACCAAACCAACAACACAGAATCATCCAATTTGAACCAATCCAACTACCAACTACTACGACTACCAACAACTACCTAGTTTGCGATATCAGCATCTGTTGGAAGCGTTCGTTAATTTGTCATCTACCAACCAAACTACAGGGCTCAATTGCCATATCAGCATCCACTGGGAGCAAACGTTAACTTGTCATCTACCAACCAACCATGTTTACACAATCCAAGTTCAATTCAACCATTGTGTCTTGGATATGAAAACCTCATCAGCACAGCTGGTTTTGAAAGGTGTCTAAAGTACATGGGTAAAGTGAGCCAACTCAATGACAAGGAGTGAGAAATTTCATGGATTTTAGAGTAAAAAAATAGTGCTTACTTGGTGATATATGCTTACAAATTCCCATAAACCCTGTTTCTTCTTTTAATTCTCGTACAGCACATTTATCAGGCGTCTCTCCTTTATCAATCAAACCTTTAATGGAATATTTGTCAATGAAAATTCCTTATCGATCAGCCTTTTAGTACACAGGGAACAGAACAGCCTGCAGCAAACAGGGAACTGAACACCCGGCAGCACACAGGGAACTGAGCAGGCTATAAAACACAGGGAACAGAACAGCCCACAGTACACAGGGAACTGAACAGCCTGCAGCACACAGGGCACTGAACAGCCTGCAGCACACAGGGCACTGAACAGCCTGTAGCACACAGGGAACTGAACAGCCTGTAGCACACAGGGAACTGAACAGCCGGCAGCACACAGGCCCACAGGAAACTAAAAATAACTCTGTAAGCATACCTGCAGGAAATTCTATGGTATAATTTTTCATGGGAGGTCTGTACTGTTTGACTAGGATTACACAATCAAATTTGAGATTTCTCCGTAACACTGGTAATACAACCACGGCTGTAAAAGATTCGGAAAATATTCATGAAGTAATGCTGAAGCCATAGATACTCAATTGGTGAAATTGAAATATGTTCTGATGAAATTGCCAAAATAAGAGTGGATTCAGGGGTTCCAGAAAACATGTAAAAGTTTTGGACTCAAGTTTGTTGAATGACATCCCAACTATTGAAAGTTCTAAATCTGTGATATGCTTTAAAATTTAATCAAGGACTAAAACACTGGCCTACCATCAGCACTGTTGGATTGTTTTGTGGTTCTGTATACTGCTTCCCAGACTCTAGAAATAGAAGTAGTTAGAACTCTAAACAAAAATTCAAAAAATCTAAAATGAGTCCTGCACCATTGCTTCTGTGACATTTTTTTAGTGCTAACCTACAACCTTTAATTGACTAGAGCTCATATCATTCTGCTGACATGTGTTTCAGATATACAATCCTCATCAGGACAGATAGCATGACTTAAGAGTCAAGTCAGACAATCAGATATGTCCAAATTGAATTTATTGGTTCCACTTCAAACTATCCTCAAATGTTTTCAGAAGTAACTCCCAAACATTTTTTTCATCCAAGAAACTAAAGAAAGTGAAAGTAGACTTACCTCTCTTTGCCTGTGGGATCTGAATAATGTATTTTGTTCAATGAAATCCAATTACCTCTGGCCACCTCCTGAAATATCATAATTGAAAAATAATTCCAAACCAAAAAAATATCATGCGTTCATGATAGGAGAAAGATAAAAGGAGAAGAAAAGGGGAATTATGTTTTATGTCTAATGAACGACTTTAAAATAAATATTGCTCAGTTAATTTTAACCTTTTCAACCCTAGCTATATATATAATATATAATATTACATAACACAATATATATACCCGAATAGCCGGTATACCAGTCGTTACTAAGTAACGTCATACAACGTTAACGTCATACACTTTACTTTTATTACTTGAAGTTCAAGGTATATGATGTTTTATTTCATTTACATTCAGAGTTCAAAGGGTTCAATAGCTACCAACAGAAAAATAAATGGGACAGTGGCCCATTTCCCCACCCCCACCCCAGTTCGAGGGGTGCCCATTCTTAATTATTTCTGAATTACATACCTCTTGTTTTATAAACTGACATTGTTTAGGTGGGGATGTCATCTTGGTTCTAGAAATGGTTGATATGACAACCCACCTTCTAAATTTTGTTTTAAAAATGATTGTTTCTTCTGGTTAAAAACACAATATCAGCTCTTTATAGCACCCTGAATTAAAAAAAACACATCAACATTTTGTGTCTGGGGTGAATCTATTTCAATTCTCATGGCATGGACCTCCTCCCAAAGAATTTTGAACCAAGAGTTTCACAAGTTTATAAATGACTACTCTCGCTCTTATAAAGGGCATTTCAAACTCCTAACAAAGCTAGATCTAAAGGAAATTTCTGTAGGCCTACTGACGACAAAGTTTCCACTTCATTACAATTTTTTCGAATCTTGCGGTAGTCTTGAGAATCACAGACACCGTTTAATACTTAGAAGCAGCATTCTTAACATGGGTGTGGATTCTTTGTCTGCCAACGCCAAAACCAAATTCCAGATCATACCTCGCACAGCCTTTTGACTGTTTGGTGGTTTTTGTTAAGTTTACTTTCGAAAAAGCAATTTATTAGCTAACAAAGAAAAGTTCTTTTCAAAAATTTCTAACTTTTGTGTTTACAGATGGCGCTATATGCAATAAAGTTAGTGGTGTCACTAAAATTCCAACCTTCCGCACAATATATCTACTCTACATCTACATGACACTGTATGTTCAAGCTTTCTAGGGTGAAATTTCGAGTCAAAATATGCACAACAGTAGGCTCATGGTGTGTATTGAAATAAGGAACACATCCATTCAATAAGAAGTTTATTAGTAGACTAACATACAAAGCAAGGGACACCTATCAGACAACTCAGGGTACTATAAAGTTACACAATATTGCAGGCATATGATATTGGCCTAGATGATATACCATAGTTAGATATCTCACAGTAATAATGTATAGACATAACAGCTCATTAACTTGTAAAATTCGGATTCCGCCATAGAAGAGCATATTCCCCTTTACAACTGTATGTCTCACAGTTTTTTTTTTTGCGCTTTCTACAGTGTTTTACTTAGTTGCCTTGTCAGTGTGATTTATATGTAAATACTCTTCAGAAGTCCTAGAAATGTGCGAAAATCACATTATTTCTTTAAAAAATAGACTAAAATCCGAAGAAAAATGTGAATTTATGAATCAAATTCAGTAATTCAAACACTTCAGTGTGAAACGAAACATTCGACTTAATTGTTAGTTGATAATAAAACATTAATTAAATTAGAATTGATACAAGATTTTATAGTATAAATCAAGCAACATATGTTTATTTATATTTGATGGAGTACAGGCTGGAATGAGTTATTTTATAGTTTTAATCGAGATATTTTGGATAAGGATTACTTATCAGAAACACTAGAAATGTACATAAATCGCATAATTTTTTCTCAAGAAAAGACGAGTCGTCATTTTAAATTTAAAACTCGGATAATTCTGGACACACATGGATTTGAAGGCTCAAATTTCGACGGTGGGCTGTTAGCTTAGCTTAAGAAAATTCCAGTTTCCGAGACTAATGTACGATTGGTCAAATGGATGGTGAATTTTTCCCTTTAATAAAATGGAGCACATAATATTTCAGTATAATATACACGTATCGTCATCAAATGAAAATGTCATTTTCAATTTTCACAAACACCTAATGTCAATTTTTCTTTTACATATAATGATATGTTAATGAATCAAGTGAAACTTTAATGAAACGCGTAATTGTGGCGCATATTTTATAGTCTAATGTTTTTGTAATTTTCAATTTTCCTACAATTTAAAGATGGGTTTCCTTATTTTTTTAGTGTCAAATTAAGCAAACTATTTGATTAATTGGTGTTTCTAATGAATTCTTATTGCATATAATTAAGAGTTTTAACCAATCATAAATGTCCATATATGTACAGTCTGGATAAGCATAAAAGACTTTTTGACCTTTCTTGATCGGTCACAGAATTCTGTTAAGTCATTAGAACACCTCTACTTTCTATTCATATAAGTATTAGCAAATTGTAAAATAATTACAATCGTCCCAATATTTAGTACCCTAACAATTAGCCCTGTACCGAGTTTAATGCCACTGTCAATCCTTCTACGTCTAGCAAGGAGAGGTGTAGCGTCTCGGCTTATCGATAAGGAAGACATCTCCCGTTTTCCATTGGAGAATATTGAATGCAAAATACTGAAAAAAATCGATATTGTACTAGATCTAACATCAAATTTTAATAAGATGCCTTGGAGGTTCGTTATTAGCCACAAAGACTTTACAAATTATTCATATTTTTTTTTTTGGATCAATGGCTTTGAACAAGAGAGTACGTCATTTGCAGAAACTTCGGGACTAATCCGAAACATATGCCTATATTCCAGCCTCTGATATTTATTATCTATATTAGAGTAGCTGACAACATTCACAATAGCTATCACAGACTGGAATAGAGGCAGAATGATGTTTCGGTCTACTTCGGGGCCATGTTCCATCGTACTGATGCTAAAGGAACATGTGTGTCGTGATAATCGAGAATGAAACAACCTAATGATCAAGACTATATCGAATGATTAAGGTGAAGGTCGATCAATTGCCGGCGTCAACCGATATAGTGACTGTCTAGTTTGTTAGACGAGGACGAAACAGTCTTACATATTACGGATTTATCTAAACTTTAGAGTTTTATTTCGCCGTAAGAAGCAGTCGACATGAGTGAATATCACAGACCCGATGCCAATATGGTGCAGACTTTGAAAGACATTGCAAATAAACTGCGATTTCAAAGCATCAACATGACAAGCACGTGCAACTCAGGGTAAGTAATTTAGTAAGGTGCATTCAATCAGTGGGACAGAGATAACAATGTGGGCCAGGGATAAGTTGATTGTCCGTTGGACATGCAACTATCAAAAATTTGGGTTTGGATATTTGAACAAACTATTTTGTCTGAATTGACGTCCAAATTTTGAACATGGCTATTATAGTGATTATGAAAAATAATTTGCAAGTCACCTGGCCCAACCCATTGAAAGCGTTGACAATTTAAATATTTGGTCATGCAACTATCAGAAAGATAGGTTTAGTACAAAATAATTTGTTGACACCATTTGAATATTTGATGTCAAAATTTTGATCATAAATGGAATAATGAAATAAAAATTGCAAGTCACCCTAGGGCATTGAGGGTAGGCCTATTTGAATATTTTGTCATGCAAATATCAAAAATATGGCCTTATTACAAAATAATCATTTGAACATAGATTTCATTTTCATTTTCCTTACCCACTGAGACTGAGGGTTTTTATTTTAATATTTGGTCATGCAACTCTAAAAAAAACTTGGGTACTGGTATAGATATTAGTACAAAATATTATATGTAATTTTGAACAAGATATTTTGTATTAAAATTATGAAATCATAAGTTGAGGGTAGACCTCTTTATTTTAATATTTGATTATGCAATTATCAAAAATATGGGTTTAGTTATTCAGACAAATTATTTTTTCTAATATGGAATTATTGAACATTTTAAACATGATACTTGTTTGAAAGTTGGTCTAGAATTATGCCATTAAGTTGGTCTAGAATTATGCCATTAAGTTGGTCTAGAATTATGCCATTAAGTTGGTCTAGAATTATGCCATTAAGTTGGTCTAGAATTATGCCATTAAGTAGGGTTGGGTCTATTTTGAGGCTGATATTTCAATTCTCATAAAAATAATCGAAAAAAACTGAGAAAAAACTTTGTACTTTGTTCAGACAATAAAGAATTTTTTATTTTTTTTTAGAATTGAGTTACTCGTAAAACCTGTCTTACTTCTTTTATTTTATACTGGCATTGTGATGTCATAATTTGGATTGTGAAACATGGAAATTGAATTATGAAAAAAGTCTGAAGTAAAGATATCAGAACCTGGCAACCAAATAAATATAATATAACAAATTGATTTTTAGTATAGATTTTTATTGTCCTGTCAATTATTGATCTTCTGAGAAATATCATTGTCCTAGTAGCCTACTTTAAACCATACGGAATTTACCATGCATGTCTGACTGATTATTGTTATATGCTACTATTTTACTTTTTATAAGAATTGGTTGATTTTATCCTGCATATTGAAAATAAAAGTTTCTACAATATAAACTATCTATAATGTGATATTGGAGCAAATTAAGTCAAATATGTTAAAGTTTTGGATATTTGCATTATTTTATTATTTGTATATGAATATTGCCAACCACCATAGCTACAACCCTGATAGTGATAGGAATTTATATTTGCATAGTCATTTTAAGAAAATCAGCAAACTTAAAGGAGAATTACCAACAATTCCAACGAGTGACCGATCAAGAAAGGTCAACATTTCTTTTTTTGTTTGTCCAAACTGTACATACATGGACATTTATGATTGGTTAAAACTCTTAATTATGGGCAATAAGAACATAATGATATGATGAAGAATTCATGATAATTGAAATTTAATTAAATTTGACACTAAAAAATAAGGAAAGCCATCTTTAAATTAGTGTTATAATATTCTCTAAATTTTTTATGTTTTTCTCCATTTCAGTCATCCTACCTCATGTTGTTCTGCTGCAGAAATTTTTTCCGTATTATTCTTCCATACAATGAAATATAAAGTTAAGGAACCCAAAAATGCGGCCAATGACAGATTTGTTTTGTCCAAGGTAAGATTGATCAGTACAGTGGCAGTGCCAGTGAGGATACAAGGGGAGAGGGGGGTGGGCAAATGCAACCCCTAGAACAATGGTTTGGACCCCCAATTGTACCATAAATTTTTGAAGGCAGTTGACGATTACTCTTCTAGACACCTGATACCACTTTTCATTATGAAATACTAACTCACTTATCATTGATATACTTCCTCATTTGAAAAGTTACTAAGCGCTACTAATGTTTCGTTATATGCTTATTTAACTTCTAAAAAAGAAGGACTACACATTGACTGAAAGCTCAGAATTTAAATTTCCATTTCATAAAGGTGGAAAAAGACTTCAACATAGACAACAAAGTGAGAAAAGTTAGCTAATCTTTATCAGATGCATACAGACCTTACAGTAACTACCCCATTCTCACTGCTTAAAACATATTTTATTTGTATTTTGTAGGGGCATGCTTGTCCAATTCTCTATGCAGCCTGGGCAGAAGTTGGTTTATTCCCCGAATCAGAACTTCTAAATATCCGTAAGCTGTCCTCAGACTTGGAAGGTCATCCCACCCCAGTAAGTTTTCGCTTTTACTACCGTATATTTCTGTATATAATGTACAGTTTTTTTTAGCCTTTAAAGGGTGTGCATTCTATAAATTCTGGGTAAATGGATTTTTCAAGATTTTGATGGGGTAAGGAAGGGGTGCGCATTATACACGCTTGCGCATTATATTCGGAAATATACGGTAGTGATAAGGTTGATGAGGGGCTGACATGGAAGTCTTACATAGCCAGAACTGGAATTTCTGTACCCATTTATATCTGATTCACCAAACTTCCACATGTAAACTGAGATTAGAACCCACCCACGACCACCATTTATTCAATGTAACCAAGGAAATGACATCATGTATAGATTGCAATGCTCTAATGAATTATGCTACAGAACTCTCACATATATTGAAATATAGAGATGTATTGTGGACTGTCTTATGAAATGGGAATTTTATATTTGTAGAGATTGAACTTTATTGATGTAGCTACAGGATCACTGGGTATGGGACTCAGTTTTGCAGCTGGTATGGCGTATTGTGGTAAATACATTGACAAAGCTGAGTGAGTAGTCTATTGTGTTTCTTGTCTTATTAATACAATGTTTTGGAGCCGCACTGGCTCAGTGAGTAAGATGCTTGCTCGCTAACCTGAAGGGCCAGGGTTCAATACTGGAAAAGGTCGATATGATACCTTCGGATTTTTTAACCCGGTTCCCCCCTGCCAGTGATGTATGTAAGAGGGGCTTACATGGATGGGACAATAAACCAAGGCCCGACAGTTAAAAATCAAGTAGGCTAATTCCGCTGTCCTGACAAAATTCCCCTCATTGCACCCTACATGGCACTGCCCGTTTGGAAAAATGCCTTATGTTTTGCTAGCTCTCTGGATATTTTTTGATTATTTATTATTATTTTGTAGTTATCGTGTATTTGCTGTAATGGGAGATGGTGAATCGGCAGAAGGGTCTGTCTGGGAAGCCATGGCGTTCTCAAGTTTCTACAAACTGGATAATCTTGTGGCAATATTTGACGTCAACAGACTAGGACAGAGTGACCCTACCAGTCTTCAACATGATCTTGACACATACAAGAAACGAGCCGAGGCTTTTGGGTGAGTAAGCTCTGGAATATTGAACTCTGTCTAATACCTTGACATCATCAGGCACTTTATTTGTTGGAAAGTCTTACAATTGTCAACAAGCTTTAAATCTTATACAATTTATCTCCCTTGTGAGACCCAATCAAATGCCTTGTTAGAAAGCATAGATGGCGTCTACAATGATAGACAAGAACTACATGTGCGGAGATTGGTTGTATTCACAAGGGTACAATCCAATCAAATTACTGCATATGCAAACTGCTGAGATTCAAGAAAAAATGTCAAATATGATGATGGCAAACTTCTTTTTGGTGAGTTTTTTGGCGCCTTAAAGGTAACAGAATATATTTGAGTAATGGCAGACGTTTTTTCTTTAATATTAGTTCGTGAATATTCATATTGAAAAAAATCATGAATAATTCATGACATCAATGTACCTTATTACCATATCCTAATTGGAATGGTATAGTATAGATAACAATTACTTACAAATGATGCCTAATAAGCCTATTGTTAGTCATTTAGCTGCTTTTCAGTGAATATAATAGAAGCTGTATCATTTTCCCATTGAACACAAATCTTTAGGTTTTTGTTTGCATTGTGGTGTTTCAATGAATGTGACAGATTACTTCAATACAACAGGAGGTGTATAATATCTTTTTCCCATTGAACACAAAACTTTAGGTTTTTGTTTACGTTGAGTTATAAATGGAGAGAGAAGAGAGATCGTTTGATCTAATATTGACCGCATTACAGTGCTTAGTTTTAGTTGAGTCCCAATACACATAAAAAGTAATTAAGTTCTGGTTTCGTTGCTTTGGATACGAGGATTTCAACCTTTTTTCTTTGTATTACCCCTTTTAGTACCCTTGATCAATTGCATTACCCACTTTCCCCCTATAAATCCTTAATATTTCGTAGGTTTTGCTTGCATTCTTTTTTATTTTGGAGAATATAGCCTGACTGAATAGAACAACTTGTAATATAATTTATGGCAGACTACAAGGTGTCTCATTAGACCCCAACAATTTAAAAATTACTTCCTCCCCAGGTTGAAAATGCCTGCAATAGATTATGATACTGTATAATATTGTCAGAGAACAGTCTATAATACGGCCTGCAGTGAGTTTAATAGATAATGATATATAGAATGTTGAATTGTTGATAATAAGTAATATTAAATGTAGTAGAGATGTGACAGGAAGGACATTGATAAAGATTATAAACCTACTGAAACCACTTGAATCCAAGATCCTGTTTCATAAAACTCTAGGCTTGTTTATTTCTACTATTTACTCTACTATCAACAACATATCATTTCAATTCTCTGATACACACAAAAAATTCAGAAATTGCTCGCCCTAAAGTCAAATGCTAAATTGACTTGTACAGTCAAGTCCTGTACATTCCTTTGTTCTGTAACAAAATTTATTATATAATTATTTTTACTAAAGATTTGTGTCATAATTGGATATTAGAAGAAGGTCAAGTTAGGGTCTTTCATGCTTTATTTAAGTTTCGCTGTAAGCCAAAATTTGTGATTTGAAGAGATTTAATACATGGTGTAACAAATGTTTAAAGGGATTGTAAATTTCTCTATAACTGAGTTTTATATGGCGTCACTAATCCCAAAATAAGCTTTATTGAAAAAGGCCATTCGCGATTAGTAACGTCATCAAACACTTAGTTTTAGTGGAATAGTATGAACCACAGACTTCTGATTGAAAATATAAATGATGCAAGTTGATACTTAATCTCTTTACAATCCGTTTAATATAGAATAGTCCAGATGTGATTTGTCAATGAATCAAAAAGAATTAAACTAAATTTTGAGAATTAAGCTTATACACTGCTCCATAAATATAAAGAGATAAACATATGTTGCTTGATTTATGCTATAAAATCTTGTATCAATTATAATGTAATTAATTTTTTATTATCAACTAACAATTTAATCGAATGTTGCCTTTCAAAAATTTTAATTTGCCACGTTTTAATATTTCTTGGCTGCCATTTATATTTTTGTTACAGGGATTTTCTGGTGTTAAAACTATACAATGTATCAAAATAGTTTTAACACCAGGTAAATCTCTGAAAAGTACAGACTCTAAGGGCTGTATACTCGTACTTTGACTAAGTTAGACTTAAGTTGAATTTTAAGTATGCACAGCTCAGACTTTACGAAAGGTGTAAAATGAAAACTGTGGTAAAGTTGCCTCTGTAAGGGCCACATGCAGCGCTCGTACTTTACCTAAGCTTTGACTAAAGTTAGACTTAAGTTGAACTTTAGGTATGCACCGGTCGATCTTTACGAAATTTGTGCTTAAATTTGACTATCAAATGTAGAAAATGAAAGCCTTAATCCTAACGTTGTAAAGTTTGACTTTAGCCAAAGTTCAACTTTAGTCAAAGTAAGAGCGCTGCATATGGCCCAAGTAACTTTAGCTATACTTTACTAGTTTTATACACGAATTGGAGAATAACAATTACACCATTTAATAGGCCTTCACCAACACGCAGTTCTTCACAGAACTTATTATCACTCTAATTAATTGAAATGCTTGGTTGATAAAATATGTGTTAATTATAGATAGGTATTGATTTAAAAGACAGGTGGAGTGGAGATCACAGACACCAACGCAGGGATAAAACTATTTATATTTCATGTGTGTTTCTACATTTTATAACTACACTGGTATAAATCTGGGTCAAAGTACGTGTGATGCATACGGCACTTATTGGCCAATTTTATCTTTATTCTAAGTGGTAGTATACCTTAAAGTGGTATAAATCTGGGTCAAATTGCTGGATCTAATGCTAAATTGTTGTTGTAGAAGTTTTGACATGTACAGTCAAGTCCTGTACATTCCTTTGTGCTGTAACAAAATTTATTAAATTATTTTTGTTTAAGATTTGTGGTTTTTTCATGCTTTATTAAAGTTTTGTGACGCTAGCCAAAATTTGTGATTTGAAAAGATTTTATGCATGATGTAACAAAAGTGAAATTTATTGTTTGGATTTAAGTTATTTTCCTGACAACTGATTTCACATGATTTAACTGTTAATTTGCTATTAAGAGAGAAGAACTCCATAAAATTTAGTTTAATTTTAATCTTGATTTTTATAGATGGATTTTAACGGATTTCTAACCTTTTTCCCATTTCAAATGGATTATAAAGAGGTTATCTAAAACTAAGTGATTGATGACGTCATTTATTTCAAAATAATTTTCTATGTCACATATTATGGCCCTTCAAACACTTTGTATTAATAAAATTACAAGAACCAAATTGAAATGGTGCAAATTGATGCTGTGCTATCACATACAAAATTTAGAAAACCTCTTTACAATCCCTTTAAGCAATTTCAAAGTCCACTGGTATAGATTCATTCCATTCTCTGGTTTTGTTTTGATTTAAAATTATTCAACATAACCTCGGGCCACACGTTTGTTAGCTTGGGGTTTAATTTGACCTGAGAAACTGTTGATTTGGTTGTATTTACCAGTCATGTCTGACTAGAGCTCTAGACTGTTCATTAGGTTGTATTTACCAGTCATATCTGACTAGAGCTCTAAACTGTTCACTTGGTTCATGTCTGACTAGAGCTCTACACTGTTGATTTGGCTGTATTTACCAGTCATATCTGACTAGAGTTCTAAACTGTTCACTTGGTTCATGTTTGACTAGAGCTCTAGGCTGTTGATTTGGTTGTATTTACCAGTCATATCTGACTAGAGTTCTAAACTGTTCACTTGGTTCATGTTTGACTAGAGCTCTAGGCTGTTGATTTGGTTGTATTTACCAGTCATATCTGACTAGAGCTCTAAACTGTTCTCTTGGTTCATGTTTGACTAGAGCTCTAGGCTGTTGATTTGGCTGTATTTACCAGTCATGTCTGACTAGAGCTCTAAACTGTTCACTTGGTTCATGTTTGACTAGAGCTCTAGACTTTTGATTTGGCTGTATTTACCGGTCACATCTGACTAGAGCTCTAAACTGTTCACTTGGTTCATGTTTGACTAGAGCTCTAGGCTGTTGATTTGGTTGTATTTACCAGTCATGTCTGACTAGAGCTCTAAACTATTCACTTGGTTCATGTCTGACTAGAGCTCTAGACCGTTGATCTGGCTGTATTTACCAGTCATGTCTGACTAGAGCTCTAAACTATTCACTTGGTTCATGTCTGACTGGAGCTCTAGGCTGTTGATTTAGCTGTATCTTACAATTTCTTCGATATTTTTCAGATTCAATACCTACGTGGTTGATGGACATAGCGTCGAGGAGCTGGTGAAAGCTCTCCACGGAGCCGAGACCACCTCGGGAAGACCAACATGTATTATCGCCAAAACATTCAAGGGCAAGGGGGTGTCTGGTAAGTGCAGTTATGGGTGGTGGGGGATGGATGCGTGAGAGATGGGCTTGAGCTATAAGATGTGACATAATTGACACAGAAATGCTGAATGTTTGAAATTTCCATGCTTTATCCTGATGACAGATTGGTTGTCCAAAACAACGCGATATAAGCTCTTATTATCAGGAGCCTTATTCTCCAAAACTTAACTAAAAAAAATCCAGATTTAAAGAAATACAGTAATTTGATTGGATAATAAAACTAAATTTAATATCAATCTTAGTGATTGACCAATCAGATGGCTGGAACATTAAACTTAGTTAAGTTTTCAAGAATAAGGACCCAGGACTATAGGTGAGCACATCATGGGTTGAACTACGTGTATGTTGAAATTTTGTCTAATTTTGTAGGAATTGAAGATCAGATCAACTGGCATGGAAAGCCTCTGGGTGGGGAAACAGAAAGGGCACTGGCTGAAATCAAGGCCATTATTAAGAATAATGGACCTTACAACATCACCCCACCCCAACCCAGTGGAACAGTTCAAGCAGCCAACATCTCCAATATAGCTCTACCAGAACCTCCTAAATATTCTGAACCAGTAAGTCACCTTTCAACTTTGACCCTTTCAGTAATGTCCTTTAACCTTCTAACCTTGACAGGGAAAGAGTGAACCTTATTGCCCTTTACTTTCAACCATACCCCTCTCTCAGTTTTCCAGCACAGTCCGTGAAAAAGGCTGGTTATTATTAAAAACTGACTAAACCTTAAACAAAAATTATAACACTGCTGGTGAATTTGCGTCATTGCGCAGTGCAGTGGTTATTCTTTTGATGTGAACAAAGTTTTGATTGCATTGCATTTGACTTTGGGTATGCTCTTCTCATCGAATTCATTGCTTTTTATGTCAAATATAGGTTATCATGAACAACTTTGGCTAGTTCAATTTACACTAATGTATAAAAGAAGTAAAGTGTCCTCCTTTCCATCGCGTTCTTCCCCACTTTAACGCGTAATAATTGTTATTTCAGACAGCATGTAGAGCAGCTTATGGTAAAGCCATTGCTAAAATAGGTCAAGCTAACAATCGGGTCATCGCCATGGACGGTGACACCAAAAACTCTACATATTCCATTAAACTTATGGTAAGTTAGTCATTAATTCATGGACCCTCAGAAACAAAGAACCATATTTTATAAAGATTAGGACTTAAGTTCTGATGGCCCTTTCTACAAATAGACCAGAGGGTGAATATCCTGCAAATGGCTTAGATACTCTTTGTCCTCTGCAGCAATATAAATTTGGGCAGCTGAGATAACCACAACTTTCTAAGCTAAGTAGTAGATTCTTTTAGAAAGCAAAAGGTAAATATGCAAAGCTCTTTGTGTCTGTCACCTTGACCTTAACTTAATGCAACCTTGACCTTAAGGCAACCCTGACCTTAAAGTAATGCAACCTTGGCCTTACATGAAAACCCACTGAGGCTCTTTCATACCTAATAAGCAGTCTGTAGAATGTTGCATTTTGTGTTTTTTTAGGACGTAAGACCAGATCAATACGTAGAATGTTTTATAGCAGAACAGAATTTAGTTGGAGTTGGTATTGGCTGTGCTACTAGAGACCGAACTGTTGTTTTCCTCAGCACCTTTGCTGCCTTCTTCACCAGAGCGTTCGATCAGATTCGAATGGGGGCCATCTCTCAAACTAATGTTAATTTTGTAGGATCCCATGCTGGAGTATCCATTGGTAAGTATTGATTAATGATAACTTATTAGACTATGGCTTATATCATGATGGTGATATGTTTCAGATATATAATCCTCATCAGGACATTTAATTGACATGAGCTCATCTAATGATGCTGACAGATGCTTTAGATATACAATCCTCATCAGGACCGTCAATTGACAAGAGCTCATTTTGTGCATGCGACAGGTGTTTCAAATACACAATCCTCATCAGGACAGTCAGTTGACTAGAGCTAATCTCATTGAGCTAGCAAATGTTATCAAAGATTTGGTGGCAAAGTGGATTGGGGATGGCATTCAAATTGTGCTGAATATTTTTATCTTATTTTGTTTTGTCAATAGGTGAAGATGGACCTTCACAGATGGCGCTGGAAGATTTGGCCATGTTTCAATCCATCCCAGGGTCCACTGTTTTCTATCCGTCTGACGCTGTCTCCATGGAACGAGCTGTAGAGTTGGCAGCCAACAAGTCTGGTATCTGTTTTATTCGTTCAAGTCGACCCAACATACCAATTCTTTATGGTGCTGATGAAGTTTTTAAAATTGGTCAAGCCAAGGTTTGTAATTTGATTTGGTGACCAAAATCCAGATAAATTTCAAAAGGATACAGACATCTCAATATCTTTCTTTAACACCTGGGTACGTATTCTCGAAATAATCTTAGTGCTAGGATATACTAAAACAGTTTTTAAGAACTTTGGACATCCTAGTGCTAAGATCGTTTCAAGAACACAGGGCCTTATTTCAGCTGTTTTACACCTTTCAGATTTGGAATTAAAAATCTTGTTCTGGCAACGCCACTAATACTAGCCCTTCATGATGTTGCACTTGCAAAGGCTCATAGATATTATTAGCAATATTGTGATATTGTGATATATGTCATATACAATAAAGCATTTACAGAAACCACAGACATCTGACTGAAAAAGAAGTGGTGCAAACTAATGCCATAAATTTCCTCTATACATATGAAAAATTGGATCTAATTTTGATTAGACAGCTACTAGTTTCGCTTTAATGGTTGTTATTCCTTTACTGTATTCATTCTATATTTCAGGTTCTACGTAAAACTGATTCTGATCAAGTAACAATAATAGGAGCCTGTGTAACTATTGTAGAGGCTCTGAAAGCAGCTGATGAGTTGGCTAAGAGTGGAGTCAATGTCAGAGTTATTGACCCTTTCACCATTAAACCACTAGATGTCGCTGGTATCATACAGAACGCTAGAGAAACTGGTGGACGTATTGTTACTGTTGAGGATCATTATGTTGAAGGTATGTGACTTATAAGTTAGGAATATGCCCATTTTAGGTTCATGCATATGGATACTTAATTTTATGAAATTTGTTGAATCAGGAGGAAAAGAACAGATTTAGACGTGTGCTCTAACTTGTGCTTTGATCCCAGGACAGTCAGTGTTTGTCAGTGACTCAGGGATGTACTGTTTGGGAAAGCCTTGAACCTTTTGGATATAAGGAGACCCAAGTGTCTATAATGTGCTTCGAGTGTGATCCTTTATCAGTTGCAAATCAAAATAGAAATTCTAAGCCATTGTCAAAATTGATCCCATTGTTCATTGCATGATGTTGCTAGCCTTTATTAGCTCCATAAGATGCAGAAATAAAGAATGAACCTGCAGACAAGGCCGTCAAATTCAAAGCCAAATTTTCTCAATTGCACACTGCATGATGTTCCTAACCTTCATTGATGCAGAAAATTAGGATGAACCCCCCCCTCTCTCTCCCATTTTAAGTCCTAATCCTAATTCTCTCTGATCCTCCAGGTGGAATCGGTAGCGCCGTGGCCAGTGGGGTGAGTGAATGCAGGGATATAATCGTGAAGAAACTGGCCGTAAACGACATCCCAAGGAGTGGAAAGGCAGCTGAATTAATCGAGAAATATGGAATTGGAGCTAACAGTATCGTTAAAGCAGTACAACAAATTTTAACTCTATAAATTTAACACATCGTTAAGTTTTTAAATTCCAATTTTGTTATGATTAGCTAGTTATCGCAATTGCTTATTTTAAAGATGTAAAATGGTACCTTGGATGTATCTGTCAAAAATTCAAATGTTTTTTATTTAATCATTAATAAATTTTCTAGAAGTGAAAAAAAGTAGCTGAGATACATTTTTAGAAATAGTTTTTCAAAATACATATAAATATTTTATTGTTTTTTTATGGAATTTCTTCAATTTGATTATTCTGCATTTAAGGAAATGGCATATAAATTTGATATTTGATATTAATGTAGTTGTAGGTGTTTTAATGTTGTAATGTTTGTGGGAAGATATAATAATGATTATATTTGGTTTTTGACAAAATACTTTTATGTTCATCAGTACACTAATTATTGTTATAGGGTATGCAAGGTTTATATAGTCTAATATTCACTCATTAAACTTCATGTCAGTCTAATTTTGTAAATTGGAAATCAACCTGTTGGTTCAAATTGTCGTTTTTGAATAATGTTATTAATTACTGTAATTTGATATTTAGCAATTGAATTTTGTACTGTTGTCAGTAATATACTTCGTTATATTTTACCGTTGGCTAATATGCTTTGCAGTCAGCTAATGCACTTTGCTGTCATCGGCTAATGAACTTTGCTGTCAGCTAATGTAGGCCCTACATTGATGCCAGCTAATATTCTTTACAGTCAGCTAATATACTTAGCTGTCAATTAATATACTTTGCTGCCAGCTGATATACTTTGCTGCCAGCTGATATACTTTGTGGCCAGCTGATATACTTTGTGGCCAGCTGATATACTTTGTGGCCAGCTGATATACTTTGTTCGTAGTAACTCTGTGATTATCTGACTAAGTTCATTACTGTTGAACTGCTTATTTTAATTTGCAAGTGAACAACATTATTCTTGAAAAATGTTATAATTGAGCTCAAATTTTCTAAAATTGTTGTTTATGTATCTGGTTTTTGTTGGTTATTTTTTAAGTTTGTATCAGATGAAGTTTATTTGGGTAATTAAAAGACCAGATTATGAAGATGTATCACCTAGTTTACCAAGTAGACAGTTTCATAATCAATATAATAATCTTAAATAATACTTAATGAGTTTCTTTGTCAAAACCAACTAGTTTCTTCGTCAAACCCTAAAGTTTCTTTTGTCAAACCCAACTGTTTTCCTTGCCAACTTTTGTGAAACCCAGACTAGTTTCTTTTGTCAAACCCAACTAGTTTCTTTGTCAAAACCAAACTAGTTTCTATGTCAAACCCACGCTAGTTTCTTTGTCAAAACCAACTAGTTTCTTTGTCAAAACCAACTAGTTTCTTTGTCAAAACCAACTAGTTTCTTTGTCAAAACCAACTAGTTTCTTTGTCAAACCCATGCTAGTTTTTATGTCAAAACCAAACTAGTTTCTATGTCAAACCCATGCTAGTTTTTATGTCAAAACCAAACTAGTTTCTTTGTCAAAACCAAACTAGTTTCTATGTCAAAACCAAACTAGTTTCTTTGTCAAACCCACGCTAGTTTCCATGTCAAAACCAACTAGTTTCTATGTCAAAACCAAACTAGTTTCTTTGTCAAAACCAAACTAGTTTCTTTGTCAAACCCACACTAGTTTCTTTGTCAAAACCAACTAGTTTCTATGTCAAACCCTAAAGTTTCTTTTGTCAAACCCAACTGTTTTCCTTGTCAACTTTTGTCAAACCCAAACTAGTTTCTTTTGTCAAAACCAAACTAGTTTCTTTTGTCAAAACCAAACTAGTTTCTTTTGTCAAAGACTAGTTTCTTTGTAAAGATCCTATTTCATTGAAAATATCCTAAGAAAAGAATTTGTTAGTTTTGAATATTGAGCAATACCATCCGACAGAATAGATCACAAGCCATTATTGTGAAACCAGGACCCAGTTCCCTAAAAGAATTCATAGCCCTACTCAGTTCAGGTGTGATTCAAACTCATGAGCAAAACTTTCTAAGCAGGTACACACGTTCATAGAATTGCAAGAGCTATTACAAAGTTACAACACTCCTTAAATCATAATGCCATGCAGTCAGGAAGGAGGGAAATTTGCCATGAAGGAGTATATGGAGATGGAAAACAAATTACAATGCTAAAATAAATGAACATTATATTTACATAAAGATACTATTTACAAAACAAACTAGGAATATTTACTAGTAGTTTCATGATGGGTGAGGAAAACATCCAGAGACATTTTAAAACCTGAACACACAGAATAATCAAAGAAAGATATTGATGGAC